CTCCTCTGTCCAGGTCCTTTCTTGCTGCCTTGCTACCAGGTGGGGAGCCAGCCCAGCAAGCCATGTTTCACAGTGAAGAGAATGGCTCAAAAGGCATGGACCCCTTGGTTCTTATTGATGCCATAGCGATCTGTATGGCCTATGAAGAGAAAGAACTCTGCAAAATTGGGGAGGGGCCCTCGCTGTGATATTTGACGTGGCGAGCATTATTCTGGCTCGAAGGAGAGGGTAAGGAGGGCTGAGGAGTGCCTTCACGGTGGGATGCTTGTGTTTAGGGGCCATCCTTCCAGAAGATGCTGTTGAACTGCAGTGATACTGCATGGTGTGTTGTCCTTCCCCAGGCGTGTCAGCTGCCCCTCTTCTCCTACATTGTGGAGCGCTTGTGTGCGTGCTGCTACGAGCAGGCCTGGTATGCCAAGCTGGGGGGCGTGGTGTCCATCAAGTTTCTTATGGAGCGGCTGCCTCTCACGTGGGTGCTGCAGAACCAGCAGACGTTCCTGAAAGCGCTGCTCTTTGTCATGATGGACCTGACTGGGGAGGTAAGGGACAGGAAGGCCTTCTTGTACAGCAGTCAGTCTCAATCAGTTCTGGAATCCCGCTCTTGGTGGGATGGGGCGGATCTTTGATGATGGCTCCACTATAGCACCTTCAATGCAGGAGTAGCGCTGAACACCCAGACGCTGGCTCTGGCATCTGAATTTCTGTTTGCGTGATGCAGAGTGGTTATAGGACAGAGTGTCTGAAAGGGGGACTTCATGCTCCTGTACTGCAAAAGTTTTCCATGGCATGGTATTTATTCTTTATGAGCCCAGTGGATTGTGGGGACATTGCCGGCTCCTCTGCTTAGCTCGTGCCAGCATCTTCTACATTAGGTTTTGCTTTCCTGAATTCCAAAAGGAATTACCTGAAAGTGATTTTGGTGCTGACAAGCCAAGTAGATGGCATGAAGCGACCTTTCTTGTGTGCAGGGCATGCCCCCCCCCGCCCACATACAGCATTTACACAGTACAGGTGGGTGTTTCTCTTCTAAGACCTCCTTCCCTTGCAGGTCTCCAATGGGGCAGTTGCCATGGCAAAGACCACCCTGGAGCAGCTCCTGATGAGATGTGCGGCTCCTTTGAAGGATGAGGAGAGGGCCGAAGACATTGTAGCGGCACAGGAGAAGTCCTTTCACCATGTGACCCATGACCTGGTTCGAGAAGTCACCTCTCCAAACTCCACCGTGAGGAAGCAGGCTATGCATTCACTGCAAGTGTTGGCCCAGGTCACTGGGAAAAGTGTGACCGCGATAATGGAGCCCCACAAAGAGGTGAGACTTCTTACCCAACCAGGACGCTGTCTCTTCATGTTTGACTTGTAAGCAGTACTCTCTTCATGATTCCGCGTCCGCATTGTAAAGTACATGTTTGGCAGGTATGCAAATAGGGATATGTTTATACTTAGAGCTGTATCAGTAATTACTAGAGGTTGGCTGTGTGTGGCTAAAGTGGTAGAGTATCTGCTAACAAGCACAAGACTCTGAGCTCAAACCACCAAAAAAAATATGTTAGCGTCAGGAGAGTAGAGCACTCATTTCCTGAGCGTGTATCCCACTGTCTGCCAGTTTTGTTTTGTTTTGTTTTAAGAGATCATTCTGGAGTCTTAAGAACTAGGTGTATCTGACTTGCGTGTTCACCAGCCACCCAGCTTTAGCCCCTGAAGCGTGTCTTCTCGTCCCTGCTTAAAAGGCACCTGTGACAATTGCTCATCTCAGGGATTCCAAAGTGGTTTCTGTGGAAAACCGTGGCAAGAGGTCTTTGCCTGTTGAGGGACAGTTGGTTAGTGGCACCCCGCTTGGCTCTTCCAGGTACTCCAGGACATGGTCCCACCTAAGAAGCATTTGCTCCGACACAGCCTGCCAATGCACAGATTGGCCTGATGGAGGGGAACACATTTCTGTACCACCCTGCAGCCCCGGCTCTTTCGGCAGGGTCATTTCTGCTTTTGACTTGTCTTTTTCTGCCCCAAAGCATGGCCCTGGCACATGGCATTTTCCTATAATGCTTGTCACTATACACACGCCGGTGTGAGGTGATTTCATATAGACAGTGAATGGCAGAAATTAAACTGTAGAGACAGCCAAATATAAGTAGTAATGCTTAGAAATACCGGTAATAGTCTAGTGATCGCTCCTAATTTAGAATATTTGGGGCACAAATCTTGCTTCTGCAGGCATTATATATTGGAACAAATCCAGGAAAAAACTTCTAAGGAAGTAAATCCTTCCTGCTCCTCACGAATTCTGTTTCATATGTGTTTTGTGTGGCCATGGGTCATCCAGCTCTTCTAACACCTTGTGGTATCCTTTGTATAGGCTCCATTGCTCTTTCAGTCTGACAAAGGATGGAGAGCTTCTGGGAAGTGGGAGGACAGCTTCCCTTGGCTGTTCAGGGTCAGACATTACAACCATCACATGAAATGCTCACAAAACATAGGACTAGAGCCTGGGGCATTTGAGGGCAGAAAATGGGTTTCCGCTGTCCAGCATTGTGCTAGCTGCGTCTGATATGAGGATCTCATGAAGACGTATGGACTCTAAGTCCTCTCCTGGAGATTCAGTCAGTAATTTTGGGGTGAGACCTGGGAATCCACTGTCTAGAAGCTTCCCAGATGATACTGGTGTAAGGCTGTGTTTAGAACTCTGGCTTGTATTGTAGTTCCAATACAACACACACACACCTACTCCTACACACATGCACACACGTGTGCTCACGTATAAGCATTTGTGAAGGTCAAAACAAGGGCCTTGTCCACAGCCGTTTTGCTCTGAGAGGTGGAGTGGGGTGGGTGGCTGGAAGTCCCTTTCATTACACACCCTTTTCTACCATTTAAAATCTTTTTACTAGGTAGGACTCTTTCAGGGAAAAAAGTGGCAAATCTATACTAGTTTTCCAAGATTTAAATAAAGAGAAGGGGAAAATAGTAACAGCGTCCTACGTGACGTTTTAGATATTAGCTACATAAGTGAAACCAGTGTGCTGAAATATCTGGAAGCATAGCCCCTGAATTTGCAATAGCATTCAACCCCTCATTGTGCTTTTCTGTAATAAAAAAGGAGATGCAACCACTCAGATATTTTTGAGGGTTTGCCCAGACATTGGGAAGCAAGCTCTGAATAAGAGGAAGACAAACCTGCCATTCTGGGATTTGCAGTTAGATAAAGGGTTCCTGTTCCTGTTCTGAGAAAAAACATGGTGTCAGAGTGAGTAAGAGAGTGTCTAGAATTTATTTCGCTAGTGAGCTTTTGGAATTTTGCTTTAGCCTAAGAAGCCCAGTCACATTTTGGGCTCTTCAGGATTTCAGTTTAGCTTGTTATTGTTAACTGTTGCGGTGTGCGTGGCTGAATGCTGTGTTCTGTTACTCGCAAGGTCCTGTGTCTTCCCAGGGAGTGGCTAACTTCGTTGTTTTATCTTGCCAGTTGCTGAATTTGTGGAAGCTGAGGATTCAGCTTTGACCAAGCTTCCCTGTTACAAAAGCCTTCCGTCCCTGGTCCCTTTGCGGATTGCAGCTTTAAGTAAGTGAATGTGAAAGTGAAACAAGTTACAAAGTGTATGAAAGGGAAAGGGACCCATGGCTTTTGTTCTTGTCTGATTTCTCTGGCTTTTTGTGGCATTAGAAATATATTAGCAAATTGCACAGGAGATGTTATAAGATTGTGTACGTTGTAGGATGTAAAGTGATTTTGTACTCTATAGTAAAGTGGATTTATGCTGTAGTTTATAGAGAGTTGTCCTACCACCCATGTGGTCCTCAGCAGGATTGAGGCTCTAGTAAGGCACACTACAGCTGTTGCAGACTGTAAAGTCTCAGAACCATCTGAGAACCCTGTGGTTTCTTGAAGTTTTCAGTAGGAACATCAGGTTTCATGTTTTAGCACAAGAATGACACAGAGTTCCGGCAAACAGTCAGTGCTAACCTGATGCTGTTATGTGCGAAACACAACTTCTATTGTGTGAATACCCAGCGTAAGCTTTTCTGCTTGGCCCATAGGTGCCTTGTTGGTGTTTAGGACTTAGTAGAATATCGTGTAGGTCTCCTTTGAATGTAGAGGGGGAGGGCTGAGGCAACCATGGCACCCAGGCGTGAGAATGTGGTGGGGGGTGTCTCAAAGCAGGGGCAAGCCAAAGCAAGGGGGATGTGCCAGGGCTGTTTGGCAGCTCCTCACTTGTGTTGGATCCTTGTTCTCAGGTGCTTCTGATGTACCTCATTTCCATTAGAAAACACAAGTATTACTCCTGCTAGAATGTCCTCTCTTAGTCAACATAGAGGCCTGAGGTGTGTTCCCGTGTTAAGGACATTTGCATTTTCTGAGCTGTAAAACCATGAGCCCCAAATTTAGGCAGAGGCTGCCTGATTAGATGTGAGTAGAAAAGTCAGACCGCGTGTGTCTGTTTCCTGAATCACCTGTCCCTGGTGGTCGAGAGGTCATGTCCTCTGTAACTGAGATGTGACTTCTCCAGGCCAGCCATGCTCTGGCCCCATGAGGATGTCTTGGGGCCAGGGGTGTCTGGAGGTGGAGGATTCAGGAAGGCCGTTTCCTCTACTCTTAGACATGATGCTAGAAGACCACACATTCTTCCTTCTTGAGGCCGGACTCTAGGAAGGAGCATTAGTGGCTCATAGTTGACGGGATCCTTGAGGGAAGAAAAATTTTCAGATCTTTCTTAGGTTGATAATGGCATTGCACTGGTTTCTCTCCCGAAAGATGCGCTCGCAGCCTGCAATTACCTCCCTCAGTCCAGGGAGAAAATCATCGCCGCTCTCTTCAAAGCCCTCAACTCTACTAACAGCGAGCTCCAGGAGGCCGGAGAAGCCTGTATGAGGAAGGTGAGTGTGTGAGACTGCGCATGCCTCATTCTGTGCACTGGATGTCTGTCTGTCCGCCCATCACCACACCCGAATTGTGGTAAGCCTCTGCCTGTTGTACTGGAGCTCAGCTATTCACAGTGAGCAGTGGGGTCAGGGGCTCATCCCATCAGCTCCCAGAAGTTGTGGCAGCACTCTCATTTCTCAAGGGAAGGCAAGCGCTTGCTGCTGGAAGCAAATATAAATCAGAAGGTCTTCGCTCTTGCCTGTTTTTCTTGATAATGTCTCTTTTTTGATAGTTTTTAGAAGGTGCCACCATAGAAGTAGATCAAATTCATACGCATATGCGACCTTTGCTGATGATGCTGGGAGATTATCGGAGCTTGACCTTGAATGTTGTGAACCGGCTGACTTCTGTTACCAGGCTCTTCCCAAATTCCTTCAATGATAAGTTTTGTGATCAGATGATGGTAAGCTGAATGTGTTCACACTTGTTCTATCATGCATTTGAAAATGTGAACTGCTTTTTAAAGTAATAGTCCATTCATTCGGTTTAAAATGCAAAAGCTGGAAAAGCTGTATTCAAATAGTCTCCTTCCTGTTTGTCTCCTCCTACTGCCCCGTACTGCTCCCTGCAGGCAGCCAGCACTGGCAACATGCCGGGCATCCTATAGCGACATGTGGGTGTCCACATTGCAGTAATGTGTGCCCTCGTCACCTCGTCATCTCCTCACCTTGTCACTTTGTCATCTCATGTGGTCACATGGAGTACTTCTGCTCTGTGTTACTTGGCTTCATAATAGCATTGATTGAAGTTGCCATAATTTATGCAGCCCCTCCCCAACTAGAGAAACCTCTAGATCACTCCTAGTCTTTTGCTATCTTAGAGGAGTTTATCTGAGGCCTAGATTTCTAGCGGTAGAGCTTCCAGATCAGAAGGCACTGTGTGTGTGCTAGTCTCAGACTGCATTGTCAAATTACTCTCTGAGGAGATCCTGCCAATCTGCCCTTCCTTGTAGAAAACAGAAGAGCATACCTCCTGTATAGCCTCCAACAAGAACTTCAGAGAGCCTTTGGGGTTTAGGTTATCAGAAACAATCAGTGAAGGGTCTGTTTGACTGTGTTCAGTGTTGATGTGTAAGCAGGTGAAGGCGAGCGTGCTTTTGCACTCCACTGTGCTTCTGGTAACCGTTTTGTAAATAAGCATTTGTTAACTTAGGCTTCACTGTGCATCACTGCAGATGTGGGTGCATTGTCATACTCGTGCTCCTAAGCAGCCTTCCACTGTGTAGCACTGAAGAACTGGAGGTGTTTCTTCGTGTTTGGTCAGCCCGTCTCTCCTCAGTGAGCAGGAGTGAGGCAGAAATTGTGTAGGAGCGTACATAGGCAACTCCTGACTATGGGAGTTGCATGGTTTGGTTTTCATAACCTTGCATGCATGCTGGTTTCTCCATATGTGCAGATACCTCAGTGGCTACTGACCACAATAAAATCGTAAGTGGTGCCTTAATAGATTGTAATGGGACCCACAGAATTCCATGGAGGGAACTCTCAGGGCTGGGGAGTTCCAGCATGTACAGACTTCAGCTCCACACATGCAGGTGTGCGTGCATGAGTAAGGAAACAAAGTCACACCACTTCCTCATCAGGGTGCATCACATGCACACTCTTCTCATCAGTGCCAGGAGCTTGATGCTTTCATCCATGAGGTCTGGCGTGTGGCCCAAGTATCCTGAAGCTGCTACACTCGTCTCTTTAAAACTAGTCTGTGCCCTGTCTCAGCCATCTCCTATTGCTGCCTTTGCCTGCCTGCCTGCCTGAGGAACTCTGTGCTTTTAAGCCTCCAGTCTCGCCCTTCGGCCTGCTGTGAACATCTTATGCACGCTTGGTGCAGGACCAAGAGAACCATCTCCAGTCTAGTTTCTAACAAAGGCCAGGGGGTCTTTCCCTCAAGTAACCTCATGCATTTTGTGTTGGTGTGCCCAGGAGCCTTGGTCCCACCTTCTCTGGCTTTCTGAGTAGTTAAAAATCCTGTAAGTGAGTGTTTGTGTAAGTGGATAGAGCCTGGCTGTGGCTCTGCTTGTGTAGACGCTTCCACTTGCACACCCTCGCTGACAGCTCCGCCTGGCCCACGCTGGGTTTCCCACACTGGGTTTCCCACACTGCCTGCTGTGCTGTTCATCTCAGCCTCCCTCACTGCCTGGTGTCACTTTTGTCCTCCCTCATGGGACATGCCCTGGGGGTCAGCGGCTCAGGCCTCAGCATTGTCTTGAGGTGAGACCCTATGTCAAGTAGGTACTCATGGAAACAACCCTAGAAAGTTCCCTTCCTCAGACAGTTTTAATCTTCGGCTAGGTCTTTGATCTACTTGTACTTAGTTTTTGTATGTGGTGTGAAGTAAGGGTCCAGCCTCGTCTTTGAGTTTGAATTGCTTGACATTTGATCGTGATGCACCCTATGTAGTTAGTAGTTTTGGACATTTCCTTATTGAAACATGATTTTGTATACCAATTAGTATTTGTTTCTTTTGGGAAATCTGAAAGCAGAAAGTGGTGACATAGCTGGTCACCGTCAGTACCTTGAGGTCCATTCCTCATTCACATCTTTGCCATAGTCACCACTCTAGCAAGATGCAGGCTTCATGAGTTTATTCTCTGGTGGTTAAGACCCTTCAACAATTGTTTCAAACCCTCCAATCCTAGCTACTCAGGAAGCAGAGATTAGGAGTATCGAGGTTCAAAACCAGCCCTGGGCAAATAGTTCAGGAGACCCTATGTCAAAAATACCCAACACAAAAAAAAGGGACTGGTGGAGTAGCTCAATTGGTAGAGAGAGCACTTGCCTAGCAAGCGTGAGGCCCTGAGTTCAAACCCCAGTGCAGCAAAAAACAAACAAAAATGATTGCCCTCATTTGTCTGGGATGAGACTGCTGCCCAGTAGCACTAATTTCCACAGCCTCTGAGTGGAATCCTTGCTTATCTCCCCAGCCATCTTCCCCGGTCCCCTCAGCCACTGTGGCCATCTCTTGTATCCTGGCCCGAGGGTCCTTGTCCCTCCTCTTTGCTCTTCCCTGAGTGGTTTTCCCTCCCACCTTAGCACATCTGCCTTGCTCCTTCCAGCTTAGACATCACAGCCTTTACAGGGGCTTCCTCAGACCCAGCCCTCCCCTGAAGCTGTTCCTGTTCTGTCCTGACTCTCACTGTGACGTGTTTCCCTGCTGTGTCAGGAGCAGCTTGAGCTCAGGGCTGCGGTCCGCTGCCTCACTTCTCTGCTCTCTCCCCAGCCTGGTACCCAGAGCGCTACCAGCACTCAGTAGCAGCTGCGGAACTAATCAGTGCAGAAGAAAGTGGCACACACTACTGTGGTGTAGGCATGGCCAGGGTTCAGCCCGTTTGTTTACAGAACGAGAACAGATGCCAGTTAGCCACATGGCTTGTGTGACTACTGGGCTGTGTCAGTACTGGGAGCGCCATGGTTCCCCTTTAATTTGAGGGAAAGGGATGATGGCGAGTGCCCACGAAGGAGCAGTGTGAGCAGTGAGGTGCGCTCCCACCAAGGGGAGCTTGGCTCTAAAGCATGTGTTTTTCAACAGCAACATCTGCGCAAGTGGATGGAGGTGGTGGTGATCACCCACAAAGGGGGCCAGAGGAGCGACGGAAACGTGAGTAGCGCTCTTCAGTGTGTTCCACGCCCGGTTCCTGTGACCGCTCCTCACCTTGTCCTAGCGCCACCTTTTGCTTTTATTCCTCTTAATGGTGACATTCCCTTTCGTGGTTCTTTAAACTCTCTTGCTCACTCCAACTCGCCATTTCTGTTGATGAGAGTTCTAGGAACCCTGACATGTTAGTTCTTCAGCTTCACTCGTCCTGCTTTACGCAGTGCATTTTCTAGACTGCTCCTGGCAGCTGCTGTGCACATGGCGGCACTTCCCTGAGTTTGTTCTGTTCCTCCCATCGTCGGTGGTCGGTGAACGTTTATTTAAACAGTATTGCCAAGCAGAGGCTACAGGACGCACCACAGACAGCCGCCACACGCGCCTTCTCAGTCTGAGCCCCTCTCCCTAATTGTTTGCTTACAGCAAACTCACACGGTTTTGAGGGGAAAACACTGCAACCATTCAAGTAGTGGCTTTAAGACTGTCTTTTAAAAAAAATGCATGCTTTTGGCTGTTTGAATCTAACATTACTCATGTTAACTGTTTATAGTGAGTGCACTTAAACCTGCTGATGTCCTTCAGTGGAACTGTGTTTTCTCCATAAGTTTTATGACATCTGTGAAATTTTACACAGTGTCCCCATTGGGGGACTCCTCAGAGTTCTTTAGAGGCATAATTAATGTGGCTTTTTGTCCTCCTGTGCCTATTTGTTGGATGCAGTGTTTCATCCCAATTTGGAATTTTTTGGGTTTTTTTTTTTTGGCTTTATTATGCTTTGCTGTGACCATCCTGTGCCAAAGTGGTTTGTGTACGTATCTTACTTTCTGCTGCTTCTAAACGGCCAACTAAGCAGAACTAAACCAGGATTTACAATTTTTAAAAAAGTTTTGACCAGTTGAAAGATTTATTTATATCTGCAGAAAAAGTGAGGGTGTCTTCACGAAGGAGAACAGAGCATGTCGTCAAAGCCTGAGCTCCTGGAGCAGGCACAGGCGTTATACCTTCCTCCCCTGCTGTTATGTGTTCTCACTTTCAGTCTGACGTTTGTTTTACAGTAGACTGGTAGCTGTAGAATTGATTATGTGTTTCAGAATAAACATCTAAAACAAATACAACCCTAGAGGGCGGGTGAGTGACTTCCATGAGCCAAAAACATTCCATGAACTTTGCAGTCCATTATTTGGGGATGTTGTATTGGGATGGAGGCGTGGGTACTGGGAAGTCCTGGACTCCTGCAGGGACGTTTGCGTCCTCCGTGAGTGATGTCCTGAGTAGAGGGTCCTCAAGTTCTCTGCTATGGGTCTAGAGACATTGAGCTTGGCTGTGACATTATTGTCTCAGCCCAGGTGAGGCCACTGCTCAGGTCAGTTTCAGTGATATGTGGGGGCAGGTCTTGCTCCTGTTCTAGATCATATTGCTTAGGTGACATACTAGATTTGAAGATGTTAAGCAGTTGACTAAAAGAGAAAGCTCCTCTGTAACTGGGGTGCTCTGATGACTTGAGCTTTGCACCATCAGTCATGTGTGAAGCCTCCCTTTTGACAGTGAGCTCCCAGGGGACAACATGTGGCCACCTACTTTGCCAATAATGTGCGCACACCTACACCTGTGCACACAAATACACACACACACACACACACACACACATACACCACACACACACACCACACACCACACACACACACACCACACACCACACACACACATACCACACACACACACACACACAACACCACACACACACACACACACACACACACACACATACACCACACATACACACACACACACACCACACACCACACACACACACACACCACACACACACACACACACACACACACACACCACACACACACACACACACAACACACACACACACACACACACACACCACACACACACACACACACACCACACACACACACACCACACACACACACACACACACACACACACACACACCACACACCACACACACACACACAACACACACCACACACCACACACACACCACACACCACACACACACACACACACACACCACACACACACACCACACACCACACACACACACCACACACACACACACACACACAACACCACACAACCACACACACCACAACCACCACACACAACACACACCCACACACACACATACACCACACACACACACACACACCACACACCACACACACACACACACCACACACACACCACACACCACACACACACACACACACACACCACACACCACACACACACACCACACACACACACACACACACCACACACACACACACACACACACACACCACACACCACACACACACACACACACACACACACACACACCACACACACACACACACACACACACACACACACCACACACACACACACACACCACACACACACACACACACGAAGCTAGACTTACGAGGCTGTACCACACTCCACGAGGCCCCCCAGCTCTCTGCTGGATGGTGCCATGGCCTATGTGTGTGTGTGGTGGTGGTGGGGGCACAGGCACACCTTACTGACGGGGCCGCACCACCCAGCTCCGTTCTGACTAGCTGGGAAAGGATTTTTTAAAAATTATTTTTAAAAAACGTATTAGTTCACATAAAACGGGGTTAATTATGAGAGAGAAGCCTTTTTAAAATGTATTTGCATACAACAAGGTCTTGGCATTTCTCCTCTTAGACAAGAATTCTGAGACCCTGGTGTAAATTTTTGACTTAGGGAAGAAACACTCCGTCAGCTGCTCTGAGGGGGCGCATTGACGTCTGAGGGTGGAAAGTGTCGTTCTGGCTGCTGAGCATTTGCTTATTATTGTGTGCTTTCTGATAATGTCTTTCCTGTCTTGTTAACCCAATAACCCTTCCTGTGTGTGAGTACGTGGGAAGTTCTGATGTAAATGACATAAATAGAAAAAGATGATTTTCCTCCCCATCCTCAGGAGAGCATTTCAGAGTGCGGGAGATGCCAGCTCCGTTCTGACTAGCTGGAAAGGAATTTTTAAAAATTAATTTTTAAAAAACGTATTAGTTCACATAAAACGGGGTGTAATTATTGAGAGAGAAGCCTTTTTAAAATGTATTTGCATACAAAAGGCTTGGCATTTCTCCTCTTAGACAAGAATTCTGAGACCCTGGTGTAAATTTTTGATTGGGAAGAAACAACTCCGTCAGCTGCTCTGAGGGGGCGCATTGGACGTCTGAGGTGGAAAGTGTCGTTCTGGCTGGCTGAGCATTTTGCTTATTATTGTGTGCTTTCTGATAATGCTTTCCTGTCTTGTTAACCCAATAACCCTTCCTGTGTGTGAGTACGTGGGAAGTTCTGATGTAAATGACATAAATAGAAAAAGATGATTTTCCTCCCCATCCTCAGGAGAGCATTTCAGAGTGCGGGAGATGCTCCTTGTCTCCATTCTGTCAGTTTGAGGTGAGAACAACCTATCAAAAGTCAGTTTCTGACTTGCAATGTGAAGAACATTTTTCTTTTTTTCTTTTTTTTACTTTCTGTTGCCTTTTTTCATGCTGTAACTTTTGTTTTGGTTCAGCCTGCCGTGGAAGGGGTAGAGGTGAGGACTTCAGTGGAGCTGCAGGAGGGGGTTGTTGTTGCGTTTGGTTTTGCTGTGACTCGTTAGCTGTGTTGTGATCTCTGTAGTGGACAGAGTGCCTTGTGCCTTTGAGTGCGGTGACCTGTACTGTCTGTCTGTGACGGAGTCGTATCAGTACCATTGCTGTGAACTGTCTGGGTGCCACGCATGTTCTAGATTAGGACATGTTAAGCAAGATTTTAAGTTCCTCTGTTTTCTACACGTCAGTACTATTTAATATCTCAATACTACTGAAGACTGGATTGGGTTTTCCTCTCATAGAGTTCACACACACTGTAACACCCTCCTGAGAAAGCCCTTCATGGAGCGTAGCTGCTGGAGAGTGGGAGTGACTGTGCTCCTTTCATGCTGCCAGCTTACTGCCAGCTTACTGCCTGTCTCAAGCTTCGCGCCTCACTGCCCGCTCCCTGCCAGGCCCTTCCTCTCTCCTGTGCATATGTGCACTCTTGTGCCCACGTGGCTACCGCCCTGTGGCTTGGGAGAGTCAGACCAGCTTTCCCTCCTGTAGAAAATGGGAATGGTGACACCTGTCCTTTCTAAACTTCAGTGCTATTGTAAACACTGAAGGAAGGGTTTCTGTAATTGCTTCAGAAATAAAAAATTACTGCATAAAATGCCATGTTAGAGAGTGACAATTTAGGGAAGAAGTCACTGGGTCCAAAGACCTGAAAATGTGCAGGGAGAGCGATAGAGGTGGGATGGGCGCTGGGTCCCAAGACAGATTTGCTTGTTTCCTGCCCAGGCTCCTCTGTGGCCTTCTGGCTTAAAGAGAAAGCTTGACAGGTGTCGCACATGCCACAGTGACCCTGCCACTCCTGAACAGTGCTTTACCATCCCCTTGTCACCTTGCTGAGAGCCACAATGCAGGGGTGCATTGGGTGAGCCCTTCCCCCATGGCCTCACAGCAGCCCACCCTGAGTGGTCAGCACACCAGGCCATGCAGGACGTGGTCCTTTACACGCCTGGCAGCGGCTCACTGGAGCGCTAGTTGGCCTTCTGTGAGGCCTGGCTGACAGATGCTTTTGTGTCGTCAGTTCATGTCCACCTATGCTTAGCTGCCAGGGGAAACGCGTTCCTTTTGAGAAACTTCCTTGACCAGGTTTTAGTGCAAAAGAAGCACATGCTTGCAGAACTTAGTGGCTAAGAAGCCTCTGTGTGCCCAGAGTGAGGTGCTTGGTGAGGGACGGGCACAGGCCACCAGTAAGGCACATGCAGTGAGGCTGCCTCCCTCCAGGGACACATACACGACAGCCAGGGCAGGGAGTTAGCTCAGTGCAGAACAGTTGTAATCTGATACGGTAAGTTGTGGCTTTTCCATGTGACTCTGCTTTGGTGGCCAGCCTTGCGAGTGTGGCTAGACTGTAGTGACGTCTCTGCTTGTAAAACTAAGGGGCCAACTTATGACTTCTGGTTTTGTTTGTTAGGAGATGAAGATTTGCTCAGCAATCATAAACCTCTTCCATCTGATCCCAGCTGCCCCTCAGACGCTGGTGAAGCCCTTGCTAGAGGTTGTGATGAAAACAGAGCGGGCCATGTTGATTGAGGTAGGGGCCAGGCTGGGGCTGATTCGTGTCCTCCCTCCATCCGTTGCCTGTGATAGTTTCACTTGTATTCCTCGTTCATCTGTGTCTGAAGTGGAAATCTAGCATCTAACAGCGTAGACAGTGCTGTGTCCTCACGGTCCTTAGCACTGGTCTGGTCGGGAGCACTGTCATCTGTTTGGGGTATTTTTCCTTCCTTTAATTGGTGTTTTGAGATGGTTTTGCTTTGTACCCCAGGCAGGCCTCCAACTCATGCTCCTCCTCCCTCAGCCTCCCGAGTGCCGGGATTTCAGATGTGCACTGTCCCACCCAGCTTACTTGTGAATAGGTCTTGAGCAGGGGAGGTGTGGGATGCAGCTGTCCCTCGTGTTTCATAGGCTGGAAGTCCATTCCGAGAGCCCCTGATCAAGTTCCTGACCCGTCACCCCTCGCAGACAGTGGAGCTGTTCATGATGGAGGCGACACTCAACGACCCCCAGTGGAGCCGGATGTTCATGGTAGGCTCCCAGTACAGTGTGGAACTCACATTGCTCCATTCTGCTCTGGCTGCGTGTTTCCTCGGGCATTTCAGGGTTGGGCGCTCATTGCTGTTCTGTTGTACTCATGAGAAGTTCAGGCCAGGAAATCCTCTTTGTACAATGGTTGGTGGTAGTAGTGAGTGAGTGTCCTGCTAGGATTATAAAATCACAGTCATGGAGTGAGATCATTATTCAAAAACCATCATTTTCAAAAAGTGAGCTTCTGCTGGTTCTTTTGCAGTATTGGGATTTGAACTCTGAATTTCAGGCTTGCCAGGCAGGCCCTCTACCACTTGAGGGACTCTGCCAGCCCTATCCTGACTTTGTTTTGCCTGCCTGTACTTTTAGCAAGAACTTTAGAATTCCAACCTTCTGTTGAGTGTATTTGCTCAAAACAGCTTTCCTGTGTGTTCTGCTTTCAGAGCTTTTTAAAACACAAAGATGCTAGGCCTCTGCGAGACGTGCTGGCTGCCAATCCCAACAGGTTCGTCACCCTGCTGCTGCCTGGCGGTGCGCAGGCTGCTGTGCGTCCTGGTTCACCCAGCACCAGCACCCTGCGCCTGGACCTCCAGTTTCAGGCCATCAAGGTAGCATCCCCTTACGACGGCCCTGAAATCCCCACAGTGTGACAGAACCACAGTCCCCTGATTGTCTCTTCTGTGACAGATCATCAGCATCATAGTGAAAAACGATGACTCCTGGCTGGCCAATCAGCATTCTCTGGTGAGCCAGCTGAGGCGTGTGTGGGTCAGTGACACCTTTCAAGAAAGACACCGCAAAGAGAACATGGCTGCCACCAACTGGAAGGAGCCTAAGCTGCTGGCCTTCTGTCTGCTCAACTACTGCAAGTGGGTGCACCCGCCGGCCCCACGCCCACCCTGGAGCTGCTCTGTCTGACATGCAGGCCGAGTCTCGCTAATATGTGCAAGCTGCGGCTCGGGACGCAGGCGCTGCGCTCGAGTTCGCTGTGGAGGATGGGCTGTGACTTGGAGCTGTGTAGGCGGCAAATTGGGTGATAGATAACATAGGTGTGGAGTTGTCCTCGAGTTGACCTGTTTCTCGTTCTGACCTTTTAGAAGGAATTATGGAGATATAGAATTGCTGTTCCAGCTTCTCCGAGCATTCACTGGTCGCTTCCTCTGCAACATGACGTTCTTAAAAGAGTACATGGAGGAGGAGGTCCCAAAGAGCTACAGCGTCGCCCAAAAACGTGCCCTGTTTTTTCGCTTTGTGGACTTCAATGACCCCAACTTTGGAGATGAACTGAAAGCAAAGGTTAGCACTATGGGCATGGAGGAGATGGCTTTGGGGGCTCGGTTGGCTTTTTGGGAGCCTCCACCCTTTTCCTGTTGCGCTTACTTGGCGGACTGCTGAGGGTGGAGAGCACAGCTCTTCCAGCCATCCTGTGCGGAAAGGTACATAGGTAGTGCAATAGCTTCCTCATTCCCGTAGGCTGATTCTCACACGAGGGGAAGCCAGGCTGGTGCGGGATCTCCAGCCCTCGGTCTTTAGCTCACCTCAGCAGCTGCATTTGGCTAAAGTCGAGATGGATGCTGCTCCTGTGGTGGAGTTCAGTGCCATTAACACATTGTCACCAAAGAGGCTGCATGGCTTTGTTTCCCTCTTCATTCTGAATCTTTTTATAGGTTCTGCAGCATATCTTGAATCCGGCTTTCCTGTACAGCTTTGAGAAGGGGGAAGGAGAGCAGCTCTTAGGACCTCCCAATCCAGAAGGGGACAACCCCGAGAGCATCACCAGTGTGTTTATAACCAAGGTGCCAAGGCCCTGCAGATGAGTGGACGTGTGTGTGTGTGTGTGTTGTGTGTGTGTGTGTGAGGGCTTCTGGGAACACATCTTCAGACTTTTTGTTCGTTTGTTTTTTACAATACTGGGGTTTAAACTCAGGGCCTCACATTTGCTAGGCAGGTGCTCTACCACTTGAGCCACTCCACCAGCCCTTTTTTGTGTTGGGTATTTTCGAGATGGAGTCTTGAGAACTATTTGCCTGGGCTGGCTTCAAACTGCGATCCTCCAGATCTCTGCCTCCTCTGAGTAGCTGGAATTATGGACATGAGCACCAGTGCCCGGCTTCCTCAAGGCACTTGTTTTCCGTAATGGTATTACCTCGTGGCAGAGTGTCCCATTACAGTTGTCACAGTGGATCATTGAAGGTGCCTCTCTCTGGAATGAATCACGTTTGCACATTGATAGCTTCCAGAAAACAGCTCAGTGAAAATCAGATGTAAGTGCTCTAGTTTTATCCTTAGCTTTGTAAAAGAGTCTACTAAGAGCCCGTGAGAATGGTGGAGTGGCCGGGTTGCTGCTGTGACCTGTGGTTACTAAGGTATTGAAGCCATGTTGTAGAAGTATGACTGCAATTAGTGCAGGTGCATTCTTACAGAATAAATGCTTACATTGTATTAGTACTCTGAGGCTCACCTTACTGAACTTCAGGGTTGGATGTTGTGTTTCCCTGCACATTGTTGTATTCGGTATTTTTTTTCTCCTGTTTTTTTTTTTTTGTACTCGTATGTGCATACAATGTTTGGGTCATTAGTATTCGGTATTTTTTATAAGAGTTGTCTGTGGGACACCATGCCCAGCATTTGACATCTGCACTGTGGACTGATGGTCTCCAGCGGTGACCACCACATATGTTTTATGTCTTTGGAGGGACACAGCTGGATTTCTCACCCTTTCCCTCCTAGGATCAAGGCAGAGAGTACTGCTGCTCCTGTTGGCAGGTTACTGGACTTTATTAGACTCTGTCTCGAGACAGGCCTCCTCCCTGTGCCTTGGACATCACTCCCCGCTCCTGAGCCAGTCTTAAGGATGTATGCCTAGTCGCTACACTGACATCTGTGTTACTCTGGTAGAGGCTGTGACCTCTACCAAAGGGGAGAAGTGGTGGGAAAATAGCACTGTGTGTGCTAGTGCAGGGGTGAGGGGCACCACTAAGAAGCAGCAGATCCAGGGAAGAGAAGAGCTGTGCCACCTAACGCTGTCTGTGTTCCAGAACTAGACAGAGCTGGTGGACAGATGTGGTTAGGAACTTTGTTGAATGGTATTGATGTCACACTTGACATGATACAGGATGTAGAATATTTCTCAGAGAATGTGCAGTTTTCCTAGTGTCCGTGAAACATGTTCAAAAAAGTCTCTCAGATACTTGATCACATAGAGAATTTTTGAAAATACAGATTTTTTTTTTCCTGGACCACAAGGCAGGAAACAGGAATAATGAAAAGTTGGCGAGGGGAAAAACTCAGACTCACTCCTCAGTTACCTTGCACCAAAAAAAGAAATCTTTGCCAGGCATGATTGTGCACACCTGTAATCCCAGCACTTGGGAGGCAGAGGCAGGAGGGTCTTCACTTTGAAGCTAGCCTGGGCGATAGAGAGAGACTGTTGTCTAGTAAAGGAAAAAAAAGGTCCTCCTTTTCCACATCAACTCCTTTGCCCACAGCTAAACTTTTTATTTAAACATTTATGTATTTGTGAGCTTGTAATCCATGTGTATAAAAGGAAAATCTGTGTGACATACATGGGGTGTGTGTACATATTAAGGTTTAAGCGTGCTATTCGACTCTCAGTAGGTAACACAGTTCAGATCAGAAGTAAAGTCTGTCCTGCTTTGCTTGCTGGCAGGTCCTGGACCCTGAGAAGCAGGCAGACATGCTGGACTCCCTGCGGATCTACCTGCTGCAATACGCCACGCTGCTGGTGGAACACGCCCCGCACCACATCCACGACAATAACAAGAACCGAAACAGCAAGCTGCGCCGCCTCATGACCTTCGCGTGGCCCTGCCTGCTCTCCAAGGCTTGCGTGGACCCTGCCTGCAAGTACAGTGGGCACCTGCTGCTCGCGCACATTATTGCCAAGTTTGCAATACACAAGAAGATTGTCCTCCAGGTACAGCAGGGCTACCCTTCGTCCCCAACACCACTTGCACACCTCACACCAGTACTCTGCTGGCTTTTTTTAACTCCATTTTTAAAAAAGCTCATCTCTGCCTTCTTGTGAAAGCTGTGGGGAAAAAAGTACAGTATGATTGCACTTACTAGGTATTTAGAATGGCCAGAATCATAGAGACAGGTAAACAGAGGTTACCAGGGACTGGGGAGAGGAGAGAATAGGAGTTAGTGTTTAGTGGGGTCAGAGATTCAGGTTGGGAAGCTGAGGAGGTCTTGAGGTAGCTGACCGCATGATGCTGTGTGTATTTGAGCACAGGAAAGGATAGTTGAGGGAGCGAGAAAAGCCCTACTATGAACCAACCACCCATGACCAGTCATCGTCTCCATCCACTGCTCCTGCTCTGCCTGCCGGATCTTTTCAGCCTTGCTTTTGAAATGGACTGCCTCCCTTTCCTACCTCGAGTTCCCGTACCATTGAGTTTTGACTTCTAAGGGAAGGGGTCTTGCTTTGTTGCCCAGGCTGAACTGGGCTCGAGCAACTGTCAAGGGTCCCAGTTTATCCACTCCTATAGCCAAAAGCAGTAGACACTTTGAACTCACATTCTACACCCCTACTGCACATAGCCTCGGAACATCTTCCTTGGGCCTTGGTGGTTTAGGCTCTGATTCTGGGTTTTTGTTCCTCCACTCACCAGTTCTGTGCCACTGGGGAAGTTAGTGTCGCCATAAGAACTAAATGTAATAACACATTTGCATGTTCAGCATTGAGCACAGTTCTTGTCCTGAGGCCACCTTTTGTGGTTTTCCCTGACTCAACTTATCTGGTGTTAAAGCAGAGACCCAGAACACAAGTCGTCACCTCCCCAGGCACTTGGGACCACCACTTCTGTCCTTCAGTCGTCCTAGCAGGAAATCCAGGGGACATCCCTGACGCCTTCTCCTCATCCCCAGCACCCTGAAACAGCAATCTTGTTGATTCTAGCACCCTTCCTGTCCCCTCCACCCTGGTGTTCCCATGACCTTACGTCACGCGCCTATGGATCACACCTGGAATCACAACTACTCAGGAAACAGAGATCAGGAGGATTGCGATTCAAAGCCATCCTGGGGAAATAGTTTGTGAGACCCTGTCTCAAAAAAACCAAGTTCAAGAGCGCCTGCCCAGCAAATGTGAGGCCCTGAGTTCAAACACCAGTACCACCAAAGAAATGAGTGCTTACCATGGCCTCTGATTTTGGTGCCTTTCACTCCATTTTCCACACTAGTCAGAGTATGTGCTTATCTCACTTCCCATCGTGTAGGCTAGACAGAGCTCTGCAAGGGGCCACCTCTTTGGTCTCTGTGGCCTGACCTAGCCCATTGCGGGCACACGGGAGGCACTCAGTAAATACTGGAATGATTGTGTTCTGAGTGACCGTCTTCTCATTCCGAGCCTTCATGGCCACCTTATGTGCTGATGGTGCTCCTTTTGTAGGTGTTCCACAGTCTTCTCAAGGCTCATGCGATGGAAGCCCGAGCGATCGTCAGACAAGCCATGGCCATCCTGACTCCAGCTGTGCCTGCCCGCATGGAGGACGGCCACCAGATGCTGACGCACTGGACCAGGAAGATCATTGTGGAGGAGGGGCACACGGTCCCGCAGCTGGTGCACATCTTGCATCTGATAGTGCAGCATTTCAAGGTATGTGGCACGTCATCAGGCCTTTGCTTTGAACTTTGGCCTCTCTCTGGATGTTAAAAAGGTGGCCACTGATTTTTAGTAAAGCTACTTCCACGTTTATGATTAGTTTCTGTGGGTGCATCTTACACACAGTGATGGCTGTGGAGTACAGAGAGTGTGTGCTTTACTGTGGAAGAGCATTTTCCCTGGAAGTTCTCAGTTGGCCTGACTGCACATAGGCTGTCACTTTAAGGTGGCAGAAAAAAGAGATCTTGATGTGCCTCCTCCATAGTCCCTCATCCACTCTGCAGGCAGACTGACTTCTATGCAAATGATTGGTATAGATTTGGTGTAAAGGAGATAGAATTGAGTCAAAAGCTCATTCTTTCAGAATTGGAAATTTGCCTTTTGGTATGTCTTAAATTTTATGATGTCAAGTCTGAAGTTTGATATGTGACTAGACTTGCTCACCCGCTGAAGAGAATTCATGTCTTTAACGTGTTGGTCTAACAGGTGCACATGTGTCTTTACATGGAGGTTCAGCACGGGGAGGAGTGGTGCACGCATAAGGAAACGAGAATTCCCTCTGCAGCGTGAGGCTGCATTGGATGAGTGTGTGTGTGTGCTCACAAGAGCACGTTGTGTACGTGAGGGCTGGGGCCGACTACCCCCATGCTGGTCCTTTGCCCGCAGGTGTACTACCCAGTACGGCACCACCTGGTGCAACACATGGTCAGCGCCATGCAGAGGCTGGGATTCACGCCCAGCGTCACCATCGAGCAGCGGAGGCTGGCCGTGGACCTGTCTGAGGTTGTTATCAAGTGGGAACTGCAGAGGATCAAGGACCAGCAGGTAAGTGTGTCAGTACATGGTGTGCTCCCTAGTTCACCTGTCTCGTCCTTGTGGGATCAGTCGGTAAAGTTGGATGTGTGTTTGTTTTTAAGCCGGATTCAGAAATGGACCCAAATTCCACTGGAGAAGGCATCAATTCTGTGTCGACCTCCATCAAGAGAGGCTTGTCGGTGGACTCTGCCCAGGAAGTGAAACGCTTCAGAACGGCCACTGGAGCCATCAGTGCAGTAAGAGCAAGCGCTTTCCTATGGGACTCTGTGTTTATTCAGTGTGTCTCCAGTGCAGGCTAGCTTTGAGTGTGTGCCCAAGAGGCAGTGGAGACGGCTGCAGGGGCACGTGTTCTTGGGAGTTCCCAAGTGTCTGCACACACTGCCCTCTGCATTCCCTCAGGACCAGTAGTGTTGGTAGTGAGGATTCACAGAAAGGTGTCAGGAGAAACTCTGACTCAGTGATTGAGTGTGCCCTGGATTGGATCCCCAGTACCACATGCATGCACACACAGGCGCACCTCCTCGAAGCAAGAGAATACGCAGCCATTGAAAAGACTTTTAGAAGACAGTGCAGCTGTGTTGTTTTCTGAAGGGCAGCCTCCAAGAGGTCCTGGACTCCCTGCTCTTGTCCCCTTGTCCAGGCAGCATCCTCTGTTCTCTGCTCAGCTAGTGTCTCTAACCCACCGGTTGGCTCTACTTCCCACTTCCTGTATCCCACCTTCACTGACCCTCCCACCCCACCCAGGGCTCCAGATAGAAACCTGGACTCATCTGCACTGTGTCCCTTCCCTTCTCCCCACACGTAGTTGAGAGCAAGGCCTGTCAACCTTGCTGCAAACGCTCACCTTCTGCCCGCTCACCCTCCAACTGTGGCCTGAGCCTCCACACCCTCGCTCAAATCCCTTCACTGCCCCCCGGATCCGCTGGCGCTTCTACATTGACGTCTGCTTTGTTCCCAAAGTGATCAGAATACCAGAAGCTCTGTTTTCAAAACTAACAGCAAGGGAAGTAGGTTGGAGACTACATGGGACCTCAGCACTGTTTTTATAATTGCTTGTGGATCTTTTTTTTTTCTTATTGGTGGGACTGGGGTTTGAACTCAGGGCTTTATACTTGCAAAGCAGGCACTCTACTGCTGAGCCAAACCTCCAGCCCTACTTGTGGATCTTGAAGTTGTTTTAAAACTAAACTTAAAAGTCAAACTGCCTTTGCTTTCTGCTACACTCAGGCCCCAGGCCCCAGGTAAGCGGCCCTGCTGGCAGTGCTGTTGCTGGGCACCTCCCCACTACACTCTGAGTACCCAGGCCCTTCCTGTACACTGAAGAAACTCAAGTCCCTCACTCACTTGGGACCTCTGTGGCTCCTTTATGTAGGGTCATGTTCTCCTTCCTGGTGGTCAGCTTCTCTTCCCAATCACTCCATCTCTCACCTTCTGTGCCACTTTCTCTCTCCTGTCACATGAGCAAGCCATTGTTCCTCACTGCCACATCGTTAGTCATCTCCTTGGCTACCAGGTCCGTGGGCTTCATGAAGGCATCTGTCTCTGGTGTCCCTTCTGCCCTGAAAAGCGTCCATCTCTGGGAGGTGCCAGCCCCTGGCAGCTAGCTGATGGTCAGCGCCGTGTAGAAGTTCCTGCTGATAATTGTCTCCTGATCCTCTCCTAGGTGTTTGGGAGGAGCCAGTCACTGCCTGGCGCTGACTCTCTACTTGCTAAGCCCATTGACAAGCAGCACACGGACACTGTGGTGAACTTCCTCATCCGAGTGGCTTGTCAGGTACATGACTGGGAACCTGGGCTTAGCGACACTGGAGTGAGTTGCCTGTGACAGTGCAGCCATGAAGAAACAGACCAGGCCCCAGAGCAGTCTTTCACTTGTGTGCTACATTTCACTGATTTCATGGCAGGTTCATATTTCTGAAATCTGTGTCTTTTGGTTGGCAGCATTTTTCAAAAAGTATTTCTTCTTCAGTGCTAATAAAAATAATGGTATCTTATAGTTTCTTGGCATTGGTGGAAGGTAGCATTTCAGTGATCTTGGACCAGTTATTTAACTTCCTAAGTTTTCTCATCTCAGTAGTGCTGAGATGGCCCAGCCTGCAGGGTTTCCCACAGTGGTCATACAAGGGCTTAATAACTTGACTTTGTTTATAGTTGACATCAGTGTATATAACTTGGTTTGCTTTATCATTCACATCAGTGTATGTTGTCATGGAGTTGCTGGGAATCCATGTTCGAAACTTCTCTTCCTTTTTGAGACAGGGTCTTGCTATATAGTCCAAGCTGGCCTGGGGCTTGCTATATAGCCCAGGCCGACCCCAAACGTGATCATCCTGCCAAGACCTCCTGAAAGCTGAGGTTACTGGTTTGCGCCTCTGTACCCAGCTCATTTTTATATTTCAAAAACTATTGTAAGCTGGGTGTGGGAGTGCATGCCTGTAACGCCAGCATTCAGGAGGTGGAGGCTGAGGCAGGATTGTTAGTTCAAGGCCATCACTAGTTATATGGTAAAACCATGCCTTAACTGCAGGGGTGGGGGTGTGAAGTAGCTCAGTGGTAGAGCAGTTCCCTAGCAGGTGCAAGGTCACCTGGGGTGACCATCCCCAGCACTGAATAAACAGCAACCACCATTGTAAATGAAAGCTTTCTAATCTCTCTCTCTTTCTCTCTCTGTTTCTTTCTCTTTCTTTTTCTTGGTAGTGCTAGGATTCGAACTCAGGGCTCTACACTTGCTAGGTAGGCACTTTTAACACTTGAACTACAGCCCCCTGGCCCTCTTTTGCTTTTTAGTTTTTTTTCAGGTAGGGGCTCGTGTTACGTTTTTTCTTTCCTTTGCTTTTTTTTTTTGCCTGGGATTGGCCTCAGACCAGAATCCTCTTACTTGTGGTCTCCTGGGACCACGGACATGTACCACCATGCCCAGCGGATTGATTTGAGAGGGGGTCTCACTAACTTTTTGCCTGGGCTGGCCTCCAGCCTCGATCTTCTTGATCCCTGCCTCCTGGTTACAGGTGTGATCTACTTCACTGGACCCCATTCGCTATTTTCTTAATTTGATGATCTTAAGTTGTTAAACTGTTGATCACTATAATGTATCTTACAATACTGTTGAGGATTTTCCAGAACTGAAAAGAATCTACTGAGCTATTGAAGCAATAAATAGTTCCTTGTGTCCCTGCATTATGTGGAGCCCGGTGCTGGGAGGTCCTGCTGTGCTGTCAGTCACACAGTTAGCTGCAGGCCAGTCATCACTGACACTTGCTGCAGAGCTTGGGGGGAGGGCTGAGGGGGGGTCCAGAGGGTGGCCATAAGGTGAGCAGCTGAGACACAAGGATGCAGGCACAGGGCAGCAGCACCAGTGGCTTGCTGAGGGTAACGCAAAGGCATGGTTAATGACATGTCATATTACATGGATGCTTTGCAGGTCAATGACAACACCAGCACCGCGGGCTCTCCTGGGGAGGTGCTGTCTCGCCGCTGCGTGAATCTCCTGAAGACTGCCTTACGGCCCGACATGTGGTCCAAGTCCGAGCTCAAGCTGCAGTGGTTTGACAAGCTGCTGATGACCGTGGTAGGTCATCCATGGTGGGGGCCACTGAGGCTGCATCAAATGGTGTTGCTTGGACCCTGAAACCCACGTCTCCCTCATCCTGGCCACTCAGTGGTCTCTCTTCTTTCTGGCTGCTGCTGAGCAGGAACCAGGGAAACTTCAGCTCTCACTCCAGGAGTGTTTAAAACACAGTGATGGTTGTCATGCATTTTGCAGGTGCATTTCTTTTTTTTTTTTTTTTTTTTTTTATATGTATGTGCATACAAGGCTTGGTCATTTCTCCCCTTGCCCCAGCCCCCTCCTTACCACCCACTCCGTCCCCTCCCTCCCCCCACCCCTCAATACCAGCAGAAACTATTTTTGCCCTTATTTCTAATTTTGTTGTAGAGAGAGTATAAAGCAATAATAGGAAGGAACAAGGTTTTTGCTGGTTGAAGATAAGGATAGCATACAGAGGCATTGACTCACATTGATTTCCTGTGCGTGGTGTTACCTTCTAGGTTAATTCTTTTTGATCTCACCTTTTCTAGTTCCTGATCCCCTTCTCCTATTGGCCTCAGTTGCTTTTAAGAGTATTCTTTAGTTTTCTCGCATTGAGGGCAACAATGCTAGCTAGTTTTTTAGGTGTCTTACCTATCCTCACCCTCCCTTGTGTTGCTCTGCTTTATCATGTGCTCAAAGCAATCCCATTGTTGATTGTTTGCCTTTGATCTAATGTCCCATATGAGGACACATACGATTTTTGGTCTTTTGGCCAGGCAACCTCACTCGAATATGTTCTCCAATTCCATCCATTTACCAGCGAATGATAACATTTCGTTCTCTTTCTGGTGCAAAATTCCATTTGATAGATACCATTTTCTTAATCCTTCGTCAGTGTGGGCATTTGGCTGTTTCCATAACTTGGCTATTGTGAATAGTGCCGCAATAAACATGAGTGTGCAGGTGCTCTGGGTAACAGTTCTTTTGGGTATACCCCAAGAGTGGTATTGCTGGATCAAGATGGTAGTTCAGTGTCTAGTTTAAGTAGCCTCCAAATTTTTTTCCAGATGGTTGTACTAGTTTACTTCCCCCAACACGTGTAAGAGGGTTCCTTTTTCCCGCATCCTCGCCAACACCTGTTGTTGTGGTGTTGCTGATGATGGCTATTCTAACAGGGGTGAGGTGGAATCTTAGTGTGGTTTAATTTGCATTCCTTTATTTGCTAGGTGTGAGTATTTTTTCATGTGTTTTTGGCCATTTGAATTTCTTCTTTTGAGAAAGCTGTTTTAGTTCACTTGCCATTTCTTTATTGGTGTCATAGTTTTGGGAGAATTTAGTTTTTTAAGTTCCTATATATTCTGTTTCGTCCTTGCTGTGTGGTAGCTGGCAAATATTTTCTCCCATCTGTGGGTTTCCTTCAGTTTAGAGCCATTTCTTTTGATGAACAGAAGCTTTTAGTTTTATAGGTCCCATTTATCTATGTATCTCTTAGTTGCTGTGCTGCTGGGTTTCGTTGAGAAAGTGCTTCCGTATTACTACTAATTCCAGAAGTATTTCCTACTCTTCCTGTATAATTAGAGTTGTGGTCTGATATTAAACTTGATCCATTTTGAGTTAATTTGGTTAGGTGATATACATTTCTAGTTTCGTTTTTTTGCAGACTGCTAACAGTTTTCCCAGCAGTTTTTGTTGAAGAGGTTGCTATTTCTCCATCGTATATTTTTAGTCCTTTGTCAAAGACAAATTAGGTTATAGTTTTGTGGCTTCATATCTGGTCCTCTATTCTGTTCCACTGGTCTTCATGTCTGTTTTTTGCCAGTACCTGCTGTTTTTATTGTTCTTGTGTTATATGTGTTGTGATACTCCTGCATTGTTCTTTTTGACTAAGTATTGCCTCAGCTATTCGTGGCTTCCTGTGTTCCATTAAATTTCACGGTAGTTTTTCAATCTCTTTAATGAATGTCATTGGAATTTTGATGGGAATTGCATTAAACATGTAGATTACTTTTGGGATATAGACATTTTTACTATGTTGATTCTTTACAATCATGAGCTGGGATTCTCTCACTTTCTATAGTTTTCTCATTCTTTTCTTCGAAATGTACCGTTTTCTTTTAGGGTCGTCACATCATTGGTTAGGTTTACACCTAGGTATTAATTTTTTTGAGGGCTATTGTAATGGGAATTATCTTCATGTTTCTTTTTCAATTTGAATTTATTAGTATATAGAAAGTGCTACATGATTTTTCTACTTTGTTGATCTTTATCCTGATACTTGCTACTATGATTTTTTATGTAACTGTTGAGGTTGAGTTTTTTGGGTCTAGGTAGGGATCATGTCCTGCAGATGGTGTTTTGGACAGTTTCTTTTACCTATGTATGCCTTTTTACTCTGCTGGATTCCATACTTGTTGCAATAGGAGGGGAGATAGTGGCATTCCTTGTCTGTTCTGATTGTAGAGGGAATGGTTTACAGTTTTTCTCCGTAGGGTATATTGTGGCTGTAGGGGTTGTCATATTATTCCTTTTTATAATTGTTGAAGTACTTTCGTCTTATTTGTGTGTGTGTGTGTTTTTCTTCATGAATTTCAATAAGTGTCTCGCAGGTACATTTCTTTACCCTGATTTCTTTGTGGTTTTATTGATTGAGTATACCATGTGCCTTAAAGTATGATTCCCTTGAATTTTTTAAATCGCATTTGAGCGATGGACTGCTAATTTAATTGTTACCAGGCTCTGCTTGTGTTTCACAGGCTCCAAGTCAGGTTGTGTGTTGTTAGGCCATCTTGGTTGATCATTGGGTGTCGTGCTTTCTAGAAACCTTCTTATCGTGCTGGGTTGAGAGCTGTGTCTTCCCAGTCCATTTCCCTGGTCGCTGCTTCGCATGTTGTCTAGCTGCTGAGTGGAATCCTGGAACATTTTCACTGCTGGAATTATAAAGCCTATTGTAGGTGTTTGTATTTTGGACTGAGTAGGGTAGCAGTGCAGCCTAGATTTTCTGGAAGATCACAAAGTGCAGCCTGAAACTGAAGCAGGCACTTTCATTTTTCTGGGCTCACGGCCACCAGATTGTCTGCATGTTTCCTGGAAACTCTTTGTCGCATCAAAGGCATTTGTTGTTAAAAGCTCAGCCTCTGTGGGCAGCGTTCTCGGGAGCCAGTGTGCCAGGCTCACTGTGGCTTTCTGCCTTGATTCCTATTACCTAGTGTGAACGAGCTCTCCCTCACTTCCTGCACACAGGCGTGTGTGTAAGTCACAGGTGGAAGTTGCTGGAGCAGTGCCTGTCCTTCCTACAGACCTTGCCCTGTTTCTTTTATTTTCTTTGGTTTTTATGCTTAATGCTGCTGTCAGCTGTTAGGTTAATTCAATGATAGACAAGATAATTGTCTTTGGAGGAATTTTTGTGTTTTAAGTGAAAACATGGGAGAAGAGGACAGTTCATTGTGATAACCTTTTTAAGTCCAGATTTCGGTGGTTAAAAAAAAATAATTATTTGATATTAGATATTAGTATTTGACAAGCAGCCCTTTAAAGATATTTGACTAAATCTTTAGGCAGATTCTTAAAGGGCCCTTTCTTAGCTGTCCTGCTCTATGTGGTGGTCACACACTTTGATTGGCAGAATAGGTTTGTTCTTGGGCAGTCTTTAGCCGGTTTCCAAGTACTCAGCAGCAAGGTTTCATCCCCGCTGGATTGCGTTTCTGCGTTGACTGTGCTCCAGTACTTCTCTTATCTGTGAATCGCCTGTGTTCTCCACCCCAGGAGCAGCCGAATCAGGTGAACTATGGAAATATTTGCACAGGACTGGAAGTGCTGAGTTTCTTGCTGACTGTCCTCCAGTCCCCGGCCATCCTCAGTAGCTTCAAGCCCCTGCAGCGGGGCATCGCCGCCTGCATGACGTGTGCAAACACCAAGGTCCTGCGGGCCGTCCACAGCCTCCTCTCACGCCTCATGAGCATCTTCCCAACGGAGCCAAGTAGGTGACCTTTCATCTGCACCTTTCCTCCCCAGGGGCCCACCGGCCAGTGCATTTAGTCGAGACGCACGTCCTGAGTGGCTTGGTTAGCCCACTTCCTTTTACTCTCTACCTTCCTTTAAAAAAAAAATTGAACATAAACTCATCACGGCGCTGTGCTTTTACTGGTCTGCTTAGGAAGCAGTTCCTCATCCACTGAATGCTGCTGTTTCCTTCAGGTGGTAAGGGAGGTTGAGTTACAGATAGTAGCAAACTGAGCAACTGGCCAGATCACAGTTCTGCAAGTTGTGAATAAGTGTGTTCAGAGTATATTCTGGTAAGGCACGGTAGGAAAAAAGTTGTCCTTACCTGTGTAAAGTGGGAACCAGCCCATTGGTGAGGCCCACACCATCCCCCGAGGAAAAGAAGTCACTGTGCTAGTCACTGCACGTACCAGAACAACTAGATCTCAGTCCCCAAGGGGGGCCTGTGTGGCCTGAGAGCCCAAGCCTCTGTCCAGCGCCTGTTCTCCGTTGCAGGTACTTCCAGTGTGGCCTCCAAGTACGAAGAGCTGGAGTGTCTCTATGCAGCTGTTGGGAAGGTCATCTACGAAGGACTCACCAACTACGAGAAGGCTGCCAATGCGAATCCCTCCCAGCTCTTTGGTGAGCGTGCATCTGATTTCCCAGTAATGAACAGTGGGGTGTCAGTCCCTGCTCACTGGACACCCTCCTGGGAATGGCTCAGGCTATGAGCTGAAGTGTTGCTCAGGAGTCTGTGTGTTTCCTAGTGCCCTCAAGGCTACCTTGGCCTTGTGAGGTGAATAATCCCCCCACTTGCCCATCGCTGGTGCTTTTTTCTCAGCCTCCAGTGTAGGCTTGATTGTGGCGAGAGGGTCCTGGTGACCAGCACTACCCTTGGCACACAGATGCCACTCAAGCTGTGTGCTACTGGGTAAAATTACTGCCTTCTACAATGTGTCCATTTGCCAATACTCCACTCACAATATAAGACTTGTCCCTGTGTTGTAATGAAGAAAACTCTGGTTATCCTAGGTGAAGGATAGCTGGGAACTTTGGCCCCCAGACACTCAGCAGTCAGATGTAGAGACACCACTTTTTGTCAGACTCGGGTTTCTGATTAGAATCAGACTTTGGGGTCACACCTTACTGCATAGTCATTGTGTAAACCTCCTTTGCATATGCAAAAGAGGGAAAACCACATCACCTGTATGCTGTCCACCTACAAGTGGTCAACATCATTTTGGTGTGTGTCATTTTTATATGCACATGTATTCAAATAACAGGTAGCTAGAATTACATATATGCAAATTCTTGTGTCTGTGTTTGTAATCTGAATATATTATTTTTGGATAAATTCCTTGCTTTCCAAACTCTGGCTAGTTCCTTTTTGAAATTCAGGAGCTAGATAAACTTTAAATAGTTTGTCACACAGACTTGCTCTGTGCTGGAGCCAGGCAGATTTGGGGAGAGAGGAGTACTTTGGTGGCTTTAAGTGAGGTCGTTCCAAAGCTGAGTGTCTCTCGCACTTTCTCTAGAGGACTCTGAGGAGCTGGCTTCCAGTCGGCCCTTCTTTTTCCTCTGTGGGTGACAGCAGGCTGGGGAATGCAAGGTAGGGGGTGCCTGGAGAGCTTGCTTCTCTGTGTCCTCCTGTGATGGACTCAGGCTTTCATAGACATCTGCTTAGTGAGAAGAGCCCAGCAGCTGGGAGCAGCAGAACTCGTACTGTGTTCATGATTGACATCACCTGTTTCACAGGAGACTCGGCTTGTGACAAGGCAGTGTGCAGTTGTCCAAGCCTAGGGTGCTGGCACCTGTAAATGACAAACACTCTGACTGTTCTGTGATGTGCTCCAGGAGCACACATTTAAAACTCAGTATTTAAGTCGGGGTCAGAATGACGCTACAGACATCTGTTCTGACATCATGGAAGGTCCTCTCCATGTTGTGTGCTAGTGTGGCTCTGCTGGTTTTACTGAGCTTATGCAAGTCTAAAGTTGCGTTCTGAAATATTTTCTGTGTCCAGATAGCTAGAAAAATAAAAAAGCATTTTCTTTCTCTTTTACTTTTCCCCCAAACATACCATGGGATAAAAAGCTTTACTGAGGGTGGTTTGTCAAAACCTAACTAAAATCCAGAGTTGAAGGGAAGATCCAGATTTGTACTGAAGCGCCTCAGTCAGTGTCAGCTGAGGATTAAGGAAAAGCAGTGCTCCAGTGTGGGACACACTCTCTAGAGGCTTGCAGGGCTGGTATTAGGTATTACGCTATACTTCTGTCAGAATGTGATGCTTTCCAAGCATGTTTTTGTCTCAGCTTTGTTACTTCCTGAAGACAACTGCAATTCTTGCACCACAGGGACCCTAATGATCCTGAAGTCGGCGTGCAGCAACAATCCAAGCTACATTGACAGGCTCATCTCCGTGTTCATGCGCTCCCTGCAGAAGATGGTGCGCGAGCATTTGAACCCTCAGGCGGCGGCGGGAAGCACCGAGGCAACTGCAGGTGGTGACTGGGCCCCTCACACCACAGACCGCCCAACACTGGAATGGTGCAAACTGTGGCTGAGCGCTAATGTGAACATGGGTTCATGTACAGCCCAGTGGTTTATGGGAGGTGTGCTATGAGTTGCTCTGGAAGAGGTTGTAAAACCTGTCTTTAAAACTTGGGATGATAAAGTTTTAAAATGGTTGGACTCTTAACTGGAGCCTTCACCATCGCCCCTGTGTTGTCAAATTCCAGACATGAGCCACAGCTCCAGGAATTGGGAGACGAGGAGAGGCTGTGGTTGGCATGGCCTCTGGAGCCTCCTCAGGACCCAGGGCCATGGCTGTGGCCTCAGGGGAGGGGACAGGGAGGCTGGGGTGGCCCTTGGGCAGGGCTGAAGGCACCTTTGAGCAGTGCAGTGAAAAGAGGGACAAGTTTCGTCAAATCCCGGAGCTCTGGTTGCTGGAGCAAAGCTTTGGGGGACACAGGTTGTGTAATGCAGGGCATCTACAGAGGTTTGTGCTGATGTCCCCTGTTCCCCGGCAGGAACCAGCGAGCTGGTAATGCTGAGCCTGGAGCTGGTGAAGACACGACTGGCGGTGATGAACATGGAAATGCGTAAGAGCTTCATCCAGGCCGTACTGACGTCACTCATCGAAAAGTCCCCGGATGCCAAGGTCCTGCGGGCCGTGGTGAAGATCGTGGAAGAGTGGGTGAAGAACAGTTCCCCGATGGCAGCCAACCAGGTGAGCAGGAGGAGCTGTGCCGCCTCTGAGTGCGAGAGAGCAAGCGGCACCTTGTCCCTTGTCCCTTGTCTTCTAAACTGGCCGCAGCAAGGCATTCCCTCCTGCGCTTGCATCCAGTGTGCGATTAGGATGGAGTCTGCTCAGTGCGCCAGACACACGCTAAGTAGACGGTTGAGACTAGCCAGTCTCTCCGGCCTGTGGCTTTCCTGCTCGGACAATGTTAAGTGACACTCGTTACCCTGCTACGTACAAAGAAAGGAAGGACCCCTGCACCCCGAAAAGCTCTGCGGTTCAGCTTAGTGAGGCGCTTGCAGCTTGAGAGTTGTTTATAACTCAGGTGATCTCTCCAAAGTCAGTTGGAGAATTACGTGAGCACCCACAGACAACAGTCATCTTCTGCTCAGAAGTGACCTTGTTTACTTACTTGATAAATCATAACAGTAAAAAGTAGAACAATCGCTGAAACTCTGAAATGTATCTTCTCAACTAGAAGTAACTCACTTTTTCTTTTAAAAACCACATTTTGTACAGACACCGACACTGCGAGAGAAGTCCATTTTGCTTGTGAAAATGATGACCTACATAGAAAAACGCTTCCCAGAGGACCTTGAACTAAATGCCCAGTTTTTAGACCTTGTCAACTATGTCTACAGGTAAATACAGCACATTAATCACTGCAATTTTGCAGTAATCAAATTTTGCATGTATTGGTCTGAGTGTGTTCTGACCAATCTATACAACATGACTTTGGTCTTCATTTGAATACTAACTCGTGTGGTGTATTTTGGCATCTTTACTGAGCCTTTTGCTGAAGTGCTGCTTAAGCCTGCCACCACTGGTGCCATGGTGTTATCTGTCCCTTGTGTCCCTCCATCCCCATTTTCTGTTTATTTGCTCATGGCCTGAGCAACCATGGCCTCACGTCTTGGTGTGACCCCTCTGGTTGCAGGGATGAGGCCCTGTCTGGCAGTGAGCTGACCGCGAAGCTCGAGCCCGCCTTCCTCTCCGGGCTGCGCTGTGCCCAGCCACTCATCAGAGCTAAGTTTTTCGAGGTTTTTGACAACTCCATGAAACGCCGGGTCTACGAGCGCCTTCTGTATGTGACATGCTCCCAAAATTGGGAGGCCATGGGGAACCATTTTTGGATCAAGCAGTGCATCGAGGTAGGATAGACTTGACTCAGGATGTGTGGCTGGAGGGTGGCCACAGGCTTTCTGAGGGGGGACAGAAGCCTGGAGGTGCTCCCTCCCATATGCTAAGAGGATTTGGAAATTTCCAACATAAACCTGCCATAAATCTCTAGGGAGAAATAAAGTTAAATAATTCTTCTTAGTTTGTAGGCAGAGATTCGTTTTTCTGGAAATCTAGATATTTTAAAATTATCTATATGCCCTAAGAAATGTAGTCATGTACTGTTGACTGTCGGCCTCATCTTTTTTCTTTTCCCGTGGCCCTGGGGTTTTTGAACCTAGACGCCTCCTGCTTGAGCCCTGCCCCCAGCCCTGCCTCATCACTGACTGCGACAAGATAGAGCAGCCTGTCAATGGTTTTGACTCCTTAGCTTAGGAGTTGGCTGCTGTGGGTACAGGCAGAGGTGGACATTGGTCAATGTTGGGAGAATGAAGTCAGCTTGGAGTGGGTTTGGCATCTCAGCCCTTTCGGATGATTCTGGCAGGATTGCGGGAGACTTCTTGGTCACTGACTGTTGAAGTCCGCTGTCCTTATCTCTGGCTTACTCATTATCCATTTAAGGCCCAAAGTCACTCAGACTTCCTCTGTAGGTTTCCAGCACTAAGCAAGTGCTCGTCTCCTTGTAGAACCAGTGCTTCCAGGTTACTGGGTGCAGAAGGTTGTTAAGTTCTCTGGCCTTAAGCGCAGTGAGGCTTGCCACTGTGCTCCTGTCTGTGTGAAGTGGACATTGGTCTCTCAGTGTCTTAAGCGTCAGGGATTTGCAGTTCTGCTAATGGTCACACAGTGGGAAAAGTCCCTGCTCTACCTATGATGTTCTGATAAGAGGCCTGCCACCTGCTGTCCAGGTACCAGGCACTGGGCAGATATGAAAAGTTCAGAGGTGACCTGCTGATCACGGCCGGCAACATGAATCCCTTAGAGGAAGGGCCTGAGCCAGGGTCCTTAATTGTCCCTCCTTTCCCCCCCTCCGTGTACCTGTTCATTATCACTGGAGTCACCAGTTCACGGCTCCTTACCAGGACGATGGGCAGTTCCTTGGTGTTGACCCACCTGCCTCACATCTCCCTCAGTGTTCCCAGGTCCCTCTGTTGTTAAGGAACCTTAAGTCTTACAGCCCCAGGTGACAGCTTTCCTCTCTCTCCAGCCCCATCCTGTCCCTCTCTCCCTCCTCCACTTGTCTCCAAGTGAGCTTGCTGTGCGTGGGTGTGTGTGTACACATACTGTTCCTTTCTAGAAACTGCAGGACAATTTCTCACTCTGTGTGGGGGCTAAGGTGACACTGTGGTTCTTGAGCACCATGTGAGGCAACTAAATGCGGGTACTTCACACGTAGGACAGTTTCCGCGGTGAGGACATTTGGAAGTTACCTTCTCAGCAGTAGTGCAGCGCAGTGTTAAGAACTGCATTGTGCATTCTGGGCAGTACACCTCACACCACATTCCTCCTGCCCAGCTGAGACCTTGACCCTTGACCTTTCATGTTTGCCAGTAGTGCCACTGAAGCCCAAGTGGGTGCCTTTTATTCCGTTACCACAGCAAGCACATCTGGCCTGTCCTTCCCTTTGATGTCCAGGTCCCTGAGGGTGGGGCACCATGTGTGAAGTCGGCAAGTGAATGTCCAGGGGCTCTGTAGCACCTTGGAGCTTGATTAATATTTATTTACAGATTGTAGGAGTCCCTTGGTCAAGGTCAGCATGAGCAGAGGCTTTGTGGTGATTGTGGGGTTCTATATTGGATAGTGCTAAGACACCAGGGGGCAGGCAAGGGGATGTGTCAGGTCACAAGATCTCAGGTGACATCAAGGAGCCCACACTGTCCCCCAAGGCTGTGAGAGCCTCAAGTGTAGGGAGAGGAGTGGCAAGGGCAGTTGTGTGGAAGAAGATAGGTTTGAGAGGGTCTGGACATGAGCTAGGACATCCTGTCCAGCAGGAGGTGACACTTGCAGGGCTTGGGATGCACTACAAGCCACACTGGGGAAGGAAAAGAAGGAGGAGGTAGTGGAGAGGAACCCAGCTGGAAGGAGGAGGTAGTGGAGAGGAACCCAGCTGGAAGGAGGAGGTAGTGGAGAGGAACCCAGCTGGAAGGGGAGGTAGTGGAGAGGAAAAGATGCTAAGCCCGGACTAAGGACAGCCGCAGGCCTGCTGAGGTGACTTAGTGTCCACACCCCACACCCACAGTGGCATGCGTCTGCCTTAGGCTGGTTATCTTTCCCTCAATGTCTAGCTCCTGCTGGCCGTGTGTGAGAAGGGCACGCCCATTGGCACCAGCTGCCAGGGGGCCACTCTCCCGTCCATCACCAACGTCATCAACCTGGCCGACAGCCACGACCGCGCCGCCTTCGCCATGGTCACGCACGTCAAGCAGGAGCCTCGAGAGCGAGAGAACAGCGAGTCCAAAGAGGAGGTGAGGCTGTGGTTCCACAAGCCGAATTCCTGCTCCTGTGGGGATTTTATGTGGACAGCAGCAGCATGTCACAGCCTGCTGAAAGCTGAGTGGTACCCCAGCATCCTCTGTCTTTGTGTGTTGGTGGGGGCAGGTGGGGGCAGGTGTGCATGCGCACACTTTTGAGACAAGGTCTCTGTAGCCCAGGCTGGCCTGGAGCTCACTGTCCATCCGCCTCAGCTTCCAAGTGCTCAGTTTTTCTCACAGGTAAAATTGAGAAGCCTTGCGTACTGTACTGTCTCTGAGACAGACAACTTTGCTATGAGCCAGAGCTGCGCGGGGAAAGTATTTTACTGTTGGAAATTTTTCTCTCGAGTGGGGAGTGGCACATGGTGTGTGATGAAGCCCTGCTCTCTGGAGCAATGCCTGTCACAAAGAAGCCCTAGGGCTGGCTTGAGCCTGCTAAGAACTGTCCCACTCTCTGCTTTGGCCTGTTGACCAAGGCTGGTACTTAGTCCTGATGGCTCTCTGCTCTGTTCTGCAGAGCTTTACAGCTCCATTCCCATGAGGCTGGTGGCTTTTTACAAGCTTGCCTTGTCGGCCCAGCAGGGGAGTGCAGGGGAAGAGCTGATTGTCTTTGTCCTAAAAGGTGGATGTCATCCCTTTTCCCGTGGGGGATGTCTGCACTCATTAACCAATAAGAATTTAAAATTTTGCTTGTGTTGCTTATCGTGAGATCCTTTGACGGCCTGGCTTTCTCCCGCCACCTTCATGGCAGTACATGTGAAATGACTCATCTGGCAACTTACAGATGCAGTTCGATGACTAATTGTTCACTGTGATTTTCTAGAACTTCAGACACAAACAAGGTTCATTCCTGTTTGAGGCTGAGTCAGGGAGGACATTGCCCGGCCCTCATGGTGACCCTGGCAGTATCATTTGTGAATGAGCAAAGCAGTGGCTGAGCAGCTGTGCTGCATTTCCAGGAATGATGGGCTATAATTCCTAATAATTTTTACTGTTTTGTACTATTTTGTTTTCTTTCCATAACCAGATGTAAGAGTGAAATAATGGCATTTGCACAGTTATTTAGAAAAGAGCTCTGGTGTGTTTGTTAGGACCCATGATGATTTAAAGGCAAGTTGACTGTCCTTTATCTGAAGTGTTTCGGGTTTTGAAGGCTTTTGGTTTTTAAGTATTTGCATAGACTTTGTCACAGGGCACATCCCTAAAATTCTGAAATCTGAACACCTTACAAATCCCAGACTTTATGTGTCTCAATAAGTTTTGAATTTCAAAGCATTTGGGATTACTTCCAGGAAACTAGTAAAAATCTGAGTTGCCAAAAACGTAGCAGGCAGTCTGCAAGAGCTGAGTTAGTTGCATTTTCTTTAACTTTTTGACCCGCTGGTTTTGCTTGTGTGTTTTTTTTCTGCAGGATGTAGAGATAGATATTGAACTAGCTCCCGGAGATCAAACCAGCACACCCAAAACCAAAGAGCTTTCTGAAAAGGACATTGGGAACCAGCTGCACATGCTCACCAACAGACATGACAAATTCTTGGACACACTCCGTGAAGTCAAGGTCTGTGTGCGAGTCTGGAAGGGGAGCTGCACACCTGCACCCCTCCCGCACGTTCTGAATCCTATATCACAATGATTCCACAGAGCTGTGAGGTTTTCTTCTACCAGTACCACGTAGTTTTCTTTCCCATCAGTTGAAACCATCACAGTTCTGTGAGGCCCTGATGTGGGTATTTAAAGATTTGAGAAAGCAAGTTGCAGTGCCTTGTGTGAAAAGACAGATAAAGCACTTTCTTCACTGTCAATAAAGAAACGATAAAATTGTCTGCTAAAAATAAACGGTTAGACTTAATGCTAGATTCTTTTTCAAGTGCAGAGAGGAGGAGAATGAGGTATGTGGCAGTGGGTGAGAATCCCCAAATGTTTCTAGCATTGGAGATTTAGCCAGAAGCAGACCTGGCTTCCACAGACCCTCCAATTTATTCTGGGTATGATTGGTTTCTCTTTTTTTTTTTTTTTTTTTTAACTTAATTGTGTTTTGGATAGTTTCATTCTGTAGCCCAAGCTGACCTCAAACTTTTGATCCTCCTACTTCAGCTCCCGAGTGCTGGGATTACAGGTGTGCACTCTGGGCCCAGCTCCAGAGTGATAGTTTCTGTGTAGTGACTGGGAGGATCAGTTCAGGATCCATGTACCACATCACCTTGAAAGAGTGTTACACAGAAACATTGATTGTGCTGTTCAGGTCAGGATGATGATGAAAAGTCATGAACCACTACTTAGGACAAATAATTTTTATTCTAGAGTTTTTGGTAACCAATCCAGAATTCCTGCATCAAGATCACTGTGGTCTTGGGTTAGCATCAAACTCTTCATCTTCTGTTGGCTGGAGCAGGAAGTAGCAGCTTCCGTACACATTAGCTGATGTAGCTGACGTGCCCTCATCAGCATAGACTAGGCCCCTGCTGCCCTCACTGCCAGAAAGAAGGACTGTGGGTCCCAAACTGTGGGAGCTGGTCACTGCATAGGTGCTGACTCAGCAGTAGCCTCGGACCCGCTTCACCAGTGTTGTTTCCAAGTATGGACATGGGAGGCACAACTGTGGCTGACGCAGTCCTTTTCTGCCCCAGACTGGAGCACTGCTCAGCGCTTTCGTCCAACTGTGCCACATCTCCACCACCCTAGCAGAGAAGACCTGGGTCCAGCTCTTCCCCAGACTATGGAAGATCCTGTCTGACAGACAGCAGCACGTGAGTCTCTCCTACATGGTGTCTTAGCTTTTGATGTGTGCTCATGAGAGTGCGGGCTTAAGTTCCAGAGCGTGAGGAGACAGCTGACTGCTATCCAGGGCAAATCTGAATTCTCAAACGTTCCTGGGTGCCTTGGTGGGGGAGTGGGGGAGAGTCAAGGCTTGTGGCATTTTTCATTTCTTTGGTTGGTGTGGGTTGGGGAAGCAATGGTTTGATCTTACTTTGTAGCCAAGGTTGGCCTCGAAGTCCTGATTCTCCTGACCCAGATTTGCCTGTTGTGAATAAGACCTAATCAGTATGCTGCTTGGTCCCAGGCCCTCGCAGGGGAGATCAGCCCATTCCTGTGCAGTGGCAGTCACCAGGTGCAGCGGGACTGTCAGCCCAGTGCGCTGAACTGCTTCGTGGAAGCCATGTCCCAGTGTGTTCCCCCGATCCCCATCAGACCCTGTGTACTGAAGTACCTGGGAAAGACACACAATCTCTGGTTCCGCTCCACGTTGATGCTGGAGCATCAGGCCTTCGAGAAAGGTCTGAGCCTGCAGATAAAGCCAAAGCAGACCGCAGAGTTCTATGAGCAGGAGAGCATAACACCGCCACAGCAGGTGAGGACAGCGGGCTTGCAATGTCGCACACGCACACCCACACATGCACACACACACACACACACACACACAAAACCCTCGATTGCAATCCAGTGCAGTTGTTTGCCCCAAGCACTCAGAAACCACCGTCCATTTTCAGGAGATCCTGGACTCCCTTGCTGAGCTGTACTCCCTGTTGCAAGAAGAGGACATGTGGGCGGGCCTGTGGCAGAAGCGGTGCAGATACGCAGAGACGGCGACAGCCACTGCCTATGAGCAGCATGGATTCTTTGAGCAGGTATCATCCACTGGGTAGAGGGCCGGCATATGCTGCTCATGATTAGACCACATACGAGAAAATTTTAATTGTCCTACTTAGTTGTATATGTGTAATTAGAAAAAAAATGCTATTTTAAGGACATAATTTTGAAATAAACTCATTCTTCTTGCTTTACAAAAAAAAAAGGTTGATAGTACTGGGTCCTCAGGTCAGTTCACACTTGAGAAGTTTACTGTTTATGTGAGCCCCTCTTTTTGCAGTGCTGCTGATGGAATAAAGGCAGACACTTCACCACTGAGTCACTTCCAGCCCATACTGTTCAATTTGAATCATTTAAATCCTACCCGTGAAAGCCCTTTGGTGGCGGTCTTGTTTTAGTATGCTGGGGTTTGGTCTCAGGTCCTCACTTTACCACTTGAGCCACACTATCAGCCCTTGTTTATAGCGGGTTTTTCAAAATAGGGCCTCTTGAACTATTTGCCTGGGCTCCATGCAGGACACTGGGGCACAGAAACAAACCCTGGCCCAGCCTTATGGCTCTCGATCACTACAGACAGAAAGTCCAGGTGTAGACAGCCTCCCCCTCCATTCTGTGTGAGGATCGTCTTTCCCCTCACCCTTCTCCCTCCCTGCCACGAGTGGGGGCACAAAGTGGCCTTGGAAAAGAGCCTGGTGCTCCCAGGTCTGTGGTCTGACTTGCCCAAGTGCTTGAGCAAAGGCGGCAATGCAAAGGTGGTGCTTGTACTTAGACAGTGGCTTGACAGCACTGTTAATTTTCTAGGCCCAAGAATCCTATGAGAAGGCCATGGATAAAGCCAAAAAAGAACATGAGCGGAGTAATGCATCCCCCGCCATATTCCCTGAGTACCAGCTCTGGGAGGACCACTGGATTCGGTAAGTGAGCCCGGCTTCGTGGATGCAAGGGAAAGTCTCCGAGAATTCCTTGCCATGTTGTTAAAGGGGTTGTTGCTACCTCATAGCCACGTAAAGAACAGAACAGACAAGAGATTTGAGCAATGCATTTAAAGTCTTAGTTACTGAACGAGTGGAGAGGAAACAGTAAACCATTCCTGCCTTCCCTCGGGCTCAGGAGCTCTGTGCTCCTGGCTGCATGGTGGGTGGTTCCAGGTACCAAGGGGCATTCACCCTGTGTTGGCCCTGCTGGCATCCCATATGCTCCACTGTCTGCTGAGCTGCTGTGCTTTTGTAGTGGCAGTTTACTACTTCAAACCCTGCCCCCTCTCCGGATCTGTCAGTAATGGCGACTGAACTTCTGCTCTGACCCCTGCTCTCCTAGGTGCTCCAAGGAGCTGAACCAGTGGGAAGCCTTGACTGAATACGGCCAGTCCAAAGGCCACATAAACCCCTACCTTGTCCTGGAGTGTGCGTGGCGGGTGTCCAACTGGACCGCCATGAAGGAGGCGCTGGTGCAGGTGAGGTGCCCTCCCACGCCTGTTGTTAGTGAGGACAGGGCTGTCCCAGGATCTGTCACTGTCTTCTAGAGATTTCTTTTCACTTACACCAAGGTGAACATTTTAGGAAAGAAATGTTACGTTTGGTTTCTTCTGATACCTTTCCTCAATCTGAGTGAAATTGTAAATTAGGTATTAGTTCGTCACACAGTTACAGTTATGCGTATCAGGTGTGGAGACCTTGGCCTATGAGAACAAAAGGATCAGTGTGTAGAAATTTGGAAGAACAGAGTCAGTTGTATTGGTGGCCTGGATTGGCAGAAAGGCTGGAACTGAGTGACAAGGTGAGCTGGACCATCCCAGGCCCTGTGCATATTCTGCCATCTTTCAGATCGGCTGAATGCAGCAGTCTCCTAGTCAAAGTCTGTTGCAGTCCCTGTAGTGTGAAGGCAATCAGTTTGTTGAGCTGTGCATGTTTCGTTGTAAATTGAGGAAGTCATGCACAGGAACGATGTGCGCACAGCACATTCCTGTTTTTGCACTGGAAAGCAAGCTGGTGTGGTTGCTTTACAGCCAGCGATGGGCCCCGCACCAGAATTTGGGGAGGAGAATGTCCAGAAAAGATGGTCTTGCTGTGACTTCTGAAGAAGTCAGATTTCTGTTCGCTCTTTGCATAATTGGTCACGATAAGTTGTATATGAGGGGAGGGATGCCCACCTTCTTACACAGGCTTCTTCCGCTGCAGGTGGAAGTGAGTTGTCCGAAGGAGATGGCTTGGAAGGTCAACATGTACCGAGGATACCTGGCCATCTGCCACCCCGAGGAGCAGCAGCTCAGCTTCATCGAGCGCCTGGTGGAGATGGCCAGCAGTCTGGCCATCCGTGAGTGGCGGCGGCTGCCCCATGTAGTGTCCCATGTGCACACACCCCTTCTGCAGGTAGGTCTGCCACCTCCGTTGTGTGCACTCTGCTCAGTGCAGCCAGCGGAAACAGTAGTGCCTCTCATTTTAGGATTGCTAGGAAATTTAAGGTCCTCATTACTAAAGACATTGTCACAGTGATTTTGATGGTTTTGCTTGTACCTTAGGGATTTCTTTGGTGCCCACCATGCAATCCAAAAAGGTCCCAGCCTTGAGACTTTCAAGACTGTGGTTAAGTGGCCCAAGCCCTGACTACTGCTTCCTCTGTGTAGCAGCTGCGCTATTCGGAACAATTTGTTTCAGCCTCTGTTCATTGCTTGAATCTCACCTCAAGGCGTTCCTCGCCCACAGCCCCTGCACACTCTGCTGCTCTCCACAATATTTCGCGCTCATAGCCTCTTCACACATGCATGCTCACGCACGTCCCCAGACCTGTGCTAGTTGTATCCCATCTTATCCCTGGTGCTTGGCTTGGAGCAGCTGCCACTATGGCTTCGAGAGTGGTACAGGCCATGGCAGTCATCCACACGTCACTTTGTTTCTCTCTTTAAGAGAGTAGTGTTGAGTCTAATCCAGTGTACTGAGTCTTGTCATAGTGGATATACTAGTCCATTTTCCACTGGTGACACAATACCACAGGCTGGATAGTTATAAAGAAAAGAGGGACCACATCTCCTGATGAGACTTCTGCTGGCTATTGGTGGTGTAGGGCAGCAATGGTAAAGGCCAGGGAGCAAGAGAAACAAGTGCGTGCGTGTGTGTGTGTCTGTCTGTCTGTCTGTCCTCTGGACTCCCTTATAAACTATCAGTATTTAATTTTAATACTGGGGGCTCCACCCCAACGATCCCAGTCACCTCCCAAAGCCCCTCCTCATGACACCATAGTTGTTTGTCTCTACCGTTAGTCTGGTTCACAGTGGAGATGGGATCCCAGCCTGAGTTCTGAGGACAGACCGGTGCCGTCACGGCAGTGAAGCTGCTTGTTAGTGTCCGTGGGCATCCTGTCTTCATAGCAGGCCAGATGTCTACGGAAACAGTGGCTTATGTTACTTTTCACTTATGCTTTGTGCATCTCTTACCTTTTGCTTTTTCTGAAAGTGTGACCTAAGGTATTACTTGTTTTGCAATACACAGTATCTCTAATCCAGATTATTCATCTGTTCTAAGCTTTTTGTTAAGAGGACTCTTTCCTAGAAAAGTGCAAAGGTGGTTTGCCGCTGCTGTGGTTATTGGGAAAAGTCACTTTTTCATGAACAAGAGAGAGGCACTGAGGAGCCACTAGTGTCAGTGCAAGGCAGCGTCATTGTGAAGAGCAGTTGATTGTGCAGTTGTATGTTTTTTATTGGTAATGGTTTTTTGTTTTGTTTTGGTGATACGGGTTTGAACTCAGGGCTTCATACTTGCACAGCAGGTGCTCTCCCGCTTGAGCCGCACCTCCAGTCCATTTTGCTCTGGTTATCTTGGAGATAGGGTCTCCTGAACTAATTTGCCTAGGCTGGCCTTGAACTGTGATCCTCCCAATCTCAGCCTCCCAAGTAGCTAGGATTACAGGTGTGAGCCACCAGCTCCTGGTGCTCATTGTTTATTTAAAGCAAGAAGTATAAAACGTGGCATTTCAGACATAATCCTGATTGGAGTAATTTGGAGGTAAAATAAAAGGCAGCTTAATTGGCTTACAGTGCCTTGCTCATGGCTGATAATCTAATTATCTGTGTGTTAGTCTGGTTGTGGAGTTGATGTCTTTCACCCAATACCATTGCTGAGCAACCTGACTAAGAAGTCTTACACATAACACCCAGCAGAATTCGCTTAGGAGGCCGTTTTGTAGCACCTCATTTGATGACTCCTGGGTTGAAGTGATCCTCCTGCTTCGGCCTCCCAAGTAGCTGGAACTGCAGGTGTGCGCCACCATACCTGGCTACTACTGTGGCTTGTTTGTTTCATTTTTAAATTCACAAATAATAATTGTATGTATTTTGTGTTTATGAGCACAGTGTGATGGTTTGGTCCATGTTTGCATTGTGGACTAGGTTACATGAATCAACAATGCATTGTCTCACGTGCATTTTTGTGGTAACGATGTTTTCACAGTGTGTCATTACTTGTCAGTCCCGTTCTGTGCTGTAGATGACAGAAGCTACTCCTAGATGGAAATCCCTCCCCTTTGCTGACCTTCCCCCTCCACTGCTCCGCAGCCTCTGATAGCACCGTTTTGTTCTCCTGATTGACTTTTGTGATCCATGGATAAGTGCAGCTGGGAGGTCAGCACTCTGACAGTAGCCAAGCCATGGAATCAGGAGAGTGGGCAAAGCAGGCGTGGGCAGGGGAAGTGGCTGTGAAGGGCGACGTTGCCAGGAGCCACACGTGCACTGTCTTTGGAAGACTGACTGCAGTTCCTTTGGGTACAAACTCACACAAGGGAGAGCTGGGTCTGCTTTTAGTCTTCAGAACCTCTGCACTGTTTTCTTAATTTATAGTCCCACTAATAGTGACCACACCTCCAGCAAAGTGCCTTTTGTCCAAACATACAAATATTAAAACAATGAATAATTTTTCAATTCTTTTCAGCTTTTTTAAATTATATTGTACTGGGGGTACATTGTGACATTTACAAAAGTTCTTACAGTATTTCATAGTTGAACTCACCCCCTCCATCATTCTCCTTTATCTCTCCCTTAAAATTATTTTTTAAAACACATTTTGAACTATGGTTTGTGAAATGACCTCCTCTCCACTATACCACCAAACCAAATGACATGAAGCAAAAGCCTTGGTGCTTTTGTTCAAACAATTATGTTCCCATCTTTGGACCCAAGTTTGGGATGGAGACTTTGGATGATGATGTGCTCCATCACAGACACTGCTGGCGACATTGGTGCCAGTGACATTTCTGAGAACACCAACACCAGATTTTTGGATTGGCTGCTAATCTAGATTATAAACAAGAAAACCGGAATACTGTCATTGTGAACCCGGGCATAGAGCAGCTCTGTGGCAGGACTTCAGACAGGGCGATGAAGGACCTCAAAGCTCTTTTCCTCTGTTGGAGCAGCAAGAACACTAAGGAAGATCGTCAAAAATCACCTTTTCAGAATTCTAGAAATTAGACAAAGGTGTGTAACAATCCAAAGACCGGTGCTTGCTACAGAAGAACATTTGCATTTCAAAAGGACAGCATGGTTTGTGCTGTTTTGATTGTCCGCTCCTGTTTTCCCTCCCCCAGCTCTGCAGCAGCAGTAAACACGCTCAACCTAGCCTCCTGTGGACAGCAGAACAGATATAAATACACAAACACGGCCCAAGAAACTGAGGGGTCCCAGAGGGTTCACCCACCTCTCGCTCACCTCTGCACATGAGCAGGAAGTGAAGGCTAGGGTACAGTTGCAGTTGCAGGCTGCCTGCCTCCAGAGGCGGCAAAGCCTGTGTGTCCTGGTTTAGTGCTGAAGGACGCTTGTGCATAAGCTCACTGAGCACGGCCACCATGTGATCCTGCACTAATGTTCCCAGGTGTCCATGTAAGAGACATGACGACTGTACACGGCCATACAAAACCTCAGGGGATGTTTGTCGCAGCCACTGTGCAGAAGAGCCACAGTAGCCAGAATGTGATCTAGACACCAGGGAATTTTACTGTCCGTAAAAGGAACAAAGCACTGATAGGTAATGCTGTAGTGTGGGTGAACCTCAGAAAGCATCATGCGGAGAGGGAGCATGTGTTGTGTGGCTCTGGTTTACGATGGCTGCAGTAGGCAACTCCAGATAGACACCAGATCAGCGGTTACCAAGGGCTGAGGAGGGAAAATGGAGAGTGGCTGCTGATGGACACTGGGTTTCCTTGGAGAGCGATGGAAATGTTCTGTCATTAGCTAATGGTGATGGCCGTGCATCTCTGGGAGTACATGAAACTACCACTGTTTAAGTTATAGATTAGTAAACTGCTACAAAATGAATACTCTGGTCTAGGGCCAGTGGCTCACGCCTCTAATCCTAGCTACTCAGGAGGCAGAGATTAGGAGGATCAAGATTCGAGGCCAACCAAGGCAAATAATATGTGAGACCCTATCTCGAAAAACCCATCACAAAAAGGGCTGGAGGAGTGGCTCAGGTGGTAGAGCGCCTGCCCAGCAGGTGTGAAGCCCTGAGTTCAAACTGTAGACCCAGTACTACGAAAAATAAGTAGATAAATATGCTATTGTTCTTTTTACAACAGCCTTTGAAGCTTTGTTGCAGTGGGGCAGAATTTAGACAGCAGAGGTTTTGGAAATATGAATGTACTGAATTGAACTTGTAAAAGAAAAGCATCGTGTTCTTTAAGCAGTTTTGAAAATTAAGGTCGGCCAGTGCGGGTGCTCACGCCTGTAATCCCAGCTGTCAGGCAGAGATCAGAAGGATTGTGGTTTGAAACTAGCCTGGGCAAATACTTTGCGAGACCCTATCTCAAAAAAACCCATCACAAAAAAAGGGCTGGGGGAATGGTAAGTGGCAGAGCACTCGTCTGACAAGCGTGAGGTCTAAGTACCACCAAAAAAACAAACAAAAAAAGATACAGAGTACTGAACTGTGCAGTGTTTGGGAGGGTTAAAAATATAATATACTGTGCCTCAGAGGCGCATCCAACCTGAGGAGGGGGAGGACATACCTATAAGAAGCAAAATTTGGAGTAGAAGGAAGACTGGCTTTGATGTCATGCCAGTAGAAAAGAAAAGAAGTAGAATAAGGACTGAAAAAGAGAAGTGTCCCTGTGGGCCACAGGGAGAGAGGGGAAGAGACATGGGGTGTAATGGGCTTAGACTCATGGCCAGGGCCACACAGACAAGGAAAGGGCATCAGAAGTTTGGAGCTGGTAGCACATCTGGTAAGGACAGGAAACTAGACAGATGAATGTCAGTGAGAATGTTCTCGTCAGCCCAGATTGATCCTCAGACTGCTGAAAATGCTGGTGTGGCTGTGAAATCGAAGATGTGGTGGAAGAAGAGCCTGCAGGCTGAGGGGACTCTGAGTTTAGACACTGGTAGACAGGGAACCAAACACAGTTGGTGGCTGAGGGAATGTGCAGAGGAGGAGTGGTTTGGGGACTTCCTTGTTAACAAGGCTTCGTGCTTACACCATTATCCCCCAACCTCCTGCCTCACAGAAGCCACAAGCTGAGATTTTTAAATTGGGGAGTCTTGACAGTGCTTGGGGTGAAGGATAACTGGAATGTGGGGTTCAAGGTGACTGGTCAGAGTGCTTTGGTAAATGCGTCATATGATGCTCATGGTAACCACCTTTCTGACCACTCTGGTGGGTTTTCTCGTGTGACCTTCCATGTAACACTGACCACAGTGCTTTTCTCCTGGTCTCGTTAGGCAGCCCAGCAAATCATCGAGCTTCAGGAAGCCGCACAGATAAATGCAGGTTTGCAGCCAGCCAACCTGGGCAGGAACAACAGTCTCCACGACATGAAGACGGTGGTGAAGACCTGGAGGAACCGGCTGCCCATCGTGTCTGACGACTTGTCTCACTGGAGCAGCATCTTCATGTGGAGGCAGCACCATTACCAGGGTAAACCGACCTGGTCCGGCATGCACTCACCATGTAATTTCCCTCACGCCCCACCGTGCTGCTTTCGTGTCTTCCCTGCGGTTTTCCTCTCCCACATTCTCTTTTGGGGTGGGTGTGACAGGCAGTGGTGGTTAACGGTGGGGGGCTGGGCGATGGGAAGTTTTTCTTTCCTGTCATATTTCTAGCAAGAAGAAAGTCAGTGTTAGACACAGGTGCGTGAGGATGCAGGCCAGTGGGACCCACGCTGAGCGTGCCATTCCCGTGTTTCTCAGCCCCTCCCAGGAACACTTGCCCTCAGGTGGCTCTGCAGCCATTTCTGGTGCTCCTGGTCCCCCACTCATTCCCTAGGCCCTCCAGGGTTCTGTGTATTTCAGGCTTCCTTCGAAACCTCGCGACCTAGTTAGCTAAGGCCGTGACGCTCAGCTCTGTAGCTGGTGCCTTCTCTAGCTTCTTGCGACATTAAATTGAAGGGAAAGCAATGGGGCTGTACCACAGCGCTCGCTGTTTTCATAAGCCATGTATGTGTGCTCATTTTCTATTTACACCTTACTGTGGGACACGGTGAGTGGTGTGGAGTGACGTAGACCGATTCTCCATCTCTTTGTTCTCTAGCCATTGTAACCGCCTACGAAAACAGTTCTCAGCATGACCCGAGTTCAAATAACGCCATGCTTGGGGTTCACGCGTCGGCGTCAGCAATCATCCAGTACGGGAAGATTGCGCGGAAACAAGGCCTGGTCAATGTCGCTCTGGACATCCTGAGTCGCATTCATACCATCCCCACCGTGCCTATTGTGGACTGCTTCCAGAAGATTCGACAGCAAGTTAAATGCTACCTCCAGCTGGCAGGGGTGATGGGCAAAAATGAGTGCATGCAGGTAGGTCCCCTGGATGTGTCTTCCCCCACACACACAGTGAGGCACTCAGTGGGGACTGAGCTCCCACAGAAGGCTCCTGATGTGGGAGAGGCCAGAACCTGACACGGCCTCTGGTGGAAACGAGCATGGAGACCTCTTGAGTATTTGAATCCCATTTGTGGTCTCTGTTCCACCAAATGGTTAGCTCACGTGTTAAAGGACAGAAAAACCGCAGGACTGTGAGCAGGTGAGGTAGGCATTGGCCTTGTTCCCTTGGTTAGAGGAACAGGTACAAAAAAGTGACTCTGACTGGACGTGAAAACAGTGCTGTTCCGTGTCTTAGATAAGGGTGGCACCTAGGGGTTCTGTGTGAGTGCTGCTCAGTCAGCAAACACACATAGTAAGCAAGTCTATTTTTAATCAAAGTGTCCTCCTCAGTGTCTTAAAAGAGTCATTGGCTGGATAAATAACTTCATGAAGTTTTTATATCACCACTGAGGCATTTCTAGAGCTTACTGTTTCTGACTCATTTCTCACTGCTTCTTTGCACAGGGCCTGGAAGTTATTGAGTCTACAAACTTGAAATACTTTACCAAAGAGATGACAGCGGAGTTTTATGCACTGAAGGGAATGTTTTTGGCTCAGATCAACAAGTATGTATGTTGTATTGAAAGAGCATAATCAGAAACTCCCACCGAATTATTTTAATAGTCACTAGGTGGTTGACGTCATGGCAGGCGTCATGCCTGTGTGGAGACTTAGTACAGATGGATGAACTGATGGTGTGGTGTGAAGAGCTGCACTTGAATTTATATCGTCCAGCTTTGCTGGGTTTGTTTACTCCAGTATACGTGGCTGCCCCATTTCCCTGACTAGAATTAAAGTGACAAGACTCTTGCCTCTTTCCCCCTCTTGGGGATAGGCTTCTAGCCTTTCACTGTCAGGTGTGGTATAGGCCGTGGGTGTTTCGTGGACACCTGTTACCAGGTTTAGGACATTCCCTTCTGTTCCAAGTTTGCTGAGCATTTTGATCCTCACAGGGTACTGAATTTTGTCATACAGCTCTATCTGTCAGCTGAGTTTACCATGTTTTTTCCTTCGTTCTGTTAAGGGGTGTCACATGGGTTTTATTTCTATTTTTTATTGTTGCTTTGTTTTTAGCAGCACTGGGGTTTGAACTCAGGGCCTCATGTTTGTTGGGCAGGTGCTCTTACTGCTTGAGCCTGTTTCTGTTTTTTAAATGTTGAACCATCCACGTGTCAGCGCTGGTCATGGTGTATAATCTACCCACCGCTGGGATTGATTTTTGCTTGGGGGCGTTTACATTTCTGTTTCTAAAGAAGAGTGGTCTGTAGTTTTCTTGATGTGATGGTAAGATGGTGTCACTGCTGTGGAAAAGTTTGAAGTGAACAGTTCCCATGACAAGGTAAGCTTAGAACTGCCATAGGACCAGTGATTCCACAGACAGACACTTGTTCGAGAGTGTTGATAGCAGTCTTAGTCACCATAAACAAAACATGGTGTGTGTATCACTGGAGTGTTGCTGAGCCTCAGAAGGGCGCTAAGTGAGAAGGAGATGCAGAAGACAGCAGAGGCGGGACTGGATGGATGTGACATATGCCGAGTAGCTGAATCCAGAGATAGCTGGTGGGAATCGAGACTGCTTAGAAAGAGCTATGTGAATGAATTAAATGCCACTGAAATGTTCACGTCCTTTCTTGTTCTTGAGATGGGTTCTCACTGTAAAGCCTAGGCTGGCCTGGAACTCATGATTCTCTTGCCTCAGCATCCTGAATGCTGGGATTGCAGGTCTGTACCACTTCTGGCTTGAAGTGTTCACTTTCACGGGAAGGGTTTTGGTTTTGTTTCCTCACAGGTCCGAAGAGGCCAACAAAGCCTTTTCTGCAGCTGTGCAGATGCACGACGTGCTGGTAAAAGCCTGGGCCATGTGGGGTGACTACCTGGAGAACATCTTCGTGAAGGAGCGGCAGCTGCATCTCGGGGTGTCTGCTATTACCTGTTACCTGCATGCGTGTCGGCATCAGAATGAGAGCAAATCAAGGAAATACTTGGCCAAGGTGAGACCAGCAGAATCAGCTTTGACTAGAACCATCCTGTAGCCTTCATATTAGGATTGAAATCTAGCCACAGTTCACTAATCTCTGCTAGCTCAAGGCCTGACTTCATGTCTAACTCCTGTCCCATCTTTTCAAAGTGTCAACCACAGGAAAAGTGAGGCCTGGTCATCCTTAGGGTCCCAGGACTTCCACATGTCAAAGTCTTGCCTGGAGTCTGGGTCTTAGGACTCCACGTCCAGTGCTCTCTGTGGGATTGAACTCTGGACAGACCTTTTCCAGACTGAGGGAGGGGTTCTGGAGTTAGGGCTGACCTCCTGCACACCTGTTAGATGGTGGCATCTCACCAGTCGTCACAGTGCTCTTCAGCCTTTGATGGCTGCTGGGGTCTGCGCATGGCACCCCGAGCAGAGCCCCCAGCACAGGAGAGGCCAAGTGCTGTCTTCCAACTGGCGTCTCTTGAGACAGAGGTTCCTTCTTCACCTTCCTCCCAAGACACAGATGAAGAAAACCCGGAACTAATGCTTGGGGAAAGCTGAGGGATGAACTGTCTCTCCTATTTTATCATTGAGGGTTTGGAGTTTGTAGGATCCTTGTTTTCACAGCAGCATTTGGAACAAAGTCAACCACAGTGAAAAGAACACCACCTAGGGCAGGTGCCTGACTTCAAAGTTGCTGGTTCCAAATACCCTCAGTTCAGATCCTCACGCACCCTGGGCTCTAGCATGCAGCCTACCTGTGCAGGGCCTTGAGAATCTGAGGTGTTAGTGAAAGTCCACGTTTGGACGTTGAGGTCATGTGTGTGAACGAGCAAGTCAGCAGGCCCTCGCCACCTACCTGGTGTCTCCCTGCAGTACTGGTAGCTTACAGATTGGATCAATTAGTAATGTCAGTAAGGCTAAATGAAGGAAACCTGTCTACTCAGGCCAGCTTTCACTCAGCTGAAAGACTTGTACATACCGTAAGCTCTTGGGTAGCTATTTTTCTATGAGGCCAGCAAAACCACTGTGTGGGATTTTAAAACTAGGGAAAAAGGTTATTTGAGGGCCTCACAATTGTCTTTCAAGTCTGGAACATTTCTTCTGCATTAGGTGCTGTGGCTTTTGAGCTTTGACGATGACAAGAATACTTTGGCAGACGCTGTGGACAAGTACTGTATTGGAGTCCCGCCCATCCAGTGGCTGGCTTGGATCCCGCAGCTGCTCACCTGCCTGGTGGGCTCCGAGGGCAAACTGCTACTGAACCTCATCAGCCAGGTGGGTATCACCAGGGCTCTTCACAGAGCACCTGGCCTCCGTTTGTATTCCTGTCTTCCAGAAAGCCAAGTTAGAATGTTGCGGGAATCTCAAGCTGAGATACAGGACACTGAGGCAGTTTAGCAGGAAGCATTTTTTATTGTGCCGGCACAGACCCAGCGGACTCATGTCCAAAGGCTGAGCTCCAAGAACAAAGGGGTCTCACCTTATATCCCCTTGCAAGCAGGTTACAGAAGCATAGAGCAAGGTCTAATCCATATATGGTTATATTCAATTCTGTAGGCTACTTTACCCTAGTGTTATGTGACTTTCCCTCCCAGTGCTACATGACCCTCTCCACGTTCAGATTTCTCAGGTTTTATCTCTTTGCTATGCCATCCCTACCTCCAGAACTCAGGCTTAGTCTGTTTTCTTCTGGTCCTCCTCCCTGCTACAAGAATGCACAAAGTGCTGAAAGCCCAAGCCTTGGGAAGATTTAAACATTCAGATAGTACTTGAGATAAGGTGTAATTAAAGATATTGGAAAGGGCTGGTGTGCAGCTCAGTGTCGAGTGTTTACCTGGTATGTAAGGTTTGATCACCACCAAAAAAAATAAAATAAAAAAGGCACATGATGATGTCTGCCTATAATACCACCACATAGGAGGCTGAGGCAGAGGCCAGCCTGGGCTACACATACCCTGTCTCAAAAACAAAATAGCATTGCAGTTTCAGTCCAGCCTGGGCAAAAAGTTAGCAAGACTATGTTGTAACAGAACAAAAGAGACATGGTGGTGTGCACCTATCATCCTAGACACTTGTGAGGCCATAGGTAGGAGTCAAAAAGAATAGGGCCCTGAATTCAAACCCTAGACTACCCAAAAGCAATACAAAAGTTACTGAAGAGCTGGATGTGGTGTCACACCTCAGCCCTTGGGAGGCTGAGGCAGGAGGAGGATGAGAAGTTCCAGGCCAGCCTGGGGCACATAGGACATAGTGAGGCCATGTCTCTTATTGAAGAATGTATGTGGGTAGACATGAAATTATAGGGAACATAGCTTTGCAGTGTTCAGATCATAATTTCTTTGCTTGCAAAGAAATTGAATCTTTCTACTTAGGACACAAGTAAACTGTTAAAGGGCAAGATTGCTAGCGGTGCTCTGAGAGCCACAGGGCAATGGGTGTCCAGTAGGCATTTTGCGTCTTCCTTCCTGTCCTCTGCTGAGAGTTCTTCAGAGCCTCCTTAAGACCAACACTGACACTTAATTGTGATTGTCACCCTTTGCAGTTGAGCTGGGGCTGGGCTGGAGACCTGGGTCTAAAGCCAGTCCTTTCCTTGTCCCCATCTGGGAATAGTGCACAGAACTTAAACAGTAGAGGTGTGGGTGCAGTTAGGCCTGGGATGGCAGAACCTTGTGTTCACTTTTCTAAAGTAAGTGTTATAGGATGTGTGTCGGAACACACTGTGTTCATTTAGTTTGTTCCTCACGTGTGGGCGTCATCCATATATGCCCACAAATGACTGACTTTTACGCCTGTGGGTGTGGCTGTACTCCTGGGTCCTGTCTGTTAGCATGCACACCCAAGTCTGCTAGGTAGTTTTTTGTGGAGCATCTGTCAGCTTGTGCTGGCCACGCCCTGAGCGCTGTGGCAGTTAGGCCTTCGCCTGGCTCTGCCGCACATCTCAAGGGGTCTGAGTAATGGGATAATGTCCACTCAGTCCCGGAGCCCGTGATACGGCTGGCATCTCCTACCTCCAGCAGACACTCGACAGTCTGCGCCTTCCTGCACTTGTGCAGAATGGAAGTTCCTCCATGACTGATCTGTCAGCTAGGTGAAACCTTTGACACCTGCAGTGAATTGGTGAATATACAAGTAATCTTCCGCTGGGGTTTATGGTTCTCGTATTTCTCGGAGTAAGATCCAGGGACCTGCCGTGTCTTCTCCCTTCCTCAGATTCTCTGAGTGAAATGGAAGCACGGTTTCTGTATCGTGAACAGTTCCTGGGGAGAATTGATTGAACAACATATGGTAAAGACATTTCACCTGCTGCTTAATCCAGCCATGCATTTTACACCACAGCGTGACATTTGCTTGAATGGCCCAATTGCAGACCAGAAACCCCCTGTGACTTGGCCTCAGTTACTCTCAGTTCAAAGTGTCTCCATCCAGAAGTGCAGTGGGGACAGTTCTCTGTGTGACTTCCTATCTCTGAGCAGGTTGGACGAGTGTACCCCCAAGCGGTCTATTTTCCCATCCGGACCCTGTACCTGACCCTAAAGATCGAGCAGCGGGAACGCTACAAGAGCGGTAGGTCCTGGCTTGGGCTGGCTGGCTGGGTTTCGAAGGGTTCATTCCATGTGTGCCATGTGGACACACCCCTGCCCACCGCTCCCCTCCTCCACATGCTCAGGCTGCAGGACAAAGCCTGACCACTAGAGTAAAGTCTGCCACGTGTCATAGGTGTTCATGCAACTAACTGATCCATGGAGAGAAAACAAACTTTAGCAGCAGACACTCGAAGTCCACCTTCCTCCTTAGTAATAACGACATCATGGTGAGCACTAGAGCCTCACTTGTGCGCATGTGCAGCTAGAAGGGTGTCTTCAGCTGTCAGTCTTACAACTGTTTGTGCAAACTAAGAATGTGAGACTGTTAGTTGATACTGAATAGCCAGTGTGTAAAGGAATAGTTACTGGTGCCAGGTACCTGCTAAGCGTGGCACTTTGTAAACAGTTGTTGTTTGCTTCGTGGTGTTTTGGTGTTGCTGTTATTTTTGCTTTCTGCTTTTTGCAGTGCTGGGGATGAAACCCAGGGCCTTTGGCCTGCTGGGCAGGAGCTCTACCACTGAGCCATATCCCCAACCCTCAGCATTTCTGTTATCCCTGGAATGTCTAAGTGGACTGTGGCAGCATCGCAGGCTGTGCAATGCAGTGCGCTGGGGGTGCATAGTGCCGTGCAGCTCCCTGTCTTGGTTATTTGAAAATTAGGCTTTTTAGTTCCAAGAATAAAGTGCAGTGAGTAACTGTGCTTTTCAGAAATGTCATTTTATAAATGTGATTTGGCTTTCCTGGGTGAGAAATGTAGACTTGCCTATTACCTACTTTTAGATCTTTAAGCTTTGGTAGCTAGGAATGTGTTGCAACACTTCTCCAAACATTTTATTTTTAAGATATTCAAACTTACAGCAGAGGTACAAGGTTGCATGCAGTGCTCACTGGCATTCCTTTCCTGGACTCACCAGGTGGCAGGTTGTCACATCTATCTTCCCCTCCATCATGCACCCTGCTTTTTCCCTGAACCACTGAAGCCAAGGCATGGGTGGCCTTGCTCTCTGTCCCCAAGTCAGCAGTACTGTCCTTAGAACCAGGCCATGTCCACACCACCCCTGGGGAAATGGTCTCCTGGCGATCCCCACACAGGCAGGAGCCGGCGTCCTTTGGCCAGTGGGTCCTGGAGAGCTCCTAGCAGGGCGTCGGTTGGTTTTGCGCTGACATTGGCGTTGTGTGTGTTGCTCTCAGATTCTGGACAGCAGCAGCCAAGTTCAGTGGGTAACCAGTCCCATTCTGCATCAGATCCAGGGCCCATAAGAGCGACGGCGCCCATGTGGCGCTGCAGCCGAATCATGCACATGCAGCGGGAGCTCCACCCGACCCTCCTGTCTTCCCTGGAAGGCATCGTTGACCAGATGGTCTGGTTCAGAGAGAACTGGCATGAGGAGGTATGTGCACCCAGCCCTGCCGCTGCTGGCCACCTCTGCAGGGGACAGCAGAGGTGTCTGGCCATCTGGCCCTCCGCACGCTGTGCGGCCATCTTACCGTAGGTTTCACAGCCCAGTACACGTTGGCTGCTGAGTTTAACAAGGGGGCAGGTGAATTTTTAACCTCTCTACACTAACACAGCCGCAAATGTTTGAAGCAGAAATTCTCAAAAAAAAAAAAGGGATGAAGTTGAGAACGCTGTTCTTGCTGCTGAAGTGCTGCATGCCACCTCCATGACTGCAGTGACTCACTGCACTTCTGCTCTGGGTGGCAGCTGTGTTTGTGAACAAGTGTGGTGGTGTAGGCGACTTGCAGGGGAATCTCCAGAGACGAGACTCGGTTCTGCAGGGGTCTTCCAGGAGCTTAGCCCATCCTTAGTGTCACTTGCTTAAGCTGACAATAAAATAACATGCACTTCACTGTCCTGCAGTAGATCAGTATGGGTCTCAGGCCAGCTGGTTGCTGTGGGACTTGTGTGTGACACATGCACGCACACCACCCAGTGGGAACAGCCTGCAAACAAGGTTTCTCATGGTACAGATGGGCCATGTACCCTGGAAAAAGTGGGGTTTCCTCCTTTTGTTATTGTCTTTGTTCAGGGGCTCTTGTGGCTAAAGATGCCAGCTGACAGTGTCGTGCACACAGCTCTTCCATGCATCCTGGGTGCTGGGGGTCAGGTGTCAGCAGAAATAACCCTGGGTGAACAGCTGTGGACTGGCTAGCTGCTCTGCTTGGCTGATGACCTTTGCCCTCTCTTCCCCAGGTGCTTAGGCAGCTCCAGCAGGGCTTGGCAAAGTGCTACTCTGTTGCCTTTGAGAAGAGTGGAGCGGTGTCTGACGCCAAAATCACCCCCCACACACTGAACTTCGTCAAGAAGCTGGTGAGCACGTTTGGGGTGGGCCTAGAGAACGTGTCCAATGTCTCCACCATGTTCTCCAGCGCGGCCTCAGAGTCTTTGGCTCGTCGGGCACAGGCCACGGCCCAGGACCCTGTCTTCCAGAAGCTGAAGGGCCAGTTCACGACGGGTGAGTCTCGCTTTTTCCGTTCTGGTAAAGCTCCTGGTTCCTTGGTCTTGAATGTCTGAACTGGGTGCACACATTCATTTTCTTGTCACTGGATGTGCTGATTAGACTGTAGCACCCAGGCTCAGACACAGACTGCCGTCGTACATCCTTTTCCACTGGAGGACCAGGGTTTGGACTCAGTAACATCAGAAACGTAAGGTGATTGGGGCAAACCCTCTGGCTCTCTTCTTGGTTTTAGTGGAAACAGTGCAAGGTGAGGTGGTGGTAGAATTTAAAGGTTCGTTCAGCACTTGAAGTGACAAAATTCACAGTGGACTCTGGTGGAAAAAGTATAAGGAGACAGCGTTTTCATTACCTGTCCCTGCTCAGATAGATGTGCTTTCCTAGGCCCAGAAGAGTTTGAGTCCTGGCTCTGCCTCTTACTACCTAACCTAAGCTAAGGGAAAGTAGACTAGTTTCCCTTAGCTTGAGAGGTCATCACCATTGTACATACACACACCCCATGCGCCCGCGCGCATACACACCCAACCAAGTGCGTGAAGACGTGGAAGTGCCTTGTCCAGAGGAAGGCACATGTGTTTCTATGCAGGAACTCATACTTGAATATTCAGAACGTCTTTACCTGTGACAGCCCGAGACTGGGAAGCACCCAGGTCTCCTTGAGAAGGTACTGACAGAGCAGTCAGTTGTCACTCAGCCACACTTTGCAGTAGAAGGATTTAGTTATCGTGGACACAGCAACTCAGATGACCTCAGAGAAGTCACGCTTAGCGCAAAAAGTCAATCTCCAACCAACACACACCATAGGATTCTTGTCTGTGAGACATTTGTGAAGTGACAGGTGATGATAGATAAGTGGCGGTCAAGTGTTAGAGGGGAAGAGGTGGGCGTGGCCTGGACATGGCAAGAGGGAGCATGAACTTGGTGGTACTCGGGCCCAGTGCCCCATCCCCCCGACACACACACGCATGTGTGCCCCGTGGGGTCACGTAAGCCGTGTGGACTGTGCTGAGGTCACTCGGTTTGTTTTGTTCTGTTCTGTGCTTGTACAGGACGTTGGCATGGGGAGGTGGTGCGTGCACAGAACTTCTTTATTTCGTTGCACCTGCTGTGAATCTACAGTGACTCCAAATAAAAATTTTAGAGGAGCAGTTCAGCCCAGAATCTGGAGTACTCTTGATGTAGTGGACCGAGAGTGACGCTGCTGTGTCCCAGATGGTGCGCCCAGTCACAGGTCTCCTGGTGGCATCTCAGTTCCTCCGGCAGTGGTGTGTGCTGGTCTCTTGGGCCACCTGCTAGTGTGCAGTTGGGCCCTGTGAGGAGTCCTGAGGAAGGCAGTGGCAGTGTATAAAATGACAGGGAAACCAGGGCTGGGGTGACGCAGTGGTAGAACACTTGCTTACCATACACCAGGCCCTGGGTTCCGTCACCGCCACTGTCTTAAAAACTAAAAAGGAAAGCAGACAGATGACATTGGAGAAAAACCCAAGCAGCTACACTGACTTTTACAACACTGATGTGTTCGTGTGCAGTGAGCACAGTGAGAAAACCAAGCCCAGGGGGCACAGTAGTGTGTAGGAAGTCCCACAGCTGCAGGTGTTGAGCTGGGATTAAACCGAGAAACTTCCCCATTGGGCTGGGGTACACAGCCAGCTTCAGAGCACTGGACGACACATCACTGCAGCTCTTGTAGTGGGCTTGGAAATGGGATACACAAGGTGTGTATATACTGCCTTCTTGTAAAGTCAGTCAGCCTGACTTTTCTCCAGCTTTTGACCCAAGTTGCTCTTCTGGATTGAGCACCAACAAATACAGAAGAATGGCAGAATGTGCTGGGCTTCTTTGCCAAACGCACAAAGTCGGCCTTGCTTTGTGCAGGTTTAAAGTAGCACCCAAGCTGGGCAGTGTGGCATACACCTGCAATCCCAGCAACTCAGGAGGCGGAGGTAAGAGGATCGCAGTCTGAGATCAGCCAAGAGGAAAGCATGAAGTCCTATCTGAAAAACAAACTGAAAGCAAAATTGCTAGCAGGTGCAAGGCCTTCAGTTCAAACTCCAGTGCTCCCCTCCCCCCCCCCCCCACCCCCCCCCCCACCCCCCACCCCCCGCCTAAATAAATAAATAAATAAAGTAGGCTCCCAGCCTTTGCTAATAGATGACCGCTGCCCTCTGGAGCCCTTTGCAGGCATCCTGCGTTGGGGCCTTTGCAACTGCTGGTTCAGGCTGATGCTGTTGGCACTTCCTTTGCCTGTGTCTCCAGTCTAGCTTGGCAGTTCCAGCCAGGGGAGGTGGGCAGGAGGCTGTCCAGGTCTGCAGGAGCAGTGAGAACGCAGAAGAGTGGTCACCACATGGTGAACTGTACCAGGCCTCGGGATTGTCTGTTCTAGGGCAGCAGTAGGACACTGGCTCCTCACAGCTGCTTTCAGTCCCTGCTTCACGACAGCAATGGCTGGCAAGTTAAATGACCAGGGTCTCCCAGCACAGCACTAAGCTGAAGGAAATGGAAGGGTTTTAAGGGACGTTGTTTATTTTGGAAATAGGATATCGCTGTGCAGCCAGGCTTGCCTTGAATTCATGATCCTCCCAACCTCCCAAGTAGCTGGGATTACAGATGGGCACCACCATACCTAGCAGAACTTTTTCATTTAATTGAACTTAAAATACTCCATTAATCAGGGAGTTTTTGATTGCTTAGGTGGAGATGGTTTTGTTTTTGTACTTTGCTTTCTTTCCATGATTCTCCGTAATGAATGCATTTATCTATGACCTCCCTGGTGCTGCATTTACTCTCCCCATCTTCCCTTTGGTTGCTCCACGGATTTTGTTTCTTAGTGTGGCTGATGCTGTACTTGGAGCCCATGTGGCTCAGACCCTGGTCACACGAGCTCCCCCACCGTTGTCCGCTGGGACTCTGAGGCTGCCCCTGCGGGCTCCATGCCTCATGCCGCATGGAACTGTAGGGAGGACCTGCTTGCTGCCCCCACCCTTGAGATTCCCCACACAGGACCCCTGCAGCTGGGGATGAGGTTTCACGTTGGGTTTGTCTCTCTTTCTCTTCTCTGTGTCCAGAGATCCGGCAACAGCTGTGCTTGCCCCACTATGGAGAGGGCCATAACTTAACCTCAGCAGGCTGGACGTGGACTGGTGTGGTCTGCACTCCACACAGCACTGAGCTGCAGCTGCCAGCTGCCTAAGCAGCGATTCTGTGGTGAGCTGGAAATAGCCTTGCTGATTAAAAATGTCTTCAGCCATGTTTCTTTTGCAGATTTTGACTTCAGCGTTCCAGGCTCCATGAAGCTTCACAATCTTATTTCTAAACTGAAAAAGTGGATCAAAATTCTCGAGGCTAAAACCAAGCAGCTCCCAAAATTCTTCCTCATAGAAGAAAAATGCCGGTTTTTGAGCAATTTTTCAGCACAAACAGCTGAAGTGGAAATTCCTGGGGAATTTCTGATGCCGAAGCCAACACACTACTATATCAAGATCGCTAGGTGAGTGGCCCCTCTGAGGGAACCTCAGGTTGAGTGTCCTGGGAGAAGGCTGGGTTTGTTTCCCAGAGACCCTTTTCTGAATTACCATGGCACCTGACAAAGTGCAACGTGGACCAGAGCACGCTGCGTCTCATTTGGGAGGGAAGAGAACTATGCCTTTTGCTTCTGTGCCCCAGGACTCACCTTCCCATTCCTCCAACTTGCGTCCTGGTGACTGGCCTTCCCCAGGACTTCTGCAAGTAGGCACTGCATTATCAGATACCGTCACCTGTCTGGGGTGAGGTGCAGACAACAAGCTCGGGGCTGTGCTGGACTCCATCGTGTGCCTTCTTTGCCAGGTTTATGCCCAGGGTGGAGATCGTGCAGAAGCACAACACAGCGGCGCGCAGGCTGTACATCCGCGGGCACAATGGCAAGATCTACCCGTACCTGGTCATGAACGACGCCTGTCTCACCGAGTCACGGCGGGAGGAACGTGTGCTGCAGCTGCTTCGCCTGCTCAACCCTTGCTTGGAAAAGAGGAAGGAGACCACCAAGAGGCACTTGTTCTTCACAGGTTCGAGACCCGGGCTCGGTGGGGCACGGCAGCTCCTGCCAACCTGAGAGGATAAAGGCTGCTCCCTAGCCCTCGGGCTGCTGTCCAACTCTGCAGGGTGTGTGTTTGGGAGATGTGGTGCCTGCCGCCTGAGTGTGTGCCATCCTACTCCAGGACCTGCCCTGTGCCCTGTGGAGCAGGGCTGACTGAGGGCTTGTGCTATGCTGGTGACACCTGGACTCTAGGCGAGGCCTCTACTTTTCCTGGGCCCCACATTGCGCTCTGTGGTGTGCTGTGTGTCAGCCTTCCTGCTAGGAAAGGCAGTAGTGTGAGGGCCACAGGCACAGCTGGCAGGTGGCACCAGCAGCTAAGCAGAAGCCACCACTGAGTGGGGAAGCCTGTGCACAGCTGAGCCACCAGCATTTTAGCATGCAGTCTCTTGACAATGGGAGCTCACTACAGTGCATATTGTCTGGTTCTGTGGGGAACTTTGTCCCTGTGAGCAGAGGTGTGGCTGCCTCTGCTTTTGTTCTGTTTTGGGGCATGGTCTTAACTATATATGTGTATGTGTATGGTCTGGCTTCAAACTTGAGATTCTTCTGTGCCAGCTTCCCAAGCTCCAGGATTACAGGCATGCACCACCACACCCAGTCTGACTGTTAATTTTAACATCTCAAGATGAGAAGTAGATTCAAAAAGAAGTCTGAAGAAAGCTGAGTGCTTTAGCACCAATGTGACATGCCTGTGGTGCTGATCCCAGCCCTGGGTAATAGCATATTCTTTGCTTCTTCACAACATTTGGCAGTGACAGTCCCAAGTTTAAGTCATCTTGGAAGTTGTTCATGGACAGAAGCCAGGGTAGTGTGCCAACAGCCTCATTTTGACCAGATTAGCTGTCTTTGTTCACTAGATGTGAGATTCACCTGTGTGCGCATCCTGCTGTCAGCCTCATGCCCAGGGCTCAGTGGCGTAGGAGCTGGGTGTCAGTGCAGCTCCCTCATCTGGATTTTAATAAAATGTCTTATTACTATAATCTTAACATCTTAATATAGGATTATCTCATTTCATCCACAAACTACAGGTTCTTTATCCAGTTTTTGGATGAAGAAACTGAAGTTGACACACATCTAGTGACTCCCCAAGCTGTGTCACTAGCGAGGCAACTTTGGGAAGTGGAGGCAAGTGGGCTGGCGGCAGGGCCCCTGCTGTGCTGCTTCTGTAGATGGAATGTAGGTCGCTGTGTGTGAACACCGTTTTATCAGATTCTCTGTAGTTTGTCCTTACCTGAGCCGTAGGTCAAGAAAATGGCGTGAATGGTGCAGAGCAGGAGGACAGCCCTGTGGCATCAGGAGGCAGGCAAGTGAGGTGACATGGCAGGTGCCCTGGAGCTGGGCTCCTCTGAGGAGTGAGCACTTGCAGAGGTCTTAGTTATTTTAAAGATCTCTGGGAATACTGAACGTAGGACGAAGCTGCAGCCCGACCTCAGGGTTCAGCTTCTCTTCGAAGCACCTTCCCTCTGCTCCCAGCCGGTGGTGGGCAGGGACTGGTGCTGAACTGTGGTTGTCCTCCCTCCCTTACATCTCCACAGTTCCTCGGGTGGTGGCCGTGTCCCCGCAGATGCGCCTTGTGGAAGACAACCCATCTTCACTTTCTCTTGTGGAGATCTACAAGCAGCGCTGTGCCAAGAAGGGCATCGAGCATGACAATCCCATCTCCCGCTACTATGACAGGCTGGCCACAGTGCAGGCGCGGGGGACCCAAGCCAGCCACCAGGTATGAGTCCAGGCCAGGTGCCAGCTGAGCCGCCCGGGGCCTCTTGTTGCAGCTGCTTTCAGGTGGTGCTGGGGTGACAAGGGTCTTCCATGAGGGTCATTAGGTTCGTGAGATGGGAGAAATCGGAGGGCAGTGACCTTATCCAAGGGGATCTGCTGCAAATGGTTTGTTGTGACCTGACAAAGGTGAACTCTGACCTCAAGAGATTCCGCCTGCAGAGAAGCTTACAAATCAGAGCTGATGGCAGCCTCGAGCCTGATCAAATGATGTGAGCCCGTTTGTGTCCTCTTTATCCTTGGCGTGATCTGTGTGTCCCTGCTGTGGCGTAAGAGCAGCAGATTGTGAAACGTGAGGCCCAGCTGTCGTGGTTGCTTGGAGCAGGAGCACCATTTAGGTGGCGCAGGGTGCAGGATTAGGTAGGGGCAGCTTCCCACGTGTGTGCAGGCAAGGGCAACGGAAGCCTGTTTCCTGATTGAGCTCTGTGGATGGAGCTGTGTGCGGGGAGTAGGAAGGGGAGTTGTGGCACAGGGCAGCCTGGGCATTCTGTGGACCCTATGGGGCAGCTGTGAGGTGTTTATAGGCGAGGCTGTTGTTTACCTTTGATGGCCACTGTCCCCACCACCTCTAACTCTGTACCTGGTTGTTTTTGTTGCTGACCTCTGCTCCTTCAGTGTGCCATTTTTGTAACACTTTTAGTGAGATACTGTTCACCCTGCATAGTGTTCATTTCAGTTGGACAGCCACCACCCCTGTCCACCTATCAAACCTTCACCACCCCACCAGTCACCCTCTCTCCTCTCCACCCTCAGCCCCTAGTGGTCACAGGTCTTTCCACCTCTGTGCCTTTGCCTCTTCTGGATGTAACATGAGCAGCGTCGTGCACTGTGAACTTCTGTGTCTGCCTCTCTCACTTGGCCTGATGCTCTCGGGGTGTGTCTGTTTTGTTGCATGGGTCAGTATGTCATTCCTGGGTTTTTTTGTTTGTTTGTTTGTTTGTTTGTTTTGTGAAGGGTTTTTTTCAAGATAGGGTCTCTTGAACTATTTGCCCGGAGCTGGCTTCAAACTTTGATCCCTCCTGATCTCTGCCTCCTGAGTGGGTGGTATTACAGGCATGAGCCACTGGCACTGGCTGTCATTCATTTTCAGTGGCAGGTAACATTCTAATGTGTGAATATACCGCTTATAGTTTACCCAGCCATCGGCGGATGGACTTCAGGATAATTTACGCCTTTTGGGCTATCATCACTGACTCTGTGAACACTTGTGTGGGGGTCTTTGTGTGGACATGTTTTCATTTCTCTTGAATGTGTCCAGGAGCCGAGTGGCTAGGTTACATGGAAACTCTGCTTAGCATTTCTGTGAATTGCCAAACTGTCTTCCAAAGTGTCTGCAGTGTAGACGACGAGTTCTAATTTCTTCACCTGCCAGCACACACTTACTGTTGGGGTTTGTTTCTGGGTGTGGGGGCAGTACTGGAGTTTGAACTGGAGCTTGGTACGCAGGAGCTCTGCCACTTGAGCCATGTGTTGTGTCGTCGTCCGTGTCCCCCCAGACCCCCGGCCCAGTTGTTTTTGAGCTAGTCTTACTTTTTTCCAGGCCAGCCTTATCTGCGAGCCTCCTCTTTTACACTTCCTGCCATCACATCGCTGGGGTGACAGGTGTGCACCGCCTGTCCGTTGAGATAGGGTCTCACAAACTTTTTGCCCAGGCTGGCTTGAACCATGATCCTACCTATGTAGCTTGGAATGCATGTGCCACTGTGCCCAGCTATTGGTTGAGATGAGCACTCAGTCATTTTGCCCTGGTTGGCCTGGAACCATAACCCGGCCCGATCTCAGCCTCCCGAGTAGTGGGGATTGCAGGTGTCCCTGCAGTCCTCCTCTCGGCCATCCTGGCGATGTGACTGGTGACGTCTGCCTCTCCATGTGCTGAGTGGATATTTGTTCATCTTCCTTGGAGGAGCCTGTCTGTGCCCCCCGTCCATCTTGTGAGTCATGAGAATTCCTCATGTCTAGGTACAGGTGAGCTCACTTTCTTCCCCACGTGTTGGCTGTGTGGCTCTGACTGTGGCCCTGAGTATTTGGAAAATCGAATGCCTTAAGGAACGTAGTTTGGCACCTCTAGAAGTCCGTTACTGTGGCCTGTGGGTTTGGTGACATCCCTGTACTAATTCTGTGAAGTCTCTATTCTTTGTCACATGTGCTCATTGAAATCTCTGCTCAGTTTCAGGGCCAGCTGAGGGTCTGACCAGTTGTGTCATGCTTTGAACCAGTAGGTCACACATCTTCTTTGTGGCTTTTCTTTTGCAGAGATTCTGTCTGTCTGTCCCAGGGCATACCTTCCATCACGGTACATCAGTTCACACCTGCTTAGCCTCCACTTCCTGTTTGTGCAGCACCTTGGGTGACTAATGTGGGAACACATGTCCAGCCTTTTAGATCCTTTCCACCCTTCTGCCATGCCTTGTGTGCGGAGCTTGGCTCAGTGAACTAGGCGTGGGCAGTTGCACCCACTCCCTGCATTCCAGCAGCTGTCAGGCCTCTGCTTTTCACAGCCAGCCGAATCATTTGGCTGTGGGTTCTCCCAGCCACTGCGGAGGGGAGAAGTGTGTGGCAATGGGAACAATGGGAGCCACACCTGTCCTGGATGGTCTGCAAGAGTCCTGGTGTTGGGGCCTCTGAGCTAATGGTTTTTCACGCAGGACTGAGCTCAGAACAGACAGTTGGTCACAGGAACCAGGTGTTGAGGCTGAGTTTGGGTTTGGCCCAGTCTGGCCAGTCTTCTAGGATGTAGTTGGGTTGTCAGTTTGTATGATGTCTCTGTCCCCTCCTTGGACTAGTTCCTCGGTTCATGGCACTTTTGCCTATACCTTCTTCAGTGTGAAGCGGTGGTGTGCTCTCTAGCTCTTCTGTTGCTCTTGTTCACTGGCCCGATGTGTTCTGCAGTTAGCAAGGGTGGAAGTAGTTCTCAGACATTGTCCTGTGCTGTGTAAGGCAGATAGCACACACAACGCAACTAAGGCTTCTAGCCAGTTGCCTTGCTGCTTTCGGGCACAAGATGCAGCGCCCAGGAGGGACTGCCGGTCCCGTTTGGCCTTGTACCCAGTCACACAGGCAGTGTGGGCTGAGCACACATGTACTCGCCACTTGAGGGCTTTTCCGCGGCAGCAAGGCGTGGCCGAGCGACTAGGCAGTCGGTGCTGTTGCAGGTCCTGCGGGACGTCCTGAAGGAAGTGCAGGGTAACATGGTCCCCCGCAGCATGCTGAAGGAGTGGGCCCTGCACGCCTTCCCCAACGCCACCGACTACTGGACCTTCCGCAAGATGGTCACCATCCAGCTGGCACTCATTGGCTTCGCGGAGTTCGTCCTGCATCTGAACAGGCTGAACCCCGAGATGCTGCAGATCGCTCAGGTAACTCAGGGTGAACTGTCATGCCGCTCCTTGCACGGGTTCCCTTCTGCTTGTGGGGTCCCTAAGATGTCCCCTTTCAAAACACAGGACACAGGCAAGCTGAACGTTGCCTACTTTCGATTCGATATAAATGATGCAACTGGAGACTTAGACGCCAACCGGCCTGTCCCATTCCGCCTCACACCAAACATTTCTGAGTTCCTGACCACCATCGGTGTCTCCGGCCCGTTGACTGCCTCCATGATTGCTGTTGCACGGTGCTTCGCTCAGCCCAACTTCAAGGTGGGTTTTGGTGTCACCCTGTGACGAGCACACTGCCTGCCTTTGACGTCTGTGGCCTTATAGGACTTGCTCACCTGCTAACCAGGGATGGACGTTGAGGTGGGGTCATTTGGGAAAGGGTTCCGAGTGTTCAGGTGTCAGGCAGGCCACCTTACAAGGAGGATCATTTCCCAGCTGTGACCACTGCAACTTCCAGCTCCCCTTTGCACATCTCGCTTGTGAAGCATTCTCATAGGATGCCACCTGCCTCCCAGGGCTGCAGTGAGGCATGGCGCAGCCACACACAGTGCCCCGTCACCGTGCAGCCACACCTGCCATCTCCTGGGTGTCCTCCCTTGTGCCTCATGCTTCACCGGGTTCTCAGCAAGCTCCCCAGCACGTGTACTGAGGGGAAACTGGGGCTGTGGCAGCACGGTGATGTAGCAAAGGTCACACAGTTGTGTGGGGAGTGGCTCAGCTTGAAACCCAGTTCACTGTGACGGAGCCCACCCTGAGGTCTTCCCACCCGCAAAGGGCTCTCGGCGTGGGGCTGGCAAGTTCTTGCTTCATTTCTCTTGAACTTGTAAGAACAGGTACCTGGTTTCCTCTGTGTTCCCTGGATAAGCAGTTCTTGTCTGGAGAAGACTTGAGAAACTGCTTTTTTGTAGCAGAAGTCACTGAATGCTTAGCTGTGAACAAGGTCTATACGTTACGGACACAGCCTGCTCTTTTATGCCCAGTGCACATGTCTGTCAGCGCTGCTGTGGGGACAGTAACCCACAGTGACTGAGTGGAGGTGACATGTCCTTGGGCTGCCTTGGGAGTGAGGTGATGTGCTGACACAGGGAACCTTCCATCTGCTTAAAATTGGACTTCTTATTCAGATTGAGACATTATGCTTCTGGAAACAACCGTAGGGTGAACCCTAGATTTCAGGGATGCTCTCCATAATTTACAGCCTGTCCCAGCCTGGTGGGACGCCACAGTTTTCTCTATAGACTGCAGGGTGGAGAGAGGAAGAAACTGGAACTTCCCTAAAACCCTGGGCCCCGATTCTATTTTAGAGACAGGGCGTCATTGTGCAGCTCCGCTAGCCTTGAACTCCTACTCCTCCTGCTTCAGCCTGCCAAGTGTGGGGATTACAGACGTGTGCCACCACACACAGCATGAGACTGAGTAAAGCCTGACTTCTTAAGTTAAGGTGCAGACCGTTTTGTGTTGGCACTGGGTAAGGCAGAATAAAACCTTCAACCTGAACATCTGACCTCACCTCCCCTGAGACAGTGCTACACCAAAGACAGGCCCATCACGTTTGTTCTGCTCTCCCCCAGCAGTGCGCGTGATCCCATCACACTTTCCAAGCCCTCCTATGACCTGCTCGCTGCCTGATGACAGGCACTGACGGCACTGCCAGCCCCTGGTCTGCACACTTGACGTACTCTGATGCCTTACCCTCCCTCCACCTGACGTGGAGGGAGCCATATTACTACGTCCAGGTTACAAATGGGGATTCAGTGGCTTTCCCAAGGCCCCCTAGGTGGGAAGTGGCAGAGCTGATGTGTGACCCTGAGTTGACTCTGACCCCAGACCAAGGAAACGTCTCGGGCCTCTGTCTGGTCTTCCTGTCTGACCAAGCTTCACTCCTCCCGCTCAGGCCTCATCGTGCAGCACCACAGGCTTGGCCCGCCACATCTTCCCGGTCTCCACCAGCTGTGACCCACCACTGGGCTTCTTTGAGAACTGCCTCCCGGCTCACCTGTTCTCCACAGGGCCTGTCCCCTACCCCCAGGGACACATTGTGTCTTTGGGGATGTGAGCCCTGTAAGGCAGAGCTGGCACATGAGCGTGTGTCATGTCGAGCAGAGCAGACACAGACCCAGCACACTCAGGTGCCGCGTGGTAGCATGTCCCAAACAGACACGCGCCACCCTGACTCTGAAGACCAGACAGAAGCCTTGTGTCCTGGTTCTGAGGCCTCTCGGCCGTTGCTCCTGTAGAGGACATGGTTTCGTCCCCAGGTGCCGCACACCGTGTCTGCCGGGAGCACGGCCTGGCCCAGAGTGTTTAGGTTAGACGGGCCCTTGGTGGTCCACGGTGGCTCCATTCAGCTGTCCCTCTGGCTGTTCTGGTGGAACATGAGTGTGTCGCTCTCTCCCCACACAGGTGGACGGCATCCTGAAAACCGTGCTGCGGGATGAGGTCATTGCTTGGCACAAGAAAACCCAGGAGGACATGTCGTCTCCTCTCTCGGCCGCCGGGCAGCCCGAGAACATGGACAGCCAGCAGCTGGTGTCCCTGGTACAGAAAGCTGTCACGGCCATCATGACCCGTCTGCACAACTTGGCCCAGTTTGAAGGTGGAGAGAGCAAGGTCAACACCCTGGTGGCTGCTGCAAACAGCCTGGACAACCTGTGCCGCATGGACCCTGCCTGGCACCCGTGGCTGTGACCAAGCAGCTGCCCGCCACCCAGAACGTGAAGGGCCTCTTGGCTCAGAGCCCATGGCTTTTATGACCTCTCTGCCTTGTTCACTTTGTTTACAAAGGTCCTGCCGGTTTGCCGGGTCCCAGTCGCTTTCCCGGTGGAGTGTGTGTTGGAAGAGCGTGGCGTTAGCCTTGGAGGAAGCTGCACACAGTGTCGCCAGGCCATCAGGACCGGCAGAGCCGGGCTTAGCCTGAGCTTTTAAAAGGCTTTTTTAAGGAACCAGGATTCTCGGCCTGGAATTTCTCCTGGGTTCTTTTTTACGGTACTCCTCCCTGCGTCGTGCAGCAGATGGAGCTGTAGGAAGCAGCTTTGTCGTCCCTTTCACGACTGGGAGCGACACTTCCCAGCAGCTTCGTGTGGTGTGTGGACAGTTGAAGTGCACAGAAAACGCAGTGTGAGACAGGACGTCAGGAGCACAGGGACCGGGTCCTCTGAGCACACCCTCCGCTGTGCGCCGCTGGCTGCGGGCACCTCGCTGGGCGTGTGGCGGGATGGCAGGCCGCATCCCCTACGGGGAGGGAAGCCGTCCTCAGCATGTCGCAGGTGGATCCAGCTGGGCGACACAGAGCCGTCAGGGTCGGCAGGTGACCTCGCACTTTTTATTGCTGGCTCCTCGGATGTCTTCTAGACGTTTGCTATCATCGTACCTGAAAATTTTCCTTCCTAATTTAAAAAGAAAAGAGCAATGAAAGTTTGTCCCTTTAGTTTATGTTACGTTCACGCTTTTATAAATCTGAGCATTGACAATGTTGTCTAAATTTGTACAGTGTGATTTTTTAGAATAAATATTTTATAAAAGGAATTGTGTTTTTAATCGTGTGAAATGTCTTCCTGTGGGGTGTCCCCACCTTGTCTCTTGGCCCCTCCTGGACTTAAGCCCCATCTGGGAGGGTCCTACTCTGTGTGGCTTCATGGTGACAGAGCACAGAGCTAGGTGAGGTCCCAGCTTGAAGAATCAGAAGCAAACAGAGCACAGTTTGTTACTCTGAGGAGGAATGGCAGTCCTTGCCAGCTCACTGTCCCTTTATCTGGTTTGGACCCTGGCCAGGCCCTCTCCTAGGGACGCAGTTGGAATAGACAGAAGAGCCTTTCTGCTGGTGCATGCAGGACCGTCCTGACACACACGGTGACATCAGCAGGTCAGAGGGCACAGGGTCTCTCGGAAGCTTTGCAGGGCTGGGTTATGACCCTGCTGCAGGCTCTTCACCGTGGGTGGCTCCAGCCCTCAGAAGACCCAGGCCTTCAGCCCGGGTGAGGTGGCATGCCCCTTCACAGCTCTGAGAGGGCGAGTAGCTTGTCCAAGCTTGTCCCTAAGCTGGTAGCACAGAAATTGAGATTAAAACTCGCCCAGCTACCCTCCACACCCCGAGCTGTTCCCCAGATCAGACGGAAGCTGCGGGGCCACTTGTGCCCAGCTGACACCTCTTCCATTTTTCTCTGCAGTGACTTTTCTCCAGTCCTTAGAGAGCAATTCAGACACACATAGGGCCACGGGTCTGAGCCAGGTAGGTGCCTGCCCTGCAGCCGTCCTCATTCTGTGTCACGGGATTTGTCCTGTGTTTTCGCAGGACCTGCTGCTGTGGAGCGTGGTGTGGAGGGAGATGAGCGGATGACTTCAGGTAAAGGAACATCACTCGTCACTTTGGAGAGCCAGGCTGGGTCCCTAGTTGCTGAGAAAACCAAAATCTCACAGCAACCAGGGCTCCAAGGTCTGTGGTGACGGAGGACCGAGATTCGGGAAGCCTGGCATACCAGTGACCCGGACCTTCAGCGTCCTCACTGCAATGTGGCGGCCATGCAAGGAGCTGGGCTCAGGGCTGCCTGGTCAGGAGCCGGAGAGGTACCCGGAAAGGGTCATTTATGGGAGCCACACGTGTATGATTCGCTACCCGCTGTTTTCTGAGTGTAGACTTGTTTCTAGAGGGGTATTACAAATAATAAAATTTGCCATTCTGACTTTTTAAGTGGACAGTCAGTGGCTTAAGTGCTTCAGTAACGGACAGCCAGCGCTGCCGTCCTCCAGATCCTTTTTGTCTCATCAGATTGAAACTGCTGAGCTCCCAGCATCCTCTTTCCATTTCCCAAACCATCATTCTGCTCTCAGTCACCACAATTGGAACGCTCTAGGACCTCACAGAAGTAGAACCATACGTGACTTGGCTATGACTGGCTCGTTCCACTCGGCACAGTGTCTTCAATGTTCGTCATTAAACATCAGATGGCCTCGTTTTTAAGGCTGAATGAGGCTCCACTGGCTGCATAGGTCACGTCCATCCGTCCATCCATCAGTGGCCACTGCTTCCGTCTTTGTCCACTGTGAGTGACACAGCTGTGGGCACACGCAGCCAGGTGCCCCCACTTTGGCTTCCTGTGGTTAGACGCCCAGGAGAACCTCATGCTGTGATTCTCGTTCTAAGTTGGGGACGGCCACACCGTTTTCTACCACTTGAGCCACTCTGCCAGCCCTCGAGTTGGCTTTTTCTGTGTCCTGCCTTTCTTTGGGGATGGGCTGCATGGGTACATTTTGGTCCTGTGTTTTCTTGTTTGCCTTTGGATCTTTTGTTAAAACTCAGGCCCTTGAGGAAGCAGCCATCTCTCCTGGTGTTTGCAGTCGGACTGTGCAGGGGAGCCCTCCTCCAGCTGCCCCAGTCATCCTCCCTGGCAAACCTCCACAGCTTTAATTGTCACACTCACATGTCCCCTGAGTGCTGACATTTTCTCCATTGAGAACCTCTAAGCCGGACAAACAGAAGGCTCCCAAGACAGCTGTGCTGCCACCAATGGAGAGAGGACATACCAGGAGTGACCCACTGCTCACGGTCACCTCCCACCGGTCGTGAGCCAGGAAAGGTGGAGTGCTGGTTCTACCCCCAGGGGAACGTCACTGACACCAGGTTGGTGAGGTGACAGATTTCCCAAGCTTGTAGACGCTTCCCCCCGCAGACTCAGCAGCCGCTGCGTTCACACCCAGGCACCATGTAGACCTCGTCACCAAAATGGAAGGGTTTGCTGTGGCCAGTGTCCTGGATCCCACGAGAACAAAGCGCTCCTGGAAAGAGGCTCAGTTGGGCAGAGGGGTCGGCCACCTGCAGTACAGCTGGAAGTGGCCCAGCTGGGGCTGTTACAGTCACCAGTGGGGTTCCGGATGACCCCTGAGAATTCAAGCCAGGAAATGGAACCCCACCCCATGTTGGTCCAACCATCACAGTTGCCAGCGTCCCTGGCCAAGGGGACAGACTGAACTGACTTCTCAAGCCACCGGCGACTTGATAGCTGACTGCTGTGGCGCTGGCTGCGTGGTGTCTTAAGTCTGGTATCCCTGTTTGTGTCCCCATGTGGCTGTGATCAAGGGGCGGTACCTGCTGAGAGCGAGCTGTGATTGGCACGGTATGGAATTAATGGCGCAGACTGGAAGTGTGTGTGCTTTTAAAAGTCACGCTGTCCCAGGTGCTTCCTCCCCACTGGGGCCCGGGCATGATGAAAGCAGATGAGAGCCGCGCCTTGGCCTCCGATGTGCGTCTGTGTCCTTTGCTCTGAGCCGTTCTCCCCCGCAGTCACTCTGCAACCATCTTGGAACCCAGGAAGGACAGAGCACCTGCCAGCAGCAATGACTCTTGTGTAACAAGGCCACCGGACCAGTCCTGAGGTAGTGGTCTGCCTGTGTGTTCCACTGGTCATGCAGTTCTTCCTCCTGTTTGGACTAAGGCAAACGTCTGTTGGGGAAGGTGGCTGAAGGGCTGTCCTGTGGTGTCCCCGTGCCACCTACTACAGCTTTCTCTGCTCTTCCCTTTACTCATCCTTGGTACTGGGAGTGTTGGAGCAAGTGACCAGGCCTATGAAACCCAGGGCCTCGGGCCTGGAGCCTGACACATCTGTGGCACTGCTTTTCCTGAGGGTGTCACACTAGCGTCCCCTTACCTGGGGTCGGGAGGCCCTGTGTTTTATAGGCCGAGCTGCTGTTTCCCACGGCTTCCCCTCCCTGAGGTCCGAGCTGGGCTGCTTCCCACGTCAGGTGGCCCACACAGGTCAGGTGTGCAAGGCCAGTTGACAGAGGGGACCTGGGACCGGGTTGGTAGGGGGACAGGCTTCTTGCCAGGCATCTGCTCGGCTGTGGACACGTTTGGCCTGTTTCCAGGGGTGATTTCAGCCGTCTCTCATGGGTCCTGTTTCCATGGGGACATTCAAGGGTCCAAGTGGCCTAGCAGGCCGTCCTGTACGTGTCCACTCTCCAGACATTTTACTTTCAGGTGTATTATTTTTATTGAATTGTAATTTGCAAAAGTATAAAATTTTTCATTATAAGCTAAAATTTTTTAGGTCAACATACCTGTCTTATCACTAGGTCAAGTCACTGTGAGGTGCTTGGTTAGTTAAGTGACTAGGGACTTGGCTGCCACGCAAGGCCATCCTCCAGACAGACACAGCCCCGAAACGCACTTTCAGCTAACGTACGCACGTGGAGCGAGCCCAGGAGTAATTGGCGTTGAGTTTACATGTGAGCGCTCGATTAGTCACTCAACTGCCTACCCAGGAGTAAATGAGAGAAACTCAAAGTGTGGACAGGAGAAAATGGGAACTCGCTGTCTCCCCGCCCACAGAGGACACAGCGCTGTGGCTGCCATGGCCGCCATCCAGTGAGTGGGACAAGCCAGCAGTGAGTCACATTTTTATAAGGCCATTTCTAAAGCACATCCAAGCTACACAGCGCTGGAAGCCTGGAAATACTGGTTTCAGACCCTAGTAACGCCCCCAAACGCCGCTTGGTGACGGCACGCAAGACCCGGGCGCTTGGGCCGATAAGAACCTGGCCGTGTATGCGGGTTGTTTCACAGAACAACGACGATTGCGTCTTCAGTCGCTACAAGGAGAACGAGGAGCCGCAGCGCAAGGCCCGCGTCGCGTCCAGCTGGTCGCTGATCGGGATCCCGGCTTGAACTCCGTGTGACCTAATACTGCGGCGGAAGTCACATTCCTGTGACAGAGTGGACACGGCCCACCTGCTTCGGACCCGGGCCGTATGGACGCGGCAGGTGGGATCCAGCGCCTGTGTCGGGGCAATGCCCTCGTTTTGCAGAACACGGGCAGTGGGTGCTTGGGGAGGGTCCCCGAGGCCCCCCGTAACGTGACCCTGACGGAGACGGGGTGGAGGACCACGGGCCTGCGGGCGTGGGGAGAGGGCACCCCGCACACCGGGCTCTGCCTGAGCATCCTTGGCTGAGGGCTTGGCCCGTGGGGACATCAGGACGCCTGGCACTGCCATCGGGGCCCTGACCCAGCCCGGCGACAGGTGCTCTTGGTCTGGGGCCTGGTGTCAGAGGACACCCGTGGGCACCGCCAGCTCTGCCCAAGCTTCCCTGCGACTTGAAGGAAGTGGGAGCCACCTGAAGATGCTTCTCTTCCTCCTCGGCCACTTGTCCCTTGTCTGGGGAAGCGCGCTGCCTCGAGAATGGCAGCTCCCCGTGCCGGGCAGAAGACGGTCTCCTGTCTCCTGGTGCTGGGACAACAGGCCTCGCCCCGTGCCCGGCTTTCTCCTTTCAAGAGTTTTAACCTAAGTGTCAGCTCGGCCTCACAGCTGCTGCCACCACTGGAGCCCAGCCCAGGGCCACCTGAGTGTGACCCAGGCCCAGCAAGGCTCGGCCTGCGCCGTCCCTGCAGCGCGGCCCAGCGCTCTGCAGCCCGGGTGGCTCCTGCTGGCTGCCATGGGATGTGACCGAATAGTCCCGTCCCCAGCTCGGCCTTCTCTCTCTGTTCCTCTCTCCCTCCCTCCCCCTGGAGCTTTCCAGATGGTTCTTAACGGCTTCCGGGCATTTTTCATTTTCACGCGTTGTTCTGGCCTTAGCTTTGTCACCCAAGGACAGCCCTTACTGTCACCATCTCCCACAGGAGACTGAAGGAGCTGGGCCTGGTCTCAACAGTGTCACCTTCCCCTGGCCAGCGAGACGTCCAGCCAGCATCACGGCCTTTGGTGGGCAGGTAGGGCTGTCGTTACCGACTGGACAGGGACAGGCTGTCAGAGGACAAAGTGGTGTCCTGGGGCTCAGGTCACCCGGCCCTGTACCCCCGCTCTGACTGGTGCGGGGCGAGTGGACGGAGGGGCCGGGAGGCGGGGAGCCCGCGCAGGGTTGTCGTGGCATCTCGGGAGTGCGGCTGCACGGGTGCCTCGGGCAGCGGCAGGGCGCCAGGGTGCTCAGGGGGGCGCCCAGCACAGGACACATGGTGTCTGGGGAGGTGGCGCAGGCTGTGCTGAGAGCATGAGGTGTGTGACTCCCAGAGCCACCATCGTGGCCCGTGTCCTGGCCATGGGGCAGCGAGGAAGCCGGGAAGGGGAAGTGGCCGGGCTGGCCCGGTGCTTGCGTGGAGGGCGGGGGAGGACGGCAGCCTGTGTGGCTCCCGGGCAGGGCAGGCTGTGGACCCGCCACGGGCCGTCCTCTGTCCTCACTGGACACTTGCTGCGGTGGCGTCCACGCTCACCCCGCTCAGAACATGGTGGCCGCGCTGTGTCCTGAGAGCCAGGAGGTTCTCACGTATGCAGGTGTTTGAGACGACATGGGCGCCACTCAGCCTGGTCTGTCTGGAGCTCACGATCTTCCTGCCTCTGCCTCCCAGTGCTGGGATTACAGGCGTGCACCCTGCACCAGGCCCTGTTCCCTCTCTTTGTGTGACTCTAAAGTGCAAGGAAGAGGCCAGGTGTGCAGGGTCACACCTGTAATCCCAGCTGCTTGGAGGTAGACATCTGGAGGACCGAGGCTTAAGGACAGCCATGGGCCAAAACCCTAAAAAGTTAGCAGGAGTCTGTCAGCAAATGAGCTGGGCGTAGTGGTACAGTCCTGTAATCCCAGCTGCAGGAGGATCACGACGTGCGGCCACCCCTGGGTATAAATCACGACCTTATCTGAAAAGTAACTGGAGTCAAAAAGGGCTGGGGGCGCGGCGCAAGTGCCAGGCTGAGTTCAGCCAGAAAAACCCAAACAAGTCAACCCTCGCAGGGCGGGCGGCACAGCAGCGGCCGCCGTGGCGAACTCCTCGGTTTGAGATTCGACGGCAGTCAGGCTCGGGCACAGGGGACCCCAGGGACACTCGGCGCCCGGAACCTGAGGCAAGGGAGGTGTGGGCTCACGGGAACACGAGGCGTGCCACCAACCGGTGCCACCAACCAGTGCCCCAAGCGCCGGCCACCCCAGCACTGAGGCCAACGCAGGAGAAGCCACATGTGCTCCTCAGGCAGCAGGTGTGTGTCACCGACCCAGGCCCACGGTGTCCTGTGCAGTGACTGGGCCCGTCCACCTGACGGCTCGGGGCGGCCGTGGCGGCCTCCGCTCAGTACTTTGCACCCAGCACGCGTGTCCCCTGCTTTCTCCTCCGGCCCCCGTGTCCTCCATGGAACTTGTGACCACTGACAAGGACAAGGCCAGGCGAGCTGTCAAGTGAGTTTATTGCATACGGAACGTGACCCCGGCCACCCGGCCGCCCGGCCGCACGTCAGCGCTCCAGCTGCCCCTGCGACCGCGCAACTGCCCCTGCGTGTCCTTCAATGCCTCTGATTCCGCCAGAAAACAGAACAGTAGTGTCCATCTGTCACAAAGTCAGTCAGTCAGTCCGCGGTAAAAACAGTGGGAAGAATAACAAGAATAGCAGCAATACTTAAAAACAAGACGTTACAAAATAAATTAAAAAATACATTATAAAGTGGTTGAGAAACAAAAATAAACACGTTTTGAGTCCACGCTATGTGTGGGGAAGGCCGCCCTGTGGCACCCTGGCCGCAGTGGTCAGGGCGCTCTGCAGGAGGCCACCCGCCCGCATGTGGACTGCGGCGTGGCCACGTCACCCCAGGTGGCCGCCTCGCTCTTCTACCCCAAGCACCGCGGAGCGGTGACGTGCCGCATCCCTGAGTGTCGGCTGCTGGCGGGGCCGAGCCTGGCGTTGCCCCTGAAGCATCTGGGCGGGTGGGCGGGACGGAGGGACGGACAGGGCCAGGAAGTGTGGACAGATGGCCTGATCCCGGATGTTAACCCGACGCGGCTCACTCCAGATGTCACACGCATCCTGCCGCACGTCCCAGAGCACGGGAGCCCGGCTCCCATCGGGCAGTGCTGGCGCCTTCGCTCTGCGTCGGGCTCGCTGGCCTGGGGTTGTCACTGGGGAAGGCCACACGGCTCCTGGGCGGCCGGGGTCTGGATGGAGCGCCCTCGGCGGTGTCCTGGTGAGCGTGAGCCCTCCTGGGAAGCAGAAGGCGGATAAGGCCACAGCCGGCCTGGGCCTGAGTGATCAGACTCCACTGTGGCACCTGGCAGCCCTTCTGTCCCACACCTCAGCAGGCCGAGTGTGGCAAAGACCTTGTGCCCTGTGGGCCAGTGGCCACCAAGCTGGGCCGGTCTCTTGGGGAGGGTCTGCACTCCACAAACCGCGTGCAGACGTGGAGGGCCAGTCGTTGTCCTCCACACGCACTAGCCCAGGTGACAGGTAAGCTGTCCCCAAGGCTGTCCGCCTCCATGCTGGCCCGGCTGGGGCCCAAGCCAAGCGCGTATGTCATTGGTGAAATGTCTCGCTAATGGATCACCCTGTTCCTGTCCCCACCCCCAAACCACACAAAACCCGAGCCATCCAGAAAACTTGTCACCGTCTCTCCAGGAAGGTTAGCTGTGTAAAACTTTTGTGCAAACTGGGAACGGAGCTAGACACGGAGCTGACGCTGGCTTTGGCCTGACTCGCAGTGTCACACGCGGGAGGTGGTGGCATGGTGGCGTTGCGTCTGGGGAAAGGGCCCTGCCATCAGCCTGACGCTCACTGCCAGCTCCAGCAAGGCCACTGTCCCCTCCCTGCTGTGGCAGCAGCTGTGTGGCGAGCCTGGCTCTCAGTGACCACTGCATCTCAGGAGACACAGTCGAGACTGCACCCGCGGTGGGCCCGAGGCAGGTCACTGGTCACTGTCACCTGGTCTTGGACCAGGAAGAGCCTCAGCTGGATAGAGCGTGGCAAGGGACTCCTGGAGGAAAGATGGCTTCCCACTGTGCAAAGTGCCTCCCGGACGCACTGCGACACGGGCCCCTGCCACCGCGGGGCTCCACAGTGGCTTTCCAGCCGGGGAGCGAGGACGTGAAATTTGGAATCCGAGCTGAACGGGAAAGGGGCCGCGAGGTGTGGCGAGGGCGCGGCCCCTTCGGCCGCGGGTCGCCTGCGGAGCGGATGGACGTGGATGGGTGCAGAACCGGAGTCAGGAGGGCCGCAGGGTGGGAGCCACCAAGTCCCCCGCTCCCCAGCGAGGGAGGCGACCTGTCCTCGGTTACCCGGAACGCGGGCTCGGCCCGCTGTGGGAGCGCGACAAGGCCGCCGCCCCTGGCCTGGTGGTGACGCGACGCTGCCGGCCGGCGCCTTCACTCCACCGCGAACCCGCACGTCTCCTCCACCGCCGTCAGCAGCTTCTCGTACAGCTTCTCGTAGGACTCGTAAGGCGGGATGTCGATGCGGTTGAAGCTGAGGACAGAGGCACAGAGTCAGCGCGGGGACGGCCTGTAACCCCCACTGTCTCTAGAACGGTGTTTCAGTCAACACACCGCAAAACCGGGGCCCCCGGCCCCCGGCCTCGTCCCATCCACCCCGGCGCTGCCCCCCTCAGCAGGGCCCCTGGGCGCCCGGACCCGCTTACCAGGTGTGGGCCTTGGGGAGGCTGTCAGGGTTGGCGTCGATCAGGTGGATGGTGAAGAGCCGGGGCCCTGCGGCGCCTGTAGAGCCTTACAAGACAACATTCTAGTCACCGCACCCCACGGGGTCGCACAGCGCCCGCCCCGCGCGTCAGCCTGGCGCCCAGTCCAGCCGGATGCTCACGGAGGGCGCAGGGCACCGTGGCCTCTGCCCAGCTTCAGATGTGGGTGGTGGCCACCATGTGGCAAAAGCCAGGGCAGCAGAGGCTGGCCGCGAGCTGGCGCCTGTGGGGGTCTGAGGGTGCTGGAAGTGAGGGCAGGACGTGCCACCTGCTGGGCCACCCGTGTGCCAGGGCTGCTGAGGCTGCAGAGGCGCCGGGCGTTGTGCGCTTACTCAGCGGGGCAAAGGCTGGCAGTGCCTGGAGCAGCAGTGCTGGGCCGGAAGGGACAATGGCAGAAGCAGGTCCCTAAGGCCACTGGTGGGGGAGCACACTGTGGTCTCGATTTGTCCCCCTGTGCACCGTGCACTGCTCAGCCGCGCTCTAGGCATCCAGGGACAACAGAGCCAGCTTTGTGAATTACCAAGAGCAGCATGGCCCTCGCAGGGGCCCCGGTCCTCCCACAGAGCCTACAGCAGGTCCACGGCACACGTCACTGCCGGGGGGGACCCAGTGACACAGATGGCCCGCCCTTCCCTCAGGCTCTGAACAGACATCTGAATGCCGATCGGTTACCTAACCCAAGTTCAGTTACTGCCATTTCAATGCGTTCACTAAGTCCACCCTCCTCTACCAGTCGCTGGTCCCGACCCTTCTGAGCCAGTGTGACAGATGACACCAGGCCACCTATCCACGGGCAGGTGTGGACCCGTCCCATGGAGCTCCTTTCCCCATTCAGTGGCCTCAGTGGCTTAGCACGAGTTTGACACCCCCTTCCCTTGGTATGCTTGGTGGCTGGTGAGGGGCTCCCCACAGCTGTCCACCTGGGGCCCTGGGCACAGGAGGGGCCCACCAGCCACCACAGTGGCCCCTGCTGCTCCAGAGCTCTTGGCTTTTTGAAAGCAGCCCTGCAGCGCCCAGAGTGGCTCCGTGGCTCTGTGCCACAGGGACCCTCTGCCAGCCTGTGTGCACCTGCAGCGCTGAGCACTTGTGACAAGAACACCGGGCACATCGCATTTCAGGACACCCCAGGCCCCTTCCAGGTGTTCCTCCCACAGCCCGGTGCAGAACACACCAGGCGGACCCTTGAGGAATGGCCCCGCGTCCACGTCAGTCACCTTGCAGGGCCTTGAAGCCTTGGAGGGGGACACGCGTGGATCCAGTCACGAACTGCAGCAGCCTGGCCCTCCGCTCCTCGTCGAAGGTCTCCACCGCCTGCCAGAACCAGCGGACTATGTTGCTGTCGGCCATGCAGTGCTTCAGCCGCGTGTTGGATTTCCAGTCGTTCAGGTCGATCTTGTCCAGGCCCCCGACGATCAGCTGCAGAGGGCAGGGATGCATCACGCCCAGCGCCACCCCAGCGCCACCCCAGCTGACACGACGGGCTCTGCCACTGCATCAGCACCTCGGCCGCACCTGGGGCTTCACTCTGTGTCACTCAAGAGTGAACGAACGCCCAGACCAAGCTAGCAAGAGTGACCCGAGCTGCCCTCCAGACGAGGCCCACCACAGCGTCCCGCCAGGACACCGGGTGTCTATGGAGGGCGCAGTCTGGAGAAGAGGGCTTGAGCCTGCTCCCTGCTGCGTGTCCCACCCCGAGGCACCCTGCCCACTGCTCTCGGTGGCTCACGGGTGGAAGAAGGATCGAGAATCTGCCCTACCCTCGGGCAGGGCTGGACAAGGACGAATGATTCACTGTGCCTGTGGCCATGAGGACAGTAGCACTGTTTTCAATCTGTAACGGCCAGCACAAGCAGCACAAAACTTGACACTTGGGGGGTTGGCACCCAACGAGGACGTTCCCTCGGTCGGAGGTGACTGACCACACAGGTAAAGGCTGCGGAACCTCCACGCCAGAGGTCCTAATAGGGCACCAGCACCTGAACCTTTCCCCGTGACGGGGCCACGTGACAAACTGAGACAGCACTCCTTGCCTGGCCCTGACTGTTGATCTCAGGCCCTATCACACTTCTGGGCAGCTGCAGAGAAAGACTGCAGCCTCACTCACACCCCAGGCTGCTGTTGCACCAAGTGCCTACCTCCAGTTCCTTCTGGTCGAAGGGCTTCAGGAGATGCTGTGGAATGAGCTCGTTGAAGCCCTTCTGCAGGGCGAGGAACTGAGCCTCGATGCCTCTCATGAACCTCCAGTTGACGTACAACCTGGGAGGGAGGAGACCCGCGCCGTGGCGCCCATGAACGCCCTTCTCCTGCAGTGGCGGCAAACCCGCTGCGGGTCCAGTCCACGTGAGCTGCCTGGTTCACTCTGTTTCCCCAACACTGAGGAGGCCTGAACCTGGACTGTGACAGCAACCACCACCTTTAAAAGCGTGCTTGGGACAAAAAACGGGGTGGCACAGGGACTGCGTGACAGCCTGGGCCTTGGCAAACGCTCTGCATCTCCACCAAGCGCAGAAACGGACACTGCTGTGGGCTCCCTGGAGACAGTGGCACAGAACCCTCAAGTCACCACTGTCCCCGAGAGCTGGGGGTCACCTGGATGTCCCTCCCAGCCTGGCCTCCTGTCAGGCCAGCCCTGGTGGCATTAGGAGCCTCTGAGTGGACTCCCACGGGGTTTCTGAGCCTGGTGGCTTCTCAAAGTCCTCTGCTAACTAAGGTGCCTCATCCCGAGTGCCGGCAGGGCCAGTGAGCCTCTCTCAGGGAAGCTGGCCGCTCCCCCAGTCCCCGGTGCCCCAGGCGGGCCCCAGGCATTACCGGACGTACTCCTTCTTGTTCTCCTCGGTGACCTGCACGTTTCTGCCATTGGGTTTCAGCTCGTGCTGAAGTATCCGCCCGAAAGCGTTGTGCTCCACGCAGAACGTGTGGTCCAGCACTGGCGTGATGTCGTTCTCCCTGTCGGTGGGTAGACGGGCACAGTGAGGCCAGGCCAGCGTGTGACAAGAGGGAACACGGGAGCGAGCCCAGGCTCTGGGGCTCGTCCCAGGTCCCTGAGCCCTGGCTTTCTCCCTCATGGAAGGAGGGTGGCTGTGTTACCCTAACGGTTGCGTGGCGAGCCAAGTCTGGGGGAAGCAGGGAGGACGGTGACAAGGTGTCTGAGTCAAAGGGAACTAACCCGGGAAGACCACACTTCTCTCCAGGTGGCCTCCTCAAAGACGGCCATCCCAACAAAAAGGCGCGGGAATGTCAAACCTGCCTTTTTTTCTTTCCAGCCGGACTGGGGCTTGAACTCAGAGCTTTGCTCTTGCAAAGCAGGCGCTCCACCTCAGCCGGGCCTGGCACAGGACGAGGGGGACTTCCTGCCCTGTCCTGCCAGACCTGCCCCCACCGCCCATCTTGTCCCCAGGCTCACCACTCGCAGAGCGCACAAGAGTCTAAGCAAAGCAGGCTGGGTGTTAATCGTGCTTGGGAACTTTTGTTAGTGACACCACGGGGTGTGCCACATGCACACGGGGCCAGGGACCGCGCACCGCGGGGAAGTGCCATTGAAGCTGGGACGGTGTCCCCGCGCCTCCTGTGGCACTCACAAGATCCACACCAGGCTCTTGTGCAGCTCTGGGTCCACCGACTCCAGGTCAGACAGCTGGATGGGCTTCCCCAGGAGCTGCTTGTAGAAGGGGACCGTGAAGCCGCCGTTGACGTAGTGGCCGTGGAACACGGCCAGGCCCATGACCCGGCCCACGAAGTGGAAGTAAGACAGGTGGTCCTGCAGGGGCGGCAGAGGACACAGCTTCGTCAGGACACCCGCGCAGCCCTGGGCAGCGGCTCGCAGGCAGCTCGTGGCCACTGCGTAGCTGAAGTTCAGAGCGCGTCTCTGCACAGAGCAGCGGGCGACGCTTGGTTTGGTTTGTTTGTTTTGACACAGGGTCTCACCATGTAGCCCAGGGGGCTTCACCTTTGCAATCCTCCTGCCTCAGCCTCCTGAGTCCGGGACTAGAGGTGTGAGCCACCAAGCCCGGCAAGGCCATTTTCTATGCCCTGGTCCAACGCCTCTTCCTTCAAGTTGCTGCACAATGCAGAGGCGCAGCGAGACATGAAAACGTGGCCCCGCGCGCCTTCAAAAGTTGAATTTCAACGTGACAGCAGGGAGCCTTGTGTACTGTTCAGGGCCTGGAAGCCACCTTGTCACCTCCCAACCCACAGGAAGGAGCAAGAAGAAAGCTGGGGCACAGGGAGCCACAGAGGCAGCACGTCTGCCAGCGGAAGCCATTCTAAAGCCGAGCTGTTTTGCCTTCGCCTCGAGAAGCTCACGTTTCAACGTTGAGGTTTGAATTCAAATTATGATTAAAATCTCAGAAAATTGATCAAATGTTACTTCCACTGTGGGGACAGTGTGGCATCTGTGATCCAAGCTGTGTGAGAGGCAGAGGTAGGGGAACTGTGCTCGTGGCCAGCCTGGGCAAAAAGTGCGAGACCCCATCCAAAAAAACAACCTCAACTCAAGGGGTAGAGCGCCTGCTTTGCAAGGGTGAACCCTTGAGTTCAAATCCCAGTCCCACCCAAGAAAAAGAAATTGTACTACAAAAATAACCTAAAAGCATCAAGGAGTGGAGAGGTGCAAGGCCCTGGCCTTTGAAACCCCTGCACCACAAACTGACCGACCGACCGACCGACAAGGCCACATGACTGGCGCGACAGCTATGGACGCTTGGCTCTCGTGAGCCCTGACTGGAACTGGGCCGACAGGATGCAGCCCGCGGGCTCCGGCCGAGGCGCACTGAGTGTTGGTATTTGAGGCTGAAGAGGCCAGTTCTGGCTGCAGGGACGGCCTGCTAACCCAGCTCTCAGAGCCACACCAACAAACGTGGCCAACAAGCCACAGCTCCCGAGGTGGCAGGACACCCTGGTGAGCGAGCAGTGGTGATTCGCGGGGTTCCCTCGACACGGGATGCCACCACCCAAGCACGACAAGCTAAAGGGGTCCAACTTTGGGACAGTGGCCTCACTCGACGTCCCAGTGCGCCACTGACCACAGTCTGAAAGTCTACGCTGAGAACCAACCTGAAAAGCCAAGCGACCTCCCAGCCGCCCCGCGGGGACTTACAGGGTTGATGGCGGAGTCGGGGTTGATCTGCAGCGTGTAGATGTTGTCCGTAGAGTACTGGAAGAGCCCGTAATACGGGTTGAGCATCTCATGACACAGCAGGCACAGCCACTCCCTAGGACGACAACACACGGCTCGCACGCACAGGCGCGCGGAAAGGATGTCACCAAGAGCGTGCGACGTGCACTGCCTGGCCAGCTGCGTGCCTCGCCTCAGCAGCAGCAGGGCTGCCACTGAGACAAACTGCGTCACCAGTCAGCATCACTGGGAAAGGCCGCGACTTTCCTCACAGCCCAGGTGCCTCCCACCCGTGGCAAAGGCCAGACCCTTGGGTGAGGACAGGGGCTGTGACATTTGCTCCAAGTGCGCCAGTGGCAACCGCATGAGGGCTGGCATCCGGGGCTGTCCCTGCCTCCAACGCGCTGCAGTAAAAGGTTTCCCAGCAGGTGAGGACAGCTCAAAGTCTGGGGAAGCAGACACTGTCTTCTGTAATTGTCTACTGAATTATTTTTTAAAACCATAAACGTTTGTCACTTTTTAACTTAAAACTAGTTTAAATCTTAGGCTTGACATTTTTAAAAGTTTTTAAAGCGGTTACATTTTTTTGAATTACTTCACGTTTGAAATATAAAATCATACTGAAAACTCCTGGGCGTGGTGGGGACCTGTAATCCCCGCTAAAGTGAGGTGTGACAAGGAGACGGCAGCTCAGGCTGACCTGGGCAAAAACATGAGGCCCGATACAAAGAATGACTCGCGTGGTAGAGCGCCTGCCTAGCAAGTGCAAGGCCCTGAGTTCAAGCCCCAGTACCTCCGAAAAAAAAAGTTGTGGCTACGAGAAGCAAATGAACATGTGTGCTCGACGTGGTGGGAAGCCAGCTGGCGGGTGTGGTGCCCCAACTGCCACGGGGACACAGGCAGCAGCACTTAGGACACTGGCCACTCACCGCGCCACACCGCCGTAGTCCAGGCCTTCCTCCCCACGGAATTTCACCATCAGCCGCTTCCTCAGGTCCTTCGGCCGCATCTTCATGATCTGACGGTATGACTCCTGCAGGGCGGGGACAGCCACAGAGAGCAGAGTCCCAATGTGGCCACCGAGAGTGCTGAAACACCGCGGCCACCTCGTGCCGACCTGACATCTAGTACTGTCCCCTCTTCCCACAGCTTGTCCTCTAGGACGACAGTGAGCACACCACGAGCCAGGAAATGTGGGACAAATGTCCTGTGGGAGCTGACCATCCCTAGGTAGGTGGACTTCACCGCACCCTATACACAACTTACTCATTTTAACCAAAGCAAAGTCCTTGTCACAGCCTGTGTCTGTAGCTAGCGTGAAAAAGCACACAATTTCCCACGGCATCAAAAGCAAAAAAGACACAAGGGCTCAGGTGCTGGTGACATTCCCTCGGCCACTACTCCCTGTGGAAGTGGCCGCCTGGGGTGCGTCTGGGGTCTTTTTCAGTAGGGCACCTACTGAAGGTAGCAGCTCCTGTCAGAGCCACCATGATGGCTGTGGAGGGGCCAAGCAGACACTTGAGCAGCACGGCTGAGGCAAGGGTCTGCAGCCAGGCCTCCCTCAGCTGCCATAGACCAGACAGAATAATCATGGTCACTTTCTTTCTTTTTCTTCTTTCTTTGAGATGTTTGGGGTGAACCCAGGGCCTCACCACTGCTGCATTACCCTCATGCTCTTCTCTCTCTCTCTCTCTCTCTCTCTCTCTCTCTCTCTCTCTCTCTCTGTCTCTCGTAGCACTGGGGTTTGAACTCAGGGCCTCCCACTTGCTAGGCAGAGGCTCTACCACTTGAGCCACTCTGCCAGCCTCTTCTTGCTTTATTCTTCAGATAGGGTCTCCTGATTCAGCCTGGAGCCAGCCTAGAACCACAATCCTTCTACCTCTGCCTCCCACCTAGCTGAGATTATAGGTGTAACCCACTCTACCCAACCTGCTTTTTGCCTGGGGCTTGCCTTGAACACCATCCTCCCTCCCACTCTCCACATCCCGAGAAGCTGGGATTACAGATATGAGCCACTGGGCCTCCTGCTGCCCATGTATATTTCTGGAATGGTCTCAGTTGGTCGCACCTGCCAGTACCTCCACACGAGAGGGAGGGACGTGGCCAGACACAGCTGACATTTTACCTCCTGCTCATCTTTCTGGAAAAAGAAGGCCCTGTCTGCCCAAGGGCCCCCATTGTGTGGAGGAGTGGTGGGAGGGATGGAGCCCTTCCTGGTCCTGGGGACAAGGAGGCCATGTGGCTACTAGGCTTGCCTGGGAGGAAGGTCAGCATCCAGCCCTATGTCAACATACCTCAAATATCTCTTCTCGGGAAACTTCAATGCGGCAGTGCCCCGCCTGGGGCTGCTGAAGGGACAGCTCGTGTCTGAGGACCTTCAGCTTCTGGACCAGGTCGCGCTCGTACCTCTGCGCTGGCAGCTCCTCGTCCTCCACAGAGCCTTCGCTGGGTAGTGGCAGTGGCTGGCTGGGCTCCTTGAGTTGGCACTGGTGGCTTAAGAAGAAAGGACCGCCCGTGGCGCCCAGTGCAGATGGAGGCCCCTCCCGGTGACGTAAGTGACCCGAATGCACCACCGACAGCCCCCATCCCCCCAGGTGCAGTGAGGGAGACCCACAGGTAGAAATGGCCATCACCTGTCACAGCCCCACACCCACCCGAGCCTGGCCAGCACACTTGGCTGCATGGTGGCAGTGAGAGCAGCAGGAGCTGGCAAGAAACGTTTTTAAGAGACTGATGTGACGCAGGACAGACGGCCAAGAGCTCAAGGGAAACCCAGCCACCACGTCAGTAAGATGCAGGACCAGGCCCAGAACAGTGTCAAAAGTGGCAAGTGCCACACGGAGAGCTGAGAGGGACATTATGTCCCAAGGCTACAACGAACTAGAACCGTGAACAGGGGACCCAAGGCCGTCCCCAGCTCCCAGGCACTCAGGAATGGTGGGCAGCAGTCGGTGCCACAGGCCCGAGGCGCCTTGCCGTGCCGGCCATGCCTGCAGCCAGCGTGCAGAGCCTTCGGTGAAGCTGCTGGCTCCGGTCACCCTGGGACTTTTACTTGGGCTGCACACAGGAAAAAGCACCAACCACTTACAGCCCCGGTAATGTGCACCTTTTGTTGTTGGGTTTTTTTTTTTTTTTTTGGCAGTACTGGGGTTTGAACTCAGGGCCTCACTCCCACTAGGCAGCGCTGTACCACCTGAGCCTCTCTCCCAGTGTTTTTGCTTTAGTCATTTTGAAGAGGGTCTTGCGTTTTTCCCAGGCCTAGCCTGGACTGCAAACCTCCCACAGCTGGTGTGACAGGCAGGTGCCTCCACACCCAGCTTACTGATTTGAGATGGGGGTCTCACTAACTTTTTGCCAGGACTGACTTTGAACTTCAGTACTCCTGACGTCCAAGTAGGTGGGATTATAGGCATAAGCTGCTATGCCTGGCACCAGCTAGAGTTTAAAATATGCAACCATCCAACACCACCACAGTATCTAAATCAAGAAACCCGTGAGTAGCAGGAGCGTCGACTCGGAAGGACCAGAGCAGAAGTTTTCAAGGCTTACTTCATGATGTGATGCAGCCTTGGGTCCGTAAACTGGGTTGTCCGGTTGTTGTGATCTACAAAATAGATTCTCCCAGAAACTGTACTTCTGACTTCCCAGCCTGGTGGAAGTGGCCCAAGTTCATCACAGTTTACACTGTTGAGGTCTCTACCAAAAGACAGAAGACACAGAAGTTTACCCACCTGAGAACCAAGGAATAAGACCAAGTCCCAGAGTCAGGGGCCACTGGGGTTCTCTGTCAAGGTGTCTGTGTCCCCAGCATGCTGAGACAGCCATGATGCCACTCACGCCACCCCTCTGGGTCCAGGCCTCTGCCAAGAGTGGCAGCAACACTGGTGAACAGTGCACCTTCCCGGCCTTGTAACCTCAGTTCCGAACACGGTGTGCCCAGGAACACGTCACACACAAGAGGCCCAGACCAGAACAAGTGTCTGAATGCCATGGACTCAGAGGGAAGCGACCTGGACTCACAGGTCAGATTGAACGTTAAAGGTCGCACAGAGAGGGCCCCAGGTTGGCAGGCTGAAGGGAAAGCTGGCACCAGGACAAGGTCCCCACTTTCAAGTGGCTTTTGTTAAGCGAGTGTTGTCACTGTGACCCTCAACTAATGACTCCTGTGAGCTGCAGTGAGATGGGAGCAGAGCACCACTGACGAGGACACTTCTGTCACTACTTATTGCGGGTGAACAGGGACTTGGCACAGGGACCTGGAAGGTCAGACAGAAGCTTGTTGTCGGGTGAGAGATTCTGGACAAAAGGGAACAGGCGTCACAAACGCCTTACTGTACAGTAACGCCACTCAAAGAAGAGAAAGGAAGAAAGCAAGGGACTGACTGATGAGGCAGGTGGGGGGTCTCTGACCTGCACTCAGATGGGGCCTTGTAGAAGGGACTCGTATAGAAAAGCCGCATTCCCCCCAGGACTGGTCCCCAAGGGACTGAGGCAAGGGGGACAATAAGCAGAGAAGAGAAAGGGGAACAGCCTGTTTCTTCCCGAAGTCACCAGGGTCGTGAACAGCCGTGCTCCTGGGGGTGCAGCGCCCACACCCACACCAGCGAGCGCGTCATGCGTACCTGGGAATCCTGGGGTCGTGCCATGTGCTAACGCCAGTCTGTGTGTGCAAAAAGTAAACCTGGCCCTGAACGGTCGTTCTTTGTTCTGCACAAGCAATTAGGAAATGCGATTAGATAAAGGCGACTCCGATGCCTCACAGTGTCTAGACTTTTCCTCAGCACTCTCTGTCTCTCTCGTTGCTAGGCAGGCCTACTGTCTGTCACCACTCTACAATTGTGGAGAAAAGGGTTCCAGGGCCATGGCTACCAAGGCCCACCCTGCCTCAGGGATGGGGTAGGATTTCTCTCTCGTGTTGTCCCTCAAGAGCCACCCTGAGGTGACACACTTGACTTCCCCTCCGTGACCTCTGAGCACTTTGCTGCACAAAGGCACCTTCACTTCCATTCTGCTCTGTTCTTCCCGCCCGGTCCTCCCCTGTCCTTTCCCCCATGAACCACAGGCCACTGCAGGTTCCAACACAACTGTCCATCTCCTCGGTCCTCTCCAGAGTCACTGTACCAAGATTCCACCCCATGGAGATGCTGACACTGGGGCTTGTGCTGAGGACACTCCAAAGCCACTGTCCCTCCCCTTCCCAGTTCTCCCTTGCCATGGCCACGGGCACTAGGGCAGTGGCACAGGGGCTGAAACCGCAGGGCGGGCAGGGCCCAGCCTCACCGTAGCCTTCGGGCAGCTCAGGCGACTGGTGGCCATGAGGGCGGTTCTGGGGCGTCTGCAGGGACCCTCGCACGTCGGGGTTCCGGAGCCGCTGTGTCTGAAGCCTTTGATCTTGACTTGGGGATTCCACAAACCTGCAGTTCCCGCCCCCCGCGGCCGCCCCAGTGCCATCAGTGTAAGGGGCGGGCTCCTCCATGAGGCAGCTGAGTGGCCTCCCGGGCCCCGAGTCTTCATACACCGTTCTGCAGGGGACAATCAGACCCACACATGCTGTCACGTGCCACTTTCCTTCAACTGCTCAGTTCTATCAGATCCTTCACATCCCGATGAAAGAAAAAGGGACTTGAGAGGCACAGATGCCAAAGGAAGCCATATCAGGCCATCGAGGCCACTGGGAAAAACCACCTCACCTCCTATGACCCAGCGACTCAAGGCAGGACTAGGAGGACCGTGGCAAGGTCCTCCATGGTCCTTTCTGTCACGGCATAAACCTGGGCAAAGTTAGCGAGACCCCGCTTCAGAAACAAGCTGGGCACAGTGGCCATGCCTGTGGTCCCAGCTACTGAGGAGATAAGTGGTCCAAGACTGTCCCCAGGCAAAAGCTCAGGGCCCTATCCAGAAAAATAACTAAAGCCAAAAAGGGCTGGGTCGTGGCTCAAGTGGTGGAGCGCTTGCCTAGCAAGTGTCAGGCCCTGGGTTCAAACCCCAGAGAGAGCTTGTGAAATGAGACTGCATTTTTCTTGATTTAAAATCAAATCCAACGTGCCACCATGACTCCAAGTACTTTTTAAACCTGAATCTTGACCCCCCCCTCACCCCGGCAGTAGCCAAAACAATTTTTTAAAACCTCCTGGATTGAAATCTTTCAAATAGGTCCGCAAACTGAGCCCCATGAGCCCCACCCCTCGGCCACTCACAACAGTGACCATCACTGACACTCTCGCTTCCTCTCTCCACTGCGTTATTTTGAAACCAATCCCGACATTCCGTCATGCTGGATATCTGAGCACAGCCCTCTAGAAGATAAGGACTTTCTCCATTAGCACGACAAAAAAATATTCTAAAACTGCGCCAAATCCCAGCTTTCGATCCTCAAACTGTCACCACAGGCTGCTGTGAGCAGCTGCACCCCAGGTCTCTTCCAACTCACGGGTGGGTCCCCCTCTCCTCCTCCGCGTGGTGGCCCTGCGGAAGGACCTTCTGGGTGCTTCTACTGCGTTCCCTGCACTTGCAAGAGCCACGCTAACGTCAGGCTGGCTCTCTAGACTGCCGCCCAGGCCTGCTCATTGAGGGGGATGCACACTGTGAGGGTGACCTCGGAGCAGGTCCCCTGCGGGGTGAGTGTGATCGTGCACTTTCATTACATTTGACGTGTTTTAATTCATTGCGGATGTAAATCTTATTGATGCTCAAACTGGTTTTTTTTTTTTGGTGGTACTGGGGTTTGAACTCAAGACTTTGTATTCTAGACAGACGCTCTACCACCCGAGCTGCGCCTCCAGCCCATTTCTTTCTGGCTATTTTGGAGATAGGGTCTTTTTGCTCAGGCTGGCTTGAGCTGTAATCCTATTTTACACTTCCTGCCAAAGGTGGGAGGAAAACATGTGCCACCACAACCAGCTACTGACTGAGATGGGGGGTCTCAAAAACTTTCTGCCCAGCATGGTTTCGAACTGTGATCCTCCCAATGTGAGCTCCTGAGTAGCCAGCATCACAGATGTGAGCCACCACCGGCGCCCAGCACTTTTTTTTTTTTTGAGATACGGATTCACTACGCGTGTAACTCAGGCTAGCCTGAAACTCGTGATCCTCCTGCCTCAATCTTTCAGTGCCGGGATTACAGGTGTGTACCACCACGCCTGGGTAAAGTGCTAGGCGCCTCCCTAAGTTGGATCCTGAGTCTTTGGGGCACAACCCCAGTCGTCACGGCTTCCTTTAGAAACAAGCAGACTGGACCCAGTCTATCTGAAGTCCATTAATACACCTCAAGCGTCCAGCACAGTGACATTAGAGGGGAAGGTGATGTTCCCATAAGGCAAGGACCTGAGGCGCAGGGAGCTGAGCCAGTCATTGGGGTCATACGTACCCTTCATTTTCCAACAGTCCCCGGCAGTCCACCACTGACCCACCAGTGCCTATTCTGTCTCGTGTCTGTAAACTGACTGAAACAGAGAAGAAGGGCAGGCGTTAAGACCCAGTGCTGCTCTACACAGTGGCGGTACATGAGCCGTGGTGGCCATGTCACAAAAAAGGCAAGTGACGTGCAGACACGGTCACTCCTAGAATGCCTTTCACGGCAGGCCACGCACACCGCACACCTGGACTCTTCTTTGAACACATGCGCCAGTAGGGAAGGGACTTTCTCACAGTCCCCATGACAACAGAATGCAGCACTCAGTCCCTTCAAGTCACCTGAGGCCTTAAGAATGTGACAGGTTTAATAAGGACACAGAGCATGGTCAATGCCCTGGGTTGTTCACAGCGAACAACCCAGACACTGCTCAAAGCTGGCACAGCCCTCCACAAGAAGCCACCGAGGGAACACAGCGAGAACTTTCAGAACATGTTCTCTTGGGTCGAGTCTGTTTAAACGAGGCCTGGGGTGATGACGGGCCCCGTGGGGCCCAGGTGACACTGGTTCCATGCACTGACAGCCAACATTTGTGTTACCCTAAAATGCTGACAAAACTGGGGTAGGCGACAGCATGAGCTAGCTAGGAGAGAGGTCACTGCCCTCAGAGGGCCTCCGGTCAACACGTTTTCATTTTTACTTGTGATATAAGCCTGTGACTCTGAGTCACATTTATGTGGCTGTGTCACACGTCATCTCTGCCTTCTACGCACAAGACGGGGCTTCCCAGAGGAGCTCAGCTCAGCTCCTGCACAGGTGGCCTCCATTCTTGTCATCCACCTGGGACAGGACAGTGACACTGAAGATCATAAGCCTGCACCTGCCTGTCCTGGAGTCACGTTGATTCAAGCCTCAGTGACAGGCCAGGGGAACTAGACAGAGTAACAGCACCCACACACGGAAACGCCTAGCACAGAGGACCCCAGCCGTGTGGGGTCTGTCCCTCAGTGGTGAGGGGCACAGCTTCCTCACATGCACAGACAGACAGACACACAGACGAGCCGCCCTCACCCACGATCTGGCCTCGGACTGCATCAGTGTCTGACGGGGTGAGTTTGCACAGATCCAGACGCTGGTCTGCAAACAGACAAACGACAACTGAGCCGAGGGAACCGGGGAGGAGGCAGGACTCTTAGAGACGCCCCCAGTCCTGCGGTGGCACTAAGGGGCCGTCAGGTGCTTACAGCCCGTGTCCTTGAGCCGGCTGATGGCATTGGACAGCAGCCGCACGCAGCCCAGGAAGCCGGCCCCCTGCTTCTTATGGATCTTCTTGTGGTTCCACACGCTGATGGTGATGGAGTCCGTCTTCCCGACGTATCTGGAAGGAACACGCAGACGTGTGAATGAGGATCGTGTCACTGAAATGTCCCTCAGTGACTGGAGAGCCCTGTCTATCCCTGGGCTCTGTCCCAGGGAGTAGGATGGCCACGTGTAACAGAGGTCTGCTGCATTCTAAGACTTCCTGTGACAGTGACATTCAAGCGCCCGAGTTCACTTAACAAACAGCATGGGTTTCTAAATCCACAGAGCCACCAACGCAGTGCCAGCCAGCCACAGAAGGGACTTGCAGCACAAGAAATGACAGCACCCTCCACGCTGTTCCTGGACCCTCAGTGTAACTGAAACAAAATCTCACAATGTGACAGTTACTAAAACCCAAACCACACATCGTACAATCTGTACAAATTTAAAAATAATTATTCAGTGTCACTTTGAAAATTTCTTAGCAGGGACATTAAAAAAAAAAAAAATCAACAGAGCTAAGATCATGCGTCCAGGCTGGACAATGTGACACACTAACACTAACGGAAAAACGCCATGGGACGTCAGGCACAAGCGTTTTCCAGTACATGGTCTGTGAGACTAGGTCACCCCAACTTTGTCTTGCCACACACCACCCCCCACAGCTGGGGATTGAACCCAGGGCCTTGTAGACAAGTCCTCTACCGCTGAGCTGCATCCACAGCCCTCTTTAAATTCTATTTTACTTTGAGACAGGGGCTAGCTAAGTTACCCAGGCTGGCCTTGAACTTTTGATCCTCCCGCTTCTGCAGGAGTAGCTGGGTCTACAGGTGTGCCCCACCATGCTCGGTTGGCTGTCCACCTTTGGAAGTCAGCAGTCTATGCCTTCTCCTTTCTTAAACGCTCCCTGCCCCTCCCATGTGGCTCACAGGACAAGCAACTCACAGATCGTAATGCTGGTTCCACTTGGGGTCCAAAGTGTTTTTCACAGTGTCGGTTGAGTGGCACTGCCCAGAGCCGTCCACGACGACCTTAGCAAAGGGGTCAGGGAGTCCTGGAGGAGAGGACAGCCCCCTGGTGAGACCCTGTGGCGTGGGCCGCTCACTTCGACTTACAGCCAGTGAGTCCCGACTACTTAGCTCCCGGAAGTGTCCCGGGAGCCCGCTCTTAGGTGTCTAGAGGCTAGAAGAGGACGAGAAGGCCAAGTCCCCATCCCTGGACAGTCACTGGCAGGGCTCATCAAATGCAGCAAAAGCCATTTGTCCTGAATTCATTTGGACTCTAAAAAGTAACCGTGTCCTCACCACTGTCCACCTAACACAGACTGCGAGGATTCCCGAGCCGTAAGTCCCTAAGCACTAAGCACCAATCAGACAGCTGATGGGACCACGCAGGTGACATGTGACACTGGGGACGGCTGGGCCAGGTCAAATTGTGAGCACGGGAGGGAGGGAGGCTTCCTGTAGAAAAGGAGCCTCTATTGGCTGTTCCTGTCACTGTGAGGCTCTGAGCGTGTGACTTTGCTGGCCAGCGTGGACTGACAATTGTAGCTGATGCAGCCATGGAGGACAAAAGGCCACGCCAGCCGGGCAGCACAAAGCGGTGTCCTGCGGTGGCCTGCGGTGCCCTGCGGCGGGAGGGGCGCGTGGGCGGTGGGAGGGGAGGCGGTTTGGGTCAGGAGGAAGTGAGTTTGTCCAACCCCGGTGCGGTACTTACTGAAGAAGTCCTTCTTGGCAAGGTTCTTGGCGCACAGCACTGGAAACAAGCAGAGGGGGAGCGCGGTTAGGACCCGAAGGAAGGCGCCTTTCCCAGCGGGGACGGACTGGCTTAAACTCCCGGCCCGCACGCGGTGCGCGAGCAGTCGCTGTCCCGCTCCACAGGGTCCACAGACCGCACGTCAAGTGAAGACTGCAGAAGCACGCGCCCTCCCCACCGTTAGCAGGACGTTCCCGCAGGGAGCAACGTGTGCGCGTGTGCACGGGGCAGCGCAAGGCCTTGCACGCGCTAAGCACACGCTGCCACCAGCGACAGGCCCAGCCCATGACAGAACTCCGGAAATGTCAGAAGAAAGCAAGGAGGGGAGCAGCAAACACGGGACTACTGTGAGCGCGTGCTGAAAACGAATGAAAATTACATGGGACTCTAGCACAGGCCGGGCACAGTGGCTCATACCTGCAATCCCAGCTACTCCGGGAGCAGAGGTAGGGAGAAAGAATCTCGGTTTCAGGCCCGCGCTGAATCAGAACACAAAAGAAAAGAACTGCTGTCACCACAGCCCCATAGGAAAGCCGGCCAAGGAGCCTCGGTGACTGCGGCTGTGCGTGGTTTTACCTGCCAGCGTTATTGAGATGCGCTTCCTGTCACGCTAGTCACTCCTTTGGGGCGCAGAATTTAATGTGTGCTCGTGGGTTACGAGGGCACCCCAAAACCGATTTGAGAACTTGCGCCACCCCCAGAAGGAGTCCTGCACAGCGCCTCTTTACCCCGAGCCCCGGCCCTCATGTGGTTGGAAATGTGGCCGTTCTGACGCGTGCATCGTGGGCTAGGTGACCCTCGCGGCTTCTGCTCAGGTGGCTGTCGGGGTCCCCTGTGGCACCCCCACATGCCTTCTCCCCTTCAGCAGCGTGGGGACAGCTGGCTGTTGGACACTCCCCACAGGTGCTCCGTAGAGATGGGTCTCAGCTGGGCAGGAGCGGTGGGGACAGGGAGGTGGCTGTGAACGTTGGGATGCCAGCCTTCCCAGGGCCTCCTCACCCTCACTCCTATCTGCCATCGTCTGTCCCTGGGGCCATGGGGGGGGCGCGTCTTGGCAACCATCGGCATGCTTCTATTTAGCTGTTGGTGTTTGAGATTGTCCCCACTTTTCGATGGGTGCTCTGCCTTTCATTGACTTGTGGGAACATCAAATACCAGGCTGCCCTGTTCTGCGGGCTGTCGCTTTACTCTCGGGATGGTGTCCTTGCAGATGGGTGTCACCCCAGGCCCAGGCCCGGCTGCTGTTCTCTTCGTGGTGCAAGGGTGGAGAAGCTGGAAGACACGGTTGTGAAAGTGATCGTCATGGCCGCAGTGTCGCCCGGCAGTTTCCCTCCTGTGCTTAAGTAAAGATGGAAATCGCGGCTGCAAAGCCAGAGTACAGAAGTGTAACTGGTAACAGCTAAAACGGAGACGTAACCCACGCCCACCACATGAAAGACTCAGCCGAAGCTCTTTCGTTTTCATTTGTTTTGTTGTTCGTTTGAGATGGGTTTCCCTACACAGCCCAGGCTGGCCTGGAAATCCTGATCCTTCTGCCCTAGCCTCCCCAGTGCTGGGATTACAGGCATGCACTACACTGCCCAGCTTGTTCGCTCTTAAATACAGATTTAGGTCTAAGGTGTGTTGTTGTTGAATGCTGTGAAGCTGTTCAACTTCCCTCCCATGCGGGGACACTCTGGCTGTACCAATTGCGCCCTGACTTGTCTCCCATCGACTCAGCAAATGGGAGAACTGAGCTCTAGTCTCTCATGTCTGTTCCCTGACCCATGTGTCCCCTGCCACAACCACCCTGTCTCCACTACTGTAGCTCTGAGTTAAGTTCTGAAGTCAGGAAGCTTGATTCTTCCAACCTTCTTCCCCTTTTTTTGGTACTGCTCAGTTTTGAACTCAGGGCCTCCTGCTTGCTACACAGGCTCTCTGCCACTTGAGCCTCACCTTCACTCCTTTTGCTTTTAGTTTGTCTTTACACAGGGTCTCTCACTTTTGCCTAAGCTGGCTTCAGACCCTGATCTCCTCTGCCTCCCAAGTAGCTGGGATTACAGATATGCAGCACCATGCCCAGTCTAACTTTCTTCTTTTTCAAGATTTGTCTCAGCTACTTTGGATCTGTTGGATTTGTGTATGGATTTTAGAATTGGTGTGTCAACTCCAGAAGTGCTGCTGACCTAACATCCAAACACGAGTCAAGTCCTTCCACTTGGCTGGGGTCGCCTTTACGTTCCTTCAGCTATTAAGATTATTCTTCTCAATGCCAGTGCAAATACCACTGTGTCCGAACTTCACATGCACCCTGTCCACTGATCGTGCTCAGAAGCACGACTGACATTCGTGCGTTCATCTTGTGCCTTTCGGCTGTGAGCTTGGATACCTCCTGTGGACCCCTCTGTCTCTGCACAGGTCGGGTAACTTCCTGTGGACTTATTGTCTAACTGCTCAGTACGGTCAGTGGCACCGGGCATGAGCGGCAGGGCCCCTTGTCTTGGCCTTGTTCTGGAAGAAGGCAAATTCAGCGTTTGAATCATTGGTTCTAATGTCACTGGGTTTTCAGAGATGCCTTTTATTTTCTTCTATTCCTACCTGGGAAGTGTTAACTCTTTTTTGTTGTTTGTTTCTTGGTGGGACTGGGGTTTGAACTCAGAGCTTCGCAATTTCAAAGCAGGCATTCCACCACTTCAGCCGCACCTGTAGTTGTGAGACGTTTTTTATCATGAAGTGGTGTGAGGTTTTATCAAATGCTTTCCCGCATCTGTTCAGAGCACCTTTGGTGTTGGCCTTTACCTGCTGAGGCAGCACAGTGACATTAAGTGACTTTCAGATGTCAGACCCACCCGGCATCCTGAGCCCTGTTCTGGTCGTGCACAAAAAAAAAAAAAACCCTTCTACCCTGAGCTCTCTTCAGTCTGCTGGGATGTCGTTTAGGATCTCAGGGTGACGCTGGCCTCATACGGTGAGTCTGGAAGTATTTTGTCATCTGTTTTTAAGACGCTCAGAGATTGGTATTGTAACTCTCTACGCTTGGGTAGAATTCACAGTGACGCTGTCTAGGCCGGGGTTTTCTTCGTGGATTGTTTTAAATTACTAATCCAGTCTCCACTTCGCACAGGTCTGTTCCGATGATCCTCTACTTCAATCACCTGGGTGGTTTGGGTGACTTTTCCTGAGTTAGTGACCTCCTGCTGACCATTACTCTGTGCACAGTCACAAGGCACATGTGCTCCCCACTGGAATCTTTCCACGCCATAATTTATCACAACTTCTGCTGGAGTTTTCTTTCTTGTTATCCTAGTTATCAGAGCTATACGTGGCTGCGTATAAACAGAAAATGTGTGCAGGACTGCAGGTGACTGCTCAGCATTTGCCTGGCTTTTAAGAAAGGACTCAGACCTCGTTATGGTTCTGAACGTTCTCGTTCTTTTTTTTTTTTTTTGGTGGTACTGGGATTTGAACTCAAGGCCTCACACTTGCTAGGAAGCGCTCTACCACCTGAGCCATCTGCTGTGCGAAGGCTCTCTGGTGACCGTGGCATATTTTGCACTTGCTAAGTAAGACTCATCTTCGATGCCCTAAGTGAGGTTTCTGAAGAGCCCCACGACCACCGCCCCATCCGCATCCCTCTTGTCATCCTTCTGCCTCTCCCAAGTGTGACCGCCCCCGGCACTGCTGTGTCCCAGCTCCTAAGCCCAGCTACGACAAGTGACCTCCCCACTGCTGTTTCACATTGCACAGTGGCTTCCCCTGCAAAACTGCACAGCTGGGACACTCCAACCACCACCTCACCTTACCACCCACACACGTGCCACCAGTGCTGGCCCTGGGTTCTGGAGGCCAGCGCTACATCTCTTCTAAATGGAGTAATTCTGATGTCGCGCCTCAAAAATACTCATCGTTGTGCAAATTCACAAGAGCGCCAGAGTTCTGATTTAAAGCCAGCCCAGTGCACTCCGGTTACGTCGTGAGCTGGAGCCCTTGTTGAGGCTGCCACAGAGGCAATTTCATCCCAGGTCTGCACACAGGTCACCGGGGCCACTGGGAATCTAGCCTACTTACATGCATCCGGCTCCTCTACTGACACAGTAGAGCCACCGTGAGAAAGAACACTGCCTGCCCTCTCCAGGAGGGACAATGACACAAGCAGGCCCACCACATAGGGAGTCCACTTTATCCACGTCTGACACATTTTAAACCAAGTAAGTTTTACACGGATGAGACCACAGTATGGGACACCTGAGGACACCTCAGTGAATCACAGCGACATTTTCAGAACACAGGCTCGTTCCCCAGCGCAGACCACGCACGGCAAGGTCCCTGGAGCCCGACTCGGGCCAAATCCCATCGGCTGCCATCCACGATGTGCCAATCTCGTTCCACAGCTTTCCCAACACTGGGGACGGGGTCAGAGCAAATTACACAACGTCCTTCAGAGGGAGGTGTTCTGCTCACCAAAGACAGGGTCACAGAGGACTCTGTGGCTCAGGCAGCCCCAAGAAGTGCCAGCCAACAGAAAATGAGTACTGCATTCCAGCTTCAGAAACGTCCAAACTTGTGGCGATCCCTCACTGTTTCTCTAGTCTCTGAGCCTAGAAACTTTTGCGGTAACTTTCTTAAATTTGGGTTTTGGAGGTTTTTTTTGTTTGAGATGGGTCTCACTATGTAGCCTAGGCTGGCCTCAAATTCTCAATCTTCCTGCCTCAGCCTCCCGAGGGCTGGGATTATAAGTATGTACCACCAAGCCCCTCCACACTGTAAGTTTTTTACTCCTCCCTTTTTCTCTCATGTGTCGAGCCCATCATTTCTTTCTTGTAAATGTCTCTTGACACGCAAAGTCCAGTAGCAGGGTGCTCGGCTGCCGACCCCAGCCCCACCCCCCCCGCCCTGTGCCCCCACATGGCACTGAACCCTCACGGCACCCGGGTGGTCCTGTAAGGCCTAGAAGGCCTTGCTACATGCGTTATTCTCTACATGTCTGTCCCCTCCCAGTGCAATGAGGCAAGTAGACGGCG